GTTCGTTTTCACTGACACTTTCAGAAGTATATAATGAATATTAAATCTATTTATAGACAAAACTTCAAGTTAAAATTCTTTGCTTATAGGTAGAGTTCATGTCATTAGGCCTCTCTTCTCGAATTATGGTCATTTTAGTTAACTTTCAGCCTATTGTAGAATATCACGAGAAAAATCGCAACAAGAAGTTTCGTCCTGAAATTCTTCCCAACAATAGCTTTCATAGTCTTTATAATATCCTGAAAGTTTCAGCTCAAATGGATACTTTCTTCTTAAGATATCGTATGTCTAGAAACTAGCATATTTTGTGAGCTCTTGTATGAAAGTAACGTTTTTTGTAAACGTATTATCTCATAAGGAAAACATCGATTTGAATTGTAACTTTCAGAATATCTATCCTGCAATAGGCTGAAAGTTCAGTAAAATGACCATAACTCGAAAAGAAAGGTTTCATAGTATGAACTCTTTCAATTTTTCTTAGTCTCATACAGAGACCTACTCATAGCCATAATATGAAACCATACAATATTCTACAGTCGTATAGGTTCCTTTGTAAGATGAATTAATTTTTTTTATTTCTATAGGTAATCGTCAATGATTTGGGTGAAGATTCGGAAGCACATGCAGCTAAACTTATTGAAGTTATTATTCTTCAATGTCAAGACAATATGATTGTTGTATGAATTTCTATTTTCTAATTAAAGAAATTTTTTTATATCATTATTTTTCTTTTCTCTAAGGCATTTCCTGCAATAGTTCAATTAATTGCTAAACGTTTTCAACGTAATATAATCACTAGTGAATTACGTTTAATGCTAATTCAAGTATTTATTATTATATTATGGCTTAATCCTGATAGATTTTTTCAAACATTAAATGCTGTTGTTACAAATGATCCAAGTACACAAAATATAATAGCAAATTTTTTTAATCAATGGATGACTGATTGTCATTTATTTTCTGGTATTCATGATCGTCGTGTTTGTGCACTTGGTCTTTGTACATTATTACGTATTGATGTTAATTATTATTCAGCAATATCAAATATTGTACCAAAAATTTTGCCTAATTGTATTCAAATTTATGAAGGTTTAATGAAAACTTATCAACATAATGATGATGATGATAGTGATGATGAAACTGATGAAGATGAAGATTCAGTAGCTAGTGGTAAAATTTAAATGATAGAAATTTATATAAGAACAAAAATTTGTTTTTTATTCTTAGAAATTGAAGATGGTGAAGATGAATCTATTGAACATGAAGAGGATTTTCTTGAAAAACTTAAAGGAAAAGTATGAATTTAAATTTAAGTAAAACAAAAAAATAATAAAAATCTTTAAATTTTTCTTTTTTTTTTTTTTTAATGAAGGCATCTGATCATGAAATGTCCGGTGATGGGCTTGAGGGTGTTGGTGGTAATGGTGATGAAGATGATGAAGGCAGTGATTTTGATATCGATGAAACTGATCTTGAATCATATTCAACTGTACTTGAAGCTAATGAAGATATTGATGAATTTCAAATATTTTGTGAAAGTTTACAAAGTATATCATTTAAAAAATACAGTCTTTGTTTTTTTGTTTTTTTTTGAGAAACTATGTTTCTTTTCTTTTGTTTTCTAGAACTTCAATTAGATACAACTGGTTATAATCAAGCATTATTACAAAGTCTTACACCTGAACAACGTACACATATACAAAATATAATTCATTATACAGAAAAAAGAAAACAAGAAAAAGGTAAATTTTATTCTTCGATTTTATTCTTTAGATCTTTTTATTTTGAATATATTAGAATCAAATAAAATTCGTGATGCTGGTGGTTATAATTTTTCTCAATCAATTGCTGCTGGACAACCAACGAATTTTAATTTTGCTGGAGATAGTTCAATAATCAACATACTTCAAAATCAAAAATGATTTTTGTTTTTATTATTGTTTCTTGTTTTCGTTATTGTTTTTTTTTACTATATTTAACAAAAACCATCAACAAAAGAAAGTGATGAGATTACACGTTTCATTTATGCATGCTTATGGTTAACATCTTATTTGTTTAACAAAAAAAAAAATGAAATAATCATTGAAATTGTTTCTTTTTAATTTGCAATTGATTGAAATATTCATATCAATATCTACTTGTTCTTTATGTATACATAAAGGTTTACTTTAAAAGTAAGGCACTGGCAATTCGAAATTTGAGAAAATTCTTTTTTATTATGGTTGGATAGATTTCATTGAGTTACCTATAAAAATATTGCTTTTGTAGGAAAAATTAGGTTTACAAAAAAAATCAGGAAAGCCTATAGAAATTGAAATATGTCAAAAGCATTAAGTCTCGACAACCTTACTATTTAATCGAGCTTTGTTTTTAATTTTACTCGTCATAAAAGGTGTCTCATAATAACTGAAGATAAATTGTCAACAACATTTTTTCATACTTTTTCTTGACATAGAAGTGTGAAATTTTTATCACACATACAAGATGACCCAAAAGTCACTTTACTGAAGAAAAAGTTAAATATCTTCATCATATTTTTACCAAATGAACTCATTATTTTACCATTTATAAAGAAGTGTTTATAGGTCATATTCGTAAGAGAAATATTGGCAAACACTTCTTTGAAGTATCATCATTGATTTCAATAAAAAATGATGGGCTTTTACTGGTTATGGAAAAATCATATTGCAGTTTTCTCTACTAATTCTTAGTATCTATCGGTGAAACTTTCAGGACACAATAAATAAGAAGACATGCATCTATGGTATAAAATATCAGATCAGACGACTATTGTTTGGAGAATTAATAGAGAAAAATAAATATAGTTTCCTTTTTTGGCATGGAAAAGGTTACACAACTTTTCATAACTCAAGAAAAGCTCTACAGTTCTTTATTGAAATCAATGACGATACTTCGAATAAGTGTTTGTCAATATTTGTCTTACGACTATGCCCTATGAACACTTATTTATCAGCGATAAAAGAATAAACTCATTTGGTCAAAATATGGCGGAGATATTCAATTTCTTTTTCGGAAAAGTAACTTTTAGATTGTCCTATATAGCGAACCAAGTTCTTGAAATTTTCAAAGTTTAATCTCTCTAGCTAAAGCTAGTGCTGAAATGCATGGGCAAGGTTAAGATACATAAATTATTATTGTATTTGATTTTTTGTGACATCTTTATTTCTTGATCAACGATACTTTTGAACATCTGATGGAAAAAAAACACTTTATAAGACAAGTTTTTTCAAAAATGTAAATTATAATAAAACTCAATGTGTATGAACATGCTCTTCATTGCTTTCTATGACAATATTATGTATCAAAAACACTTTTTCGTTCAGTACATCTCATATATTTTCAATTCTTCATATAATAGCAAATTTAGTATCGCTATCTACTGATTCTATACGTTGGTTACGTACTTGTGCTACGAACTATAATACTCTACGTTTTTTTTTTCGAGACAATTCAAATTCAATATACACCATTTACGATATTTTCTGTTTTCGTAACTGGTAGACATTTAAGAAAAAAAAATTGTCATTAAATCTAAAAAGTTCTGATGATCAAAATCTTTGAAGACAAATCCGTTTTGATGACTTTTTGCTTTCATATCGAAGAAATCTGTTTTCACAATAATTAAATAATATTTTTCAAAAAGCATATATATCTTTTTCGATCGGAACTATAAAATGTGTAAAATCAAAAACAAAACTCAGATAAATATTGAAGTTACCGAGACTTTGTGTTTTTGGTATATTTCGATTTTTATATGTTTTTCTAGTATTTTTAATCTAATTTTCACTAGAAAAATATCGTTTGAATATACCAAGAACAATATTTTTTTGAATAACTTAACAAGTTCTATTAACCACAACAAACAAACGCACAAAAATAAATTTCGAATTACTGGAACCTCGGAATAATATTATCATTGGATAAAGTCTCTCTCTGAATTTTGATTATCCTTGTAATATAAGATTTAAAAGAGAAATAAAAAATCTCATGTAATTTGTACTATCAATTAGTTTTATCAAGTATTTCTTCTTAACAAATTTAATATAAGATGAAACCTAATCACACGAAGAACACGATGGAAAGTGATATATTTTTAATTAATATAATCAAAATTTCAACATTTTCCTTTTTCGTTTGTAGAAAAAAGAATGATTCATTTTCTCATCAAAAAAAAAAGTCGAATAAAAAGTATTGAGATTTAAATCACTTGTCTTTTTTTTTTTGTTTAAAATATGGAAATTTTATGCTCATTTCACAAAAAGAAAAACATTTTTGTTTTTGACAAAGTTTTACATTTGGTAAAAATGCTATTCTCTTTTCTTTGTTATTTAATAAGTAATGATTGTTTCCTTTTTTATACTCTATTTTTTGCGTGTGTGTTTGATTTTACTGATTGGGGTACAAAATTCCATGCTACTGCCCTCATCATCAGTATTTGAAGCGGTCGAATTACTTTACGGAATTTGAAAGAAAGCAAGAAAAAAAGAAAAGTAGAAAGAACTCCTGAAGCGGTGGCATTGCTCTGCCGACTGTGCAAACAAAACATGGCAAATCGATATAGAGCAAAAAATCAATTTTTCTTCTTTTTTCTTTTTTCTTCTCTTTTCATTTTATTCATCAATGAGCAAGTTTGTTTCTTCATATTCTATCGAAAGTAAGAAGCTAAGTCTACTGTATGTATGTTGTTGACAGAATGATTACTTTTGACGATTGGTTATGATCCACTAGAAGAACATCATATGTTTATCCATTCATCAAATATATTGAAGAAAAATCAATTTCTACAACCATCATTGACAACAAAATCAAAATAGTTGATCGAATAGATGTGAGTATGTATGTATGTATGTATGCATGGATAGAGAGAAGATCTGAATGAAATGAAAATATTATTATGTACATAGTTGAGTGTTTTTCTTTTTTACTTTTTACTTGATCAATATTATAGTTGATTACTTTTGTCATTTTCTTCTACGACAATGTCTGATCCAAATCGATCAGTATCACGTTGGTCTACATCAATGTCAGTTACAACAAAATCAACAAATAATATTAATCAAACAACACCATTAGTAATTTTACGAAGAAAATTATTTCGACAATCAACAAATCAGAAAAAACTTTTTTCACAACGTATGGCAAAATCAAAACATAATATTGAAGAATTATTTAAATTATATTATTCAAATGATGTTAAATTTGATACATTTCAACGACAAATTGTTACTGGTAAATTAATATCATTTTTATTAATGAAAAAAAAAGAAAAAAATTAATATTTCATTTTATTTTAGGAACACGTATTCCAACAACACAAATATCTCCATTATTACAAGATAATCTAGCAACTAATTCAACAAATGTTTTCGATGCTAAACATTGTGTTAGTCGTGAACAATGGAACTCACTAGATTTAGATAGTATGTATATCTATATGAAATAAATTTATTTTATAACATATTATTAAAAAAAGGTAATGAAGAACAAAAAGAACAACAACAACAACCAACTAATAATGAAATAACTACAGCAAAATCATCATCAACAAAACGATCAGTACAAATTCGAACTAGTAATAATACGATTATTAATCATCCAGTACCTTTATCAAATCCTAGTCCTTCTCCACCAAAAGTAATAACAATACTTCCAAATCCACCTCAAACATCTTCATCAACTCAACAAGAAGAATTATGTGATTCATCATTTATTAAAAGTGTTACTTTTCTTGGAGATATTTCTAATGAAGCTCATGAAAGTATACATAAAAAAAGAAGTCAATCAAAAATAACTCAACGTTCAAAATCATCAAAATCATCATTATTAACAATACCATCACAACCATCACTTGTAGTAACGAATGCAAATAATCGAAAAGATCCAACGGTTCTATCAAATACATCATTTTCAACAGTATCTTCATCACAACAAAAATCAAATCGATCAGCTACTGTGACTAGTTCAGCAGTTATAGTTCGACAACGATCACCAACAAAACTATCACGTACTAGACAACGAACAAATTTAGATACAACAATGACAACAGTTTCATCATTATCACAATCAACTACAAAACCTCGGTTTGTCTATTACAAATTTTACATCTACAAAAAATTGATATTTAATCAGATTTTTCTTAAATATTTTGAAAAAAAAAATATGTCACTAGTAATATAGGCAAGAGATTCAATTGCTCTTTTTTTTTATTAATAATTCGCTACTTAACTGGTAGAACACAAAGAAATTCTTTAAACGATTGTAATCTTATTAGTAATATTTTTTTTTTTAAATTAGTTTATATTGGAAAAATTATTTCATTTTATTTTATAGTTCTCCATCAATATGTAGTCCTTTATCAATTGAATCATCTGATATACCTGAATTACCTGTTTTTGTTGGTGGACAACGTGTTGTATCGATTCCATCGAAATGCAGGTTAATTATATTTTTTTTTTGACATAATATAATAAAAAAAAAAAAAAAACAAATTATATTCTCAATTGATTTCAGTCGTTATGTTCTTGTTACATTTCCTGAAACTCCACTTCGTTATAATGCACCATCTTATGTTGAACGACTCTTATTACCTGAACGTTTTCCAACATTATTTCAAAATATAGTTCAAAGTTATGATCCTCATTTAACTAATGAACAACCTTCTCGAAATACAAAATAAATATAAATCTTCTTTTTTTTTTTTTTTCTTAAAATAATAAAAATAAAAATAAGAACTGTACAAAAATTTTTCTTGTCATTATATTTCTTTTTCTTTAAAATAAAATTAAAACAACAAAATTGGAGTATAACGATTGAAGAAAAAACAAACAAAGTTTCATCATCGGATAAATTATATACAAAAAGACAAAAGAAAAAAGAAATGTTAGACGAAGAGAATAAAAAGATGGAAAGGTATACACTACCGGAACAATACACATTTACATACATACTGTTTGTTTTTCATTTACTGTTCCATAAAAGAGAAAAAAAAACAAACAAAACCTGAGTAGTTTTTTTCTTCAAATAATAAGATGATTTTGTTTCACTGTTTCAATGAATCATTAAAAATTTCAATGTAAAAATTTTATTTTTTTTTTTAGGCTAGATAATCTTCTATTGATTTATTAGGATGAAGAATATTAACTATTTGTTGAAATTATTTTTCATTTATACTTGATGAGGACCGCTGAAAATAAAAAATCAAGATTTTTTTAAATAAATATGTGTCAATAATAATCTTACCGACGATAAGATGTTTTCTAAAGAAAAATAATAAAATTCATTAGTATAATTATAATAAAATTGTTTGTTTTCTTTACTTTATTTTCATTTGTAATCATTTGTTCATTATCTTGTTGAATAATATTTTCATCTGTATTTATTAATGATACTTCTTTAAGAAAATTTGATGGTACAAGACCTTTTGTTCCATTTTCTAATTCACCAAAATAAAATCCATCATCATGTACATTTCCTTGTACATAAATAATATCACCCGTACGAAATGATAATTCTTCATCAGGATTAATATTTGGAGAATTCTCACGTGGATTATAATCAAACATAGCAACCATTTTTTTGACTGATTGTGCCGATGATTTAATATTTGATGAATTTGTTCCAGATAATATTCGTTTTGTTGTCGTTGTTGCTGTTGTTGTTGCTAAAAGTAATCTATAGAGGAGAAAAAACAACATATCAAAACTTACGTGGCACGCGATTGGGATTTTCTAGATTTATTGTGCCCGCAAGCAAATGTGCCTCAATTTCAGCATCATCAAGTTGAATTTCTGATACCATGTTACTTGGAACATAACCAGTACGACCATTTTCTGTTTGACCTACATAAAAACCATCAGCATCTTGATCACCATAAATCTAAATAATGAATAATAATAAATGAAGACTATTAAAAAAAACTAAAATCAAACTCGAATTAATTGTCCTTCTTTAAATGGTAGTTCTTCTTCATTATCTTTATTAGGTGACATAGCATTTGGATCATAATCAAATAAAGCAATAAATAAACGTGGTGGATTATTTGTTTTATTATATAAATGACTATTGACTGATGAAAGTGGTTGTGTTGGAATTTGTTCTTTTAATTTAACAGTTTTCATTGGTGTTGGCGGTGCAACATGCTGTTCTTCGGATGATGTTGATGCATGACGTGGTGATGAGATTTTTGTTTTATTCATATTTAAATTACCATTCATTGGTGTAGCTGTTGTTGTTCGTCTTGAATCTGAATGATCACGTTGTTTAATTGGTGACATAGTTGTTGATGCTTTTGATGTTTTTCTTTGCGTATTACTAGATTTAATATGTGATGTTGAATCATCAGATTGTTTTATATAAGCATCATAACCAAAACGTTGTGGTGGTTGTTCATAATGATCACGATTATCAAGTTTTGATTTCGCTATTGCGTTTGTTGTTGTTGTTGTTGTTGTTGCTATTCCAGAACTATTTGGACTTGGAGAATTAATTTCAATTTGTGGTACATCAGTATTAACTGATGATGTTGTTGATGAAGATTTTAATGGAGATTGTATTGGTGGTATTCCAATTGGTCGTGTTGAAGTTTTTGTTATTGGACGGATTTTATCAGGACTAGTTGTTGTAGATTTTATTGGTGATGGTGGAAGAATATTTGGTGGTGCTTGTGAAATATTTGTAGAAGATTGTTTTACTGACGATATTGAAGTTGTAGATGGTGAAGATATTTCTTGTGAACGAGTAGATGACTAAATAAAATTTAATAAATATATATGTATAAACATTGTCCTTCAAAATTATTTGATTTTTGTTTTTTGCTCATGCAATAGATGTTGCTGATTTGAATAGAGAAAACTACTTCCAAAACAGTTACGAGAAAATTGAACTCGTTGGTATATGCTCAAAAATCTAAGTTTTCAGTACTCAGAGTTCGATGATAATGGAGGACGATAGAACAAAACAAATTTCAGCAAGGTGAAATGTCCCCGAGCTTTTCATGACACTTCTTAGTTGATTTACGTTAAATTTACGGAACACACAAGAGACATTTCTTTTTATTATTTTCAATGAGACAAATACAAAAAAAAACGTCTTTTAGGCCTTCGGTAAATCTGATGTACCTCAGCTAACAAAAAATGTCATGAAGTGCTCAGGGGCATGCCTTTTTGCTGAAGATGTTCTGTTCTGTCGCCGTCTGTTGTCATAACAAACTTTTATTATCGGACTCTGAGTACTGAAAATCTAGGCTTTTGATTTTCTAGAAATTCTATTTTTTGAGGATATATCAAGAAATTTAATTTTCTCTATATTCCAATCATCAGCACCTCCTGTAAGAGCAAAGAAAAGTTGAATAATTTTGATGACTACTGCAAAATAATGATAAAATAAAATAAAGACATATTTAAATACCTTTTGTGGAGTTTCTATAATAGCAGGCGGAGTTGGAAATAGTTGTTGTTGTTCAGCATTTGTTAGTTCATCATCTGATGTTGTTCTTAATGTTAATGAAGATGATGCAGTAAGTGGTATAGATTCTTTATCAAATGTTTCTTCTAAAAGAACAGGTACTGTTATCGATGGAATATCCACATCCAACTAAGCAAAAACAAAAAAAACTTCATTATTAAAATAAATAAATAATTTCATACTTTTTTTAATATTTCATCAAGATCTATTGGAATTGAATCATGTGATTCACCATCATTTTCTGTTAATGTACGAACTGTTAAAAATCTTCCTTGATGTAATGAATTCATATTAATAACAGTATGATCATCTATAATTATAAATAAAATAATTTCATAATTAATTTAATTTAGAATTTCTTACTTAATGGATTAATTATATCTTGTATTTGTCGTCCATCAACAAGAACTCGATAACCACGAGCTGTTGTTGTTGTCGATAATGGTTGTTCCCATGATACAAGTAAAGTATTCGATTGTGGACCAGCTATAGCTTGTACACGTTTAGGTGGTTCAATTGATTCATCTAGAACACAAAAACAAAAAAAAAAGAAAAGAAATGAAAATAATAAAATAAAATAAAATTTTACCAAATGATGTTGTACAAAATTCAATTGAAGTTGCTAATGATTGTTGTGTATTTATTATATTATTTGGTTTAGCTTTAATTGTTACTTTATGTATTGTATTTGGTAATAAACCAGATAATTTAAAACGATAAACACCAGCTTTAAGTGTTTGAACTTCAATATCATTAACAAATAATTTATGTACAATATCATTTGATGCTGGCCACCATGAAACAACAGCTGATGTTTGATTTATTCTATCAACACGTAAATCACTTGGGGCATATGATAAATCATTTAAATTTCCATTTGTACCGGACATTGTTAATAATAAAGTACATTCTTGATCACGTGATAAACCATGTTGACTTATTGTACGTATACTTATACGATGAAATTTTTCATTTAAATTTATATTTTCAATTAATGCACGTGTACGTTCATTAGCACGTATTGTTGTATATAATGAATGATCAAGTAATACTTGATAACCAAGAATTTGTATTGTTGTTGATGGAGAATTCCATGCAATTAATATACTATTTGTTAAATATTTTTCAACACGAAGATTTGTTGGATAAGGAACTAAAAACAATAAAATTTTTGTTTGTTTGTTTGTTTGTATTTTTTGTATAGTTTGAAAATTTTATTTACCATGTTTACCAAATGTAAGACTATTAGTTGTTGTTGAAATATCTAATGGATTTCCATTTTGTATTGGTGTTACTAATATAAACAATGATTTTAATTATTTTCTATTTTGTAGATTTTTTATTTTCATTACTTTGTTTTCGATATGTTGTTGGAGTATTGATTAATGTATTTGAAGGAAATACATCAGAATCAATACTTGGAGTTTGTTCACAATGAGATGTCATTGTTTCTTCTAGGAAAAGAAGAAATTTAAAAAAAAAAAAAATAATAAAATTTTGTTTTTTCTGTACCGGAAAATATTTTTCCAGTTAATCGTTGAATTATATGTCGAACTGTTTCAGGTAAATCATTTGAATTTGTTATTTTTTCAATAAAATTTGATGGTATTAAACCATAACGACCTTCTAAATTTCTTCCATCATAAAATCCATCCTAAAATTTCATTACAAAAAAAAAAAAAACATTTTTTTTTTTTGAATTTTGTTAATTCAAATGCTGAGATAAAAAAAGAAACTAAACATTGATTTACTTCATCAACATCACCATAAATAAGATAATATTCTCCAACATTTAATGGTAATTCAACTTCTGGATGATCATTTGGGGAACATTGTAATGGTTCATAAGAATATTTTGCTACAACTATTTGAGCTGTTTGATTATTTGGAAGAGATTTTATTTTTATTTCTTGATTTTCATTAGCTGTTATAGATTGACTACCAGTTGATTTTAATAATGGTCGTTGTTGAATTGATGGTGATGGTAGTGGAGGAATATTATCATCAGTTGGTGATGTTTGAGAATCAACCATTGTTGGCATTGGCCAATGATGTATTAATGGAAATATATTTGGATGATTATTTGAAAGTATTGTACCAGTTGATGATGGTAATATTCGATCACGTCGTGCTTTTAATGATTCAAATTCTAGAAGAATTTCTTCATGTTTTAATGATTGTAATTCAGTTTTACGTTCAAGATCATGAATTTTTTCCTTAAAATAAATAATTTTTGTTTTTTTTTTTTAAATTTAATTAAATATACAAAATAAAATTATACTTCAAGTAAATGAATTGTTTCTTGATTTTCTTGTTTTGTTGTATCATGCATCTAGAAATATACATATGAAATTATAAAAGAATTATTTCCTTTTTCTTTTTTTTTACGAGGCTGACTTTTTGAAATTGTTCAAAATCATCTTGTTTTCTTTTTAATTCTAATTTATTAACTTCATTTTCAACATTTAGTTGTTTATGTAAATCACTTGTATCACGAAGAGATTTAATAATTGATTCTAATTCATGAACTTTATTAATATATTGTTCATTTTCACGTCGTTTTATATCATATTCATCAGATTTTGTTAGCAAATTTGTTCGATATCGATCACAGTCTTGTGTTAACTATTCAATTGATAGAAACAAAAAGAAAAATTGCAAAATGATATTTCATGACTTTCATTATTTATTTAAATATTTATTATTTTTTTTTTTCTTTCTCGAACTTATATGCTGTCTATTAATGCATATAGTCATTACTAACCCGTTCATTAGTATTTGTTGCATTGCTAATTTCAGCGCGCATTTGCGTGTTTAGCATTGAAGCACTCTCGAGCTCTTTGATCTAGAGGGTAAAAAAAAAATGTATCTCGAGAATAGAAACAAGAGAGAGAGAGAGACAAAGTAAGACGAGAAAGAAAAAAAGGATGAATAGTATAGTTCAAGTACTTACAAGGCGAGCATTTTCCTTATTCAGATTTGTTAGTGCCATTGCATGATCGTCCAATTTTTTTTGCTGTTGACGTTAGAAGAAAGAAAAAAAAGCATAGAATAGAATAAAAAAAAGGAAAAAGAGGATGGTTTTCCTCATCATGCAATTGTGAATAGGTCGGTCTTCTTCGCTTCGCTGACACTGAATAAAGCGGACAAGCAAGCTTGCTCTATCAGTTCCGGAAACATGATCCTTATTTCTTTCTGTTGTGCATCTTACCCTTTACCCTCCATCTTTTTGACACTTTTTTTTTTCTTTTCTATATTGATATATACTTATAATGTACAAAAGGACTTACACTATATTGAACTTCTGATTCCAATCGTTCAACAGTTGTTTGTAAGTCTTGACAACGATCTTCGACAGCATTCATTGTTAAAAGATCATTTTCTAATTGTGTTTTTCTTAAATCAATTGCTTGAAATGTTTCTCGTTCTTCATTATATTTTTGTCTTATTATTTGTAAATCACGATTTTCAATTTGAAGATATTTTATTTCATCTAAACGTTTTTTTAATATTGTTTCATGTGATTCTTTCATTTGATTTCTTTCATCACGTAATAAATCATTAGCAGCATGTAATTGTTCATTTTCTAAACGAAATTTTAAATTTTCATCATTAAGATGTTTTATATCATTTTCATAACTAATTTGATTTTCTTGATATTTTTCTTTTAATTCATTATAATTTAATTTTAATTCATTATATTGTATTAATAAATCATCACATTGACGACGTAAATCAGTTTGTTCAATTGACCGTGTACGATCACGTGTTTCAACTTGTGTTAGACGTGCTAATTCATTTAGTAAATGTTCATTTTGATTTTTTAATTGTTCATTTTCCCGTAAACAATATTCATTTGATAATTTTTCATTTTTATATATTGTTTGTAATTCATTAAAATGTTCTTCAACATCAATTAGATGTGTATATTTATCTTGAAGTTGTTTATATGCTTCCTCAAATTCAGCATATTTTTGAAGCTAAAACATATAAGAAAATAGACATTGTTTTTGAGGAGTTTGTTTGTCATCTGTCTCTTTTAGTTAACAACAAAACGGATTTATAAGTATAAGACAAAGAACAAAAAGAAGTGCCTTAGATAAACTTGTCGGTTTTGTTCTTAACAAATAGAGACAGAATGTACTTTGTTGGCATCAATAAGAAAGCAAAATAATATAAATGAAATTCTACAAACCTGTAATTTGAGCTTTTCAGTATTATCTTCATCAGAGCGTGCTAGACGATGTACTTCACTTTTTAGTGCTTCATTTGTATCTTGTAATGCTTGATAATGAAAGGGATCAATAGAATGTGTTGTGGAAGAATCGGTTCTTGAACGTGTACTTGTTGGTGTTATATAAGGTTGTGGTTCATTAATATTTGAAGAATTATGAGCAGTCGAAGGCTAGAAAAAAAAAAGAATGAAAATGATGAAATCAAAAAAAAGCAGAAAAAAAACATTAAAACAAGAAAAATCTATTCATCAATTATCTAACCTGTGATATGGTATGTGGTAAATTCTGTTTTGACGTTCGAACATCACGAATAAAACCAGTGAAACGAGGTGATGATGAACTCGTCATAATAATAATTATTGTTTTTTTATTATTTTTATGATCAAACGAATCAATCTGTGCTTTCTGTTTCCTTTCGTTTGCTTTAGTCTCGCCGTTTGTCTAAATTTGAGACTGCTACATACATACACATATACACATACACGCGAGCGTAAATAACTAATATGATTATCTATGGAAAAGAGAAGAGTCTTCTGTAAACGGTAGTGATGTGATAAAAAAAATGTTCTATTTTTTTTCTCTCTCTCTCTCTCTCGTAACTGCAAGAGAAAATGAAAAGACGGGGGAAAAAAACGGAAAAAAAAACAGAACAGAAAGTGAGCGACAGAAATAGTCAGAAAAAAAAAGAGAATGTTCATCGACTAAACTCCAACGCTCGTGTGAGCGCATGCCGATGAAGATGTCTTTCTATTTGCACTTTTTTTTTCCTTCTTTTCTCACATGTCTTTCTTCCAATACGATGAAGATAATAAGAATGAAGAAAAAAAGCAAGAAAGAGAAAAACCAGAGGAACTAACATAAAGAAAAAAAATATATATAGAACTGATTCAATGAAAAAAAAAAAGGAATTTTCCTTTTGAATATATACATTACAAAAAGGGACTTGTTTTTGTTTCCTCTACTTTTTTCTATCACGGAAATGAATCGAGCGACAATGATAAAGAAGAAGGCATCTTTCTACCTCAGGGACAACCAATAATGTCGAAAGAAAACAGTTTCCGTCATTTTTTTTTAATATGATGCTTGATGACTTACGCGTCCATTTGTTCTCGAGTTCAACGATAATAATGATGATGATGATGATGACGATGATGATGACGTTATTGTTGAAGCTAAAAGACGTCGTTCAAGATATAATTTTTCTATATTTGCCTGACGTAGAGCTGATTCAAAAAGATTGGACTATAAAAAATAATATAGTTGTTTTTTAATTGAATTTTGTTTTTTTCTTTTACTTTGGATAATTGTTCAAGTCGAATATTTAATTGTTCAATTTCTTGATTTTTGTGTTTTAATAATTTTTGATATTCAACAGCATCTTTACTTGCTTGTTTAGCTAAAGCTCGTTTAATTAATTCTTTATCATGATCTTTCTAAATACAAAAAATATTAATAATATTTCTAAGATTATATTCATTTGTTTTCATTATTACTGGTTGATCTTGTTTTAATACTTCTAATTGCCACTCAAATCGTTTTACACGATCATGTAATTCAATATTTTGTCGTTGTAATGTCTGTTCTTGTTCATCATACACATGTTGATTCTAATTTTATAAGAACAAAAGATAATGAAAATAATAATGTATGATTAACTTCGAGAATAGAATTAACAAGTATATAAAAAAAAAAGAAATCCCTAAGCAGTTAGTTCTTTGTTGCTCCATAGCACATCGATGGTAATCATTTGAAATTTGCTTCTTTTCATTGAGCAGAAAAAAAGAAAATAACTCAAAAAGAAGAAAAATACATTTGAGATAGTCAGCTGATATAGTAAACAAATAAAAAAAGAAGCTATTAATATAACATTTATTAAACATATGTAGAAAGAGTTGTAGTAAAATATTATATTGCTATTAGAAGAAATGGGAATTATTTTTTTCTAAATTTTCGGTTTTCTTTTTATTGAAGAATGAGGTTTTTTTCTCCCTGAAAGCGAGTATATCATCTCAACTCTATAGAAACAAAATCACACTGAAGGACAAAAAGAAATATATAAAAAGCTTGAATAAATGTGAAAAAGACACATACGAAATTCACATTGTTAATTCAAGACAAGAAAATAGATAAATAAGATTCAAGAACAAGAGAAAAAGTTTGTGTGATATAGATTTTTCTTAATCACTGGATTGTTGTTTTAAATAGGCGATTAAATCTTTTCGTTCATCGTCTTTTTTAAGTCCAGCAAAAATCATTTTGGTTCCAGGAATATATTTCTTTGGATCTTTCAAATAAATCCAAAGTGTATCACCACCCCAAGTTATATTTTTACTTTTATTAGCTTCACTATAACTAAAGCCTGGAACTTGACCAGTTTGTCGACCGAATAAACTATGAAGGTTAGGTCCTTGTTTATTACCACCGCCTTTTTCTGCAGTATGACATTGAGCACATTTTGTCTTGAAAATTTTCGCACCTTTTTCTGGATCTCCACCATCCCACTCACCACCACCACCAGATGCTTCAGCTTTTGAATCACCTTTACCACCACTTTTACCGCCACCTGATTTTGCATCACCACCACCACCACCAGAGGCTTTATCTTTTCCACTACTTTTATCACCGCCCCCTGAAGCATCTGCTTTTCCACCACCAGATTTATTACCACCACCACTTTGTCCTTCATTTTTTGAACCACCTTTATCACCGCCGCCTGAAGCATCTGCTTTTCCGCCACCAGATTTATTACCACCGCCACCACTTTGTCCTTCATTTTTTGAACCACCTTTATCACCACCAGATTTATTACCACCGCCACTTTGTCCTTCATTTTTTGAACCACCTTTATCACCACTATTCGCATCACCTTTACTGGCTTTGTTATCTTTACCAGCTGCTTTTCCACCACTCTGTTTTTCATCATCACCAGCCATTATTTTAAAGTAATTTTGAATTTTACTTCTGATTTATGTGTAAAAAATAAGTAAGTAAGTAAGTATGTATTCTGCGCAAATGCGTATACTTATCGAACTAAGAATGAAAGAGAATAACAAAAAAAGAAAAAAAACATGTGATATAGGGGAGGATAGAGAAAAAGAACTGACGTCAAATCAAGGTCAGCGCCTTGAATGAATCATCTATGACTGAATAGAAGAACGAAGATATCACGAGCAATTCATACAGACAGTGGCGAATAAAAAGCAGAATGCGCAAAAAGAAAAAAAGAAATCTTTATTTGACTTACTGTTGAAATAACAACATCAGGATCACTACTTTTTAAAATTTGTATTGGTGCAATTTTTTTATATATATTTGCATTACTACCATCAACACAATTTGTTATTGACAAATTTTTTAATTGTTCAATATCATATGATTGTTCAGCAATACGTTGATCACGTACAATCAATTGTCGTTGTAAATAACGTACAAGATCTTTTTGATCTTGTTTGCAAAATAAATTTAATTCATGTTCGTATTGTAGACGAAGTTTAGTAATTTTAGCTGATTTATCAAGGTCAGATTTACATTTAACCTAAAGCAAACAAACCATTAGTAAATGCACAACGCATAAAGATAAATTTTTGATTCATTTACTGTCTATATATTTACTTAAATCGAATAAAAATATATACAAAAAAAAAATGGTAAACGATTCGATTAATCAAATCATTTTTGTATATTTAAATGTAGGTGATATCTGTATATAAATATTAGTAAGAGAAAAGTATAAAAGAAAAGAAAAAAAGTAAATGTATGTATACATATGGATCATGAAGTTTTACTCGTCAAAAAATGATTAAAAAAAAACACAAAACTACCTGATCATTTACATTTGAATCTGTATCTCTATTAGACTTACTTTATAAAGTGTTTCTAATTGAGTCTTTGCTTGTTTTACTGTTGCTAATTCACGTTTAAGTTTATCAATTAAAGTTATCAGTACTAAATTTGATTTATCTTGTGGAATAGAATTTGTATCTTCATTAATATTAATACCATTTGTATCAGTATTACTTTTAAAAGAAGAATTTAATGATGATGGACCTGTTTCACATGTTGATCCTGATGATGAAGTTGTTGATGGTGTATATAAATTAATTGATCTCGAATGAGCTTGATGATTAAAAAGTGTTTTAGTAAGGCTTGTTGTTTTCATCATTTTGATTGATTTATTTCAAATAATTTATCTATTCATGACACATACTATTCATTGACTATGTAAAACAAGAAAAAAAACCAATAGAGAACATCATCTGTCAATAAATTCGGGCATGTACATTTTTATTTTGGTGAATGAAAAAAACCCAGCGAGAAAGAACGAATAGAGAGAGCAACAAGCGAAGAAAATCGATCAGATCCGATGTCAAAAAAGAGAAGCGTGAGAAAAAGAAACAGAGAGAGACGTAAAAAGAGAAAAAAAAGATTCACCTGTTATACCTGTTCCTGAAAATGGGCGATAAATATAATAATGACTGTCCTTTTCATACGCTATCAATGATAATGGTAACGTCAATAAAAAAAAACAGAAAACGAAATACAAGTGATACATATGTATATACGGATTCCTACAATTCATTGAAGAGGAGAAGCCCCGTTTAAGTAATGACTTGACTACATACTATCATAAGGAAATGATTAAAGGACAAATTCTAAAAGTGAGCTTCTTTTAAATCGAGCTTCTCAATAAAGTTTTTTATTATGCCATAAGAAGGTCATTACCTTGAATAGTTTCTCTTATATGAACAAAACCAACCGCAGGGCACTATATATATATATATATATATGTATGTATGCAAACAGATGGGATCAGTGAAATTGATATTGAATGGTACTTCTTTTACCGTTTTTACGTCAATTACATATAGTTCTATGTATAAAAAACCACCTCATATTCAATATTCGGAACAAGTATTGATAATGCTCATTTGTAAAATTTACCAAATAATAGATGGAGAAAAAAATGATTCACAAAGAGTGGCTATACATATATATATATATATATAGAGTTTTAAGTGCCATTAGCTAAAAGAACCAGAAACCAATGATAAGCGTACGTATGTCATAGATTTTGGAATAAAGAATAAAAAAAGCATTAAGGATTTGCAATTTAAAAGCATGCAGTGAAACCAGTCAAACGAATTCTTACATCACTATAATCCGTGAAAATTGAGTAAGATATTTTTTTGAATGATGCCAAGTCATTATTGTTCGTTTCTACATGAAATAAAATACAAGTAAGGTATCACACATCTGATTTGATTTTAAAGAGCTTTATTGATTGATTGATTGATTGATTGATTGAATGATTTTTTCATTTTTTTTTCGTTCGCTCGGTTTCATACATTACGATTCTTTAAGATTTTTATTTGCCAATAATTGAACGAATTAAAATTAAAAAAACATCCTCGTTGCTTTTCAAAAATAATGAATATTCAAATTTATTATTTATCTACTGGAATAAATCTTTATACTTTTCTACATCATAAATTTCAAAAATAAGTTCTTTTTATATTGGCGCTACTAACAACGTATACAAAAACTATTTGTAAATAACCCTGAAGAAAAGTATTGAAGCCTGTAAATCGATTAATTATGAAAATGTTCGAGCTCATATTGGTTGTACATGAATAGAAAGTTGTCAAATGTAATAGATATAAATCAATACTAAATGCTGTAATTATTTTCATATGTATTTTTTTTAATATTTCTATCGTTTAATGTTGAATTCAAAATGATATGACCATTTTACTTAATCATTTATTCTCTAGATTTATATCATTATTTTAATTGTAGATAAGTAATGAGAAGATGACTGAAGGAACGGTTCGACGTACAACAAATACCGATGATAATTCATCAATATCAAATCGATTAACACGTACAACAATACGTGAAGCAAATAATCATTTACAAATGTTATATGCACGTAATCAAGAATTAGAACAAATAATTAATGAACAAAAAGAAGAATTAGATCAAAAAGATCTTGAATATAAAAAATTATCAAAATCAAATCAATTACTTGAACGACATTGTCAACAATTACAAGCATTACTTGATGATCGAACACAACGATTATATGTTTATGAACGAAAAGAAGTATTATTTCGAGAAACACTTGAACTAAAACCAGCTATCGAATCATTACTTGATGTATTAAATACATTTGAACAAGTAGATAATGCATCATTGTCATCCATTTCAATTAATGCTAAACCACTTCAATTTATACCACCAACTAGTAAAAAGAACAATACTGATGTCAATCATCGAATAGATACAGTTTAAATTTAATATAGAAATAGTAGAGAGACTTCCACTGTATTAAATTTTCAGTCAGATTCTTATTCTATTTTTTTTGGTTGTATGCTAATATCATTTTCTTTTGTGTTGTAGTTAATATAATGTATAATAATAATAAAAAATTAAATGTTTTATGGGAAATTTCTTCATTATGCAAAAATGCTTATTTATCATTTTTAAGGCTTAGTAAGAAATAATGGCTTTATTTATTCTCATTTTAACTTTTCTCTTAATCTGTCTACTGTCCTGTCATATTAGTTCAAAGTTGTAGGTTTAACACATAGCTTTCTCACATTGAGTAGATGTTGTTATATAAAGTGCATGATTGTTATGCATTCATGCTATACTTTTCTCTATAGATTTCTAAATGCTTAAATAAGTATTTAGAAATTCATATCTGTTTTAGTTTATTGAATTCTTTCGTGAGTCTAAAAGCTTGTCATCGCTTCTATTTATCCTAAATAAAGTATTTGATAAAATAAATTTCTATCGTACACAAAAAAGCGGTGTCCTTCATGAATATTAAGAATAAAATAACAAAAATCCTATGTATACCTAAGTAACTCAATCTCTAGTTAACCAATCAACTGAATGAAACGAAGCATCCTATTTTATATCCAAATCATCACAGTCTAAATAAATATTCTAAAAACAAACAGTTTTTTGGTTTTTTTTTGTTGGTTACAAATGTATTATGTATTAATACAACAATAAAACATATCTTTTCATCTTATATTCTTTCTTTTTATCATCAGCATCATTCTGACTATATATATAACAAAAAAAAGAGGAATAGCGAAAACGAGGAGGTATACAATTCAAAAAAAAAAGAAGGCCGAACATGAGTATGTGAGGTTCTAGAGATTTATATAAAAAAAAAGAACGAACGAGGCAATCATAATCCATTTGAGTTGTTGGAAAAGTAGATTTCAGTAAATAAGAATAATAAATACACCAAACACTGTTCACACATTTCGTTGCTCGACAGAAGTTTAAAAAAAAAAACGAAACAATCTATATACAAACAAAAGAGTTATTTTAATAAACGCATACGATATTGAATAATATTACTCAGCTTACATCTATTTATATATATATATATATTTGTGTGTGTGTGATAGAGAGAACAGAATCAATATCACATATATACTCTTCGAGTTAAAGAATAACAACGAACTAATTTGAGATCGAATACTAAAGATGATGGCAACAGTATTATTTTTCGATAAAAAGAAAAATGATCAACAACAAGAAAGACTTTTTTTTATATATATATCGGATTTTCTTGTCCAGTTAATAGACGATACATTTGAGTTGGCATTGTTTTCATTCGAAGCTAAAAATATGAAATGATTTTTAAAAAACCAAAAAAAAAATAAAATATAGAAAATTAATTAACTTACTTCACCAACTGAATTTGATAACATACTGACTATTCTTTCATGAGGAGTAGCGACAACACTATGTCCATTGATTTCTATGATTCGATGACCAACACGTACACCACCTCGTTCAGCAATACCACCACGAAGTAGACTACAAATCTAAAAAACAAATTCGATTACTGATATTTAATATAAATAAAAACTTGTCTTACAATGCCATTTTGTACACTAAAACCAAGCTAAAAAATAAAATAAAATAAACATGTATTTTTAAAACTTGAAAAGATTAGTCAAAATTTTTACTTGATATTTAGTATCCGGTCGTCGAATCAGTACTTCAACAACTGGTGGACAAGGAACAACGACTAATCGTACAGTTGTAAGATGTTTAACACTCTAAAATAAGGTTAACATGAATTTTTGTCTTTTTGTTTTTCAATATAAAAAAAAACAAATTCAGTACTTTTATTTGTGTTTGACAAGAAGATAACGGTAACCCAACTAAACTTATTCCATTAACTGTTATAATCTGATCACCAATATTTAAATGTCCACATCTAATTAACAACAACAAAATAAACACATTCAAATAATAATCTAGATATCTATTTTATGAAAAAAAATGTCTTCAAACAGATAAATCGAGACTATTTGAATTATGTAAATACAAATGAACAATAAATAACTTGAAAAAAGTTTGTGTTCTTATCTTATTGCTGTGAAGCTACTGTCCTTTTAAGGTATTTTTTTGTTAAATGAATGCCATAATAATAGAAAAACTGAATTTCAAATTTCGAGTTGAAATTTTGCATAGAGAGTCGTTTTAAGTCTTTTGATTTTATTCTATACTGAAACAAGAATATCAAATCTGCTGGTTTAAGTTAAGTGATGTAAAAGACATGCTATTACCATAGTTATATTTTAGGATAGAAACAGTGACATTCACAAAAAAATCTATTCGCGTTAAGGTCTTTCTCAATGCATCAGTTTTTCTGTTACTATAGCATTCATTTAAAAAATACTGTAAAATTACAGCATCTTCGCAGCAACTAATTAAGCGTACGACTTCTTTTCAGAATATTTATAGCTCATGTGAGTCTACATAGTACACGTTATCTCGTATCAATAGTAATTAATCAGTTGGAGAACATCTATTATAAGAAATGCAATAACACACTATTATTCTCTAATGAATTCTATCGTGTATAATTAATGTATCTATATTGATCATTAAAAAAAATATTCTTTTGATTTGCTAAAACAAACCTTGCGGCTGGTCCATTAGGCATCATATTTGCGATAACAACTGTTGGTAACATTGAACCCCAACCACTTTCAACAATAACAACACCAAGTGATTCATTCTTCGATTTTGGAACAATAACCTAAAGAAAAAAAAAAGAAAATGTAAAATAGAGAAAATTAAAATAAATGTTATTTTTTTTTACTTCTTTTTGACATTCTTTTTTGGAAAATCGATCTAATTCTTCATTACCAATTTCTTGTTGATTAAGTACTTCTTGATAATCAATATCACGCGTAAAACTTGGATCATCAATACCATTGGCTTTTAAAAATTCGACATACGCTACTTGAAATGCTTGTCCAATGGAATGCGCAATTGATTGAGCCTTTTCAATAGATATATTAATGATTATTTTAAAATTTCTCGATTGGAACTCACTTCTTCGGATTCAAAAACATGACAAATCATTTTTTGATTAATTGATACAACACGACGTGTACTTGTTTCATTTGTGTCATCATTTCCATTAATATTATCATCAGTATGTTGTAAATAACGTCGTTTAGCCATTAGTACAACAAGATCACCAATATCAGCTAAATATTTTCAAAAGAAATTAATATTTTATTTAAATTAAATGATGAATTACGTTTATATTCTGTAGATTTGAAGAAATATACCAAAAGAGTGAAACAAAAACGAGGTGTCGCAAGCACTGAGAAGGGGAAAGGGCTTGAAATTGATAAACAAAAAAGACAATAAAACTCGGGAACTCTGCTGAAGATTGTGGGAAGTCACTCCCACATATAAGGTTACGAATATTTTTTTCTCATAAAAAAAAAAGATACATTTGAAATATAATAACAAATAGTATAAGAAATACCACTCATACTTTTCCAAGAATATATGAGTCAGAAAAAAATTACACAAAATAGAATACATCGTAGAAACAGAAATGGTATGAATGTGAGTAGGTGAAGAGAAGACTCACACACCCATACCCATCTTTATATAAGTGTTCGCAGTTAATAGGATCATATTCATCAGATGAGATTATTATTATTATTATTATTGTTTGACTTTGTCTTATCGATCAATTAACTTTTGAGAGGAGAATATTATCTGCCAGAAATGGGCCATCTATTACTCATAAACACTAACTCTCTATCACCCATTTCATACTAATGCATTTAGCCATCAAATGTATCTTTTTTTTTTGTTGGTGATCAAAGGACAGTTTTTCCTGCATATAATCTATTCTTTATGGCTGAGTGGCTACATTGTTCGTGACTAGTGCCCGACGTGATCGCCGTGACTCACGAGTAGTCATGGTCACGACTATGACCGTGACCAATATTTTTAATTCGTGATCGTAACCGTGACTGGAGCTTGACCACGAACAGTCATGGATTCTAAAATAGTCGAGGGCATTCAGGGATTCAGCACTAAGGAGGGATAAGAGGATGTTCCTCAGGCTACCCTCTCGCCCCAGTCATCACTTTTAGTAAAAAACGGAAACTTTGCAATAGCTCTTTCTGGAATTTTTTTTTATGTTGAGGAATCAGACAAAAGGACCGTGACCATGACCAAAAAAAGTTGGTCATGCCGAGAACTATTCGAGACGTACCCACAAGGTATTGTATGCAAACCTCAGTATCTCCAGCCATGAAATGGCGCTGAACAACTGGCTAATGACTATTTGCTTCGGATCACCAATTCGATAGGATGCTGACTGTATTGTGACATTCACCTATTTTTGGGATTAGCTGGTGTTTATGGGGAGCTCAAGAACTATAGGAAGATATCGGAGTATTGAATCTGACGCTAGGTAGCTGAAAGAGAGAGATATACTGTCTTTATGACTATTTGATTTGAAAAAAAAACAAGTAATTTTTCTTTACTAACCTATATAAGATATTGATCTTAGAGAATGATCCATTAGAATGTCTTGTAAATCAGTATTTAAAACCATAATTTTTTCAGTTGATATAAATAAATCAACTTCAACTGATGGTTGACTTTCACCTTGTGGTGCTTTAATACGTCCAACAGCTTCTTGTGCTTGCATCATACGTGATGCTTTAGTTGGATTTCCTTCGGCAAGTAATTGTGTTGAACCAAGATAACGACAACGAAATAAAACACCTTCAATTAGTACTGACGAATTTTCTGGATCAACAATTGTTCGAGTAAGAACTAAAAACACGTATAATAAAGATATTTATTATTAAAATATTTTGTATTTTGCTAACACTACATGCATTAACAAACAACAACAACAACAACAACAAAATTTTTCGATTACTTACAAAAGAGAAAAAAAAAGAAAGGTTAAGAATCAGATTTTTATTATTAAAACAGAGAAAAACAAAAAGATTTTAATTTAAATAAAATAAAATAAAAATTTACCTTCTTGTGTTTTAGGTTTATTTGATGGTTTTGAAACAGCCTAAATAAAACAAACAACATAAGTTCTGGTTTTTTTTTCTTTATTTTATCAATATTTAAACATACAGCATCACGAACAGCTTGATTTTTAGCATGAATACGATGTTCAACACCAAGTAATTTATCTGTTTCTTCATCAGTATCATAATCTAAATAAATTTAATTTTATTATTATTTATTCAAAAATAATAATTGATAAAAAAAATGAAATCATATCATGCTTGTTTCTAACGACAAAATTAAAGCAATATGGGGGAAAAAATATAAAAATAACATGCGACAACAAACCCTTTTTTGGTAATGGTTTTATGTTAACATTTCCTTCATCTAAAGTTTGGTGTTTTTTTTTGTTTCTTTTAATTATATAAAAACAAAAAACAAAAAAAAATGTCGTTCTTACCTGTTTGACCACCTGAAGATTCTTCATTACTAGTTTTTTGTTGTTGCCAATTTGATTCATTTGTTGAACAATCTGTTGTTACAGGTTGAACAGTAGCTGATGATGATGATGATAAAGATGATGATGGGGGTGTTGCTGGCAGTGGACGAATATAAAATGATTTTGATTGAGATTCAAGACCATTTGTTGTTGTTGATTTCGAAAATTGTCGTTTATGTGATGATGTTATTAATGATGAATGATTTTGATCGAATAAAAAATCGCTTTGTGTGGATTGATGACGACCATTTGATTTTGATTTTATTGACGATGATTGTTCATCACCACTTATATTTTCTGAATCTGATAAACCATCTTCAAGTACAGGCATACTTGCTGTTGTATTAGATTTTTGACTTTCCAATGAAATAATACTATCAGCATCATTTGTACCAGCACCATCCGATGATAAATCTGGTGATAATTTTGATAAACTTCCATTTATATTATTATGATGCTGAAATGTTTGTGATGTTGATTTTTTATTTCTATGTCCAATTGAAACTGAATCCGATAATTTTATTGATTCACCACTACCAGCAGGTGAATGTTCACCACGTTCTTTTGTTGGAGTTGTTAAAGTTGAAGAGGCATGATCTAAATAATTTAGAAAAAAAAAAAGAAAGATTAATAAACAAAAAAACAAAAAAACAAAAACAATCATTGTAGAAATTATCAAGACACATATAAACAACAACAACATTAAGAACGGTTAATTATCACATTCTCACCACTATCTCCATTAGCTCGAAAATGACGTGATGATGATGATGATGATGTTGAATTTTCATATAATGTTACAAATGGAAGTGAAGTTATCTGATTAAGATAGAGATGTGATAATATCATTTGTTGTTGTTGTTCATTTAAATTATTTAAACGTGGATTAATACGATTTGAAAGTTTTTTATTATTTATTGAATTATTAAATAAATCAGTTAATGATTGTGATTCTCTAAATAAAGGTGTATTATTTGTCGTACCTGACATTGCTGAATGTTCTTGTAAAAGGCGAGCTTGTTGCTGTTGTTGTTGATTATAATAAGCCGATAATCCTTGCGGACCATAATGCTGTTCGATAAATAATGGATCATATGAAGGATAAAATGGTGGTAAACCATTGGTTGGTGTTGATGTTGTTGCCGATGGTGCTGATAGATAAGGTAAATAAAGTCCAGGATGTTGATGAGCAAATGGATAAACAGTAGGAGGCCATGGCTGTTGTGCATAAGGTGGAATAGATGGCGAATTTAAATCAATATGTGTAGATGATGGATGATGAATAGAACGATGATAATTATGTCCATTTCGTATTGTTTGTTGTTGATCTTCATTAGCTGAATCTGTATTTATCGAATCAGGTGTCATTTCACGTGATGATGATGACGATTGTTTATGTATTGTATTTGATGTCAATGGTGTTGTTTCACGTGATTGATGACCATTTTTAATACTATTTACTGGTGATGTTGTAGTATCAAATAATTGTAGATCATTTTGTGTTAATTGTGATGGTTTTGTTGTTGTACGACGTACTTGTGTAACTATTGTTTCAATATTTTTTTCTAATGCAGCATCAATACGTTTTTTTCCAACGGGATTAGTTGTAGATAATGTTCGAAATTGTTGTTCTTTTAAAGATGATGTCATTGATATAGGTTTAGCTAGACCGGGACCATTGACAGGAGATGAACGATCCGATATGTGTTGATTTTCACCTGAGATTAAAAAAAAAAGGCAAATGATGCATGTTAATGATTAGATCAATAATCAAATTATTTTTTTATTGTTCTCTCTGGGGAAAATGAAATACTAATGGTTATATTTATATTCTTTAAACAAACGAGAATGGTCGATTTTTTTTTTGAGTTTAACTAACATTTGAAATAATCGGAATATTTTAGTAATAATATAATTGTGAGGATGACAAAAAAAAACTGTTGACTAATGATTTATTTGCTAGCTATTGTTTTCTTTCTTACGAAGTGTATGATTTAATGGTGATGCTCTATCATCAGCTTTTGTTGTTGTTATGGTTGTTGTTAATGCTGATGTTGTCGTTGATAATGATCTATTATCGTCTAAAGTTGTAACGTTTACAGACGATGATGATTGTTGTTGAGGAACATTTTCATCAACCTGTATAATAAATAAAAGAAACAGGTGTTTACTCTTAAATAAATATATTATCTTAGTTTTGCTTTTTTATCGTTTTTTTTTTCTTCTAATTACTATTATCAAACCCGTAAGAACCTTGAATCATTAATAGTATTGATGACATTTTGTTCTGTATTGCTCATGCTACATCAACTTCTACCTCAATATGTACGTGTCTATCATTTTTCTCAAAAATTATAATAATGTCTGGTCAGAAAAAAAAGCAAACAAAAGCAATGAAGCAATTATGAGAATTACACAGACAGAAGTCGCATAGTTTAGTCTTAACAATAGATGGATAGATGGTAAAGTGAGAGAGAACACTCTTGGGTCGACGCGTCTACACAACGATCAACATATGCAATTAGAAGGATGGGTTGACTATATACACTTGTTATATTCTCTCTTTACTAGAAGACAGACAAAATCGATTCATATTTTCAACTATATATATATAGATCAATTTTTTTCTTTTTATTATTTAGTTTGAATAATTATGTAAGTTCGATGACATTTTTGTTATTGAAAAATATTTTCTCGGCTTACAAATTTGAAATAGAAGAAAAAAAAAATAACTCACATGACGTTGAGTATGACGATGATGATGATGATGATGATGATGTTTTCGACGAGGTTTCGCCCCCGCCGTAGTTGTAGAAGTAGAATTAGTTGATGATAAGGAAGGCATATTTTATATATATTGACTCATAGAACCTCAAGATATCGCTGCTTGTATGATTATCGTTGTAGTGGAAAAAAATGGATGGAAAGTAATACTAGACTGCTGTCTCAATGCCAAAACATATAGTTCGTTCGCTCTATCAATCTCATTTCTCATTTATGCCTATCTTTTCTATTTCTCACTGGTTGTTCTTCGTCTTTTCTCTCTCTCTCTCTCTCTCTCTCTCTATCTATCTATCTCTATCTTTCCGTATCTTCCTTCTCTTTCTTCTGTGCTTGGAGACTATCCCATCCATCTGTCAATATAAAGGGTAGAAAAAAAAAGAGGAAAAAAAGAAAAAAAAAAACTTCGTACGAGACATCGAAAGCGACGGAACTTTGAATGCGAGTAACGAGTAACAAGTGCCAAAGAAAGAGATAGAAATAACGTCAACTAAGAGATGGATCAATCAGACGATGAATTCTTTTCGCCAATCTATATGCTAAAAAAAAAAGTTCATGTCCTCATCATCATTGAACACAATACGATGGCGGCGTCAAAAAAGACAGAATAGAAAAAAAAGACAACGAAAGGGAGAAAATGAATGACACGCGATTAACATAGAAGATCAGCAATATTTTGAACAAACCCTATACTAAATAAGGAATACAACAGACAACGGAAGTAGAATATTTTTCTCTACTTATCATTCGTCAATGAGAATGACATTCTTCGTTTTTCTTCCTTTTTTTTTTTAATAATACTGCCAATAGCAAGGACAATAGATTAGTTTAAAGAACTGGACATAAGGCGGCAATGAATATAGACATAGGAAACGATATAGAGATAGACAGATGTGTCGACATGCGTATGCATCCAATATATATGCATTGAATCGACACTAATTGATGAACACAAGCAATAACAAGAAAAGAAAAGAAAAATACCAAGGCGAAATTTTTTGACAATCAACCGTAAAATTTTCTCAAAATATAAGTTAGATCTTTATTTGATTTACTATCTTATAATAACAAATCTATATCTAATTTTCTAGACTTTTTTTTTGTTTTTTTGATTTCCAAACAAATCAAATAGAAATCACTTCTATTTATTTATTTTTTTCTCAATCTATTCCAATAGATATTATTACTTGTGATTTTAAATATTCGTTTGTATTAATATTTTCTTTTTCATCATTAATTATTTCTGGAATTGGTGTTTTAGATAATTCATGATTATCTAAAAATATAAATGAAAATTTTTCTGTTTTTTTTTTTCAAACACAATTTTATAATATCATTCAAACCTTCTTCAATAGTATCATCAGTTGATTGTTCAATAATATTTTCATGATTAATGACGAATTCTTTATCATCAACATCATTCTTATCATTAACAGTTTGATAATGTCGATGTTCCATTTCGTCAATATTATTTATTCAGTTGTAACCATTCATTCACATATGTGTGACGAAGTGGCTAAAACAAAAAGAACAAAAAAGAAACAGATTAAAATGAAATATACTTTTAAAGAAAGTGACTGACTACTTTCTTTAACATGGTCCTCAGGGATAATGTTAGATTATGGCATTAAAAATAAAAAGGAAAGAAAGATGAAGTTGATTTTAATAGTTTGCGACTTACTGTCTTGTCTTACTCATATTAAATCATACGATAAATTGATCGAATTAACTTTTTAAACTAATTCCTAATAAGATGTGAAATGGACAATTGCAAAAAAAGAAATGTTAAAAAAACACTTCTTTTTTTTTAATTTGAAAAAGAGTAAAAAAGTACTACATAACACGTGGACTACTTATAGCAAATAGTAATGTTCGTAATAGTGACGAAAAAAAAAGAGTATAGTAGTAACAGTAGAAAATAAAAGAAAAAGAAATAGTAAAGAATGAAAACGTAACGAGAACGAGACACATTTTGAATCTAATACACTATTGTAAGTTATCGTTTTACTTTGCCTTGTGTTTGTTTGTAGGCTTTTTTCCTTTTATACTCCTCTCAATTCTTTTCTCTCTATCTAATAGTGTTAATAATAATGACGATGATAGTGATGCCATTCCAAAATATTCACATTTTTGCACAAACAAAAATCTTGCATTTATGCATATATATATATGTATATATGCAGTAGGTAGACGGGTATTATTCATTTTTCATTATTCATCATACAAAAAAAAGAAACATAACAAAGTGAATGAATGAAGCTAATCTCACCAAGTATCCCGACCGGGTTTTAACTTCATCGACATAGAGAAAGAGAACGATGGAAGTAAAAGCACGAAACGGAAAAAGAGAATTATAGAGTGGATATATATTGCGTGTTCAATGACCAACAGATAGTAATTTTACTCTCACTCTCATCTTGACTGGCTTCTATCATTGACTGCGTGTTTCACACAGTAAGAAAGAAAAGAAATTAAAAAATAATACCACGAATAGAGAGATTCAATGAATAGTTCTGGTGTGTTACACAAGAGAAGAAAAAAAACATGCACATATATATTAATATATGTATACACATCGGTAAATGGTTGGTACCAAGAAAGAGAAAGAGAGATCAAGTAAAAAATGTCTATCTCGCTGACTTGATGGAGAAAATCTATTTGAATAGAAAGAAAGAGAAGCAAGACAAAGAGACGTTGGTAGTTTTTTATTCCAATCAATCCGAGTAAAAGAGAGAGAGAGAGTGAAAGAACACCTTTTTATATCGGGTCATGAGGAAAGAGAGCCGATTGAAAAAAAAAAGAAAGAAATGTTCACTAAAGCAATTAGACGTGTACTTGATGGACACTATTTATAATATTGAGCTTCTTCAAGTCTATTTTGTTTAAAGATACAACTTATAGAATAATATACTTAAAGGTGTATATAGTTAAAAATTCCATTACATGATAAAAACTCACTCAATTGATAAATCATTATTATTTTGGATATTGTTATGATTATAAAGAAAAAGAAAATAAGCGGCATATAAGACTAATCGACAACAGAAAAAAAATGCACATTATCATCATTTAGATGAAACAAAAAACTAACAAGAATGAATAGAAAAAAAGAATGGTGAAAAAAAAAAAGAAAGAAAATTAGATGAAAAATAGTAGGAGGGGAATATCCTCCTCTTTTTTTTTTTCTTCTTTTTTTTTGTTGTCTGCATGAGAATATATAAACAACAAAAGAGCGGATAAGATTTTTCGATTACTAGACAAATGAGAAGAACACAAAAAAAAAAAAAAAGAAAAAAACAACAAATTGCATTGGTAATAAGACATAAATATATCAAAGATCGAATAATATTTGAAATAATAATTATTATTTCCATTTCAATGACAAAAAAATGAGACTTTATTATACAAATTTTAGATAGAATATCTTGTTTTACATTATTAGTCTTATTCATATTCTTACTTGATATCGTGAAATACTCAAAGGATTCAATGAAGGTATTACTGATAAAATCTTATCGAATGTCTTTTTTTTTTCGAAAGAAATATGAGATTAACGAGACTTACATACTCATTTACTAATATTTACTGTTTAAAATGTCATTGAATGACAGCGAGGGAATTCCCTATTGTCAATAATTATTCGACTTTAGATTTCATTTTACAAATATGTATTTATGAAATTGAGAAAACTTTAAAGGTTCTTCCTTATGACATTTCCGTATAGAGATTTTAAATGTCTTGTAAAATGAAAGTTATATGTTTTTTTGATATGCATAACTATGCATGATAGTATATTCTAACGAAGAGGAATTTTTATTGAAAACATCTGGAACATATAATAGACAAGATGAAGAATCTATTCCAAACAACTCTAATTTCTATGTTTCACAGTAATGCATTAAAAAAAATAATGAGAAATTTACTCGTAACCAAGTTATAGAAACAATCAATATCTGACAATGTTAATTACATATCCGTAAATAGTTTTATTTTTATTCTACATAATATATGAAATTAAATACAAAATAAAAGATAATAGTATTAGATAAAGTCAGAACTAGCCTAGGGCGACAGTTAATATTGGTGAAAGGGCGTTGCAATTTTTGGGAGGTTGTAAACATGTTGTGTCTAAGAGAACACACGAAAAAAATCTCGGTTTCTCTGGAAGAAAACAAAAATTTTTCTTGATTCAAGGGTATCATATTTCCTTTTCTTCCCGGTCTGGTTATTCCTAGATAAAGTCTTGTTTTCAATAAAATATATTAAACAAAATTCATCATACTTATACATAGATTTCGAAGAATTACATAAAATATCTGATCATTAATTAATTAGATAATAATCGAATTAATCTGAAAAAAATAAACGTATAAAGATCTAATTTAAAAGGTGACGATAATATATCAATTTATTTTTAGAAAAATATATACTTATGATAAAATATAATATCAAATGCTTATCTGTTTGTGTTTTTTTCTTTTTCATAAAATAAATTTAAAAAAAAAAGGACATTCATTCATATTTTTCAAAAATTTAGCATACGCTTAAGAACTTCTAAACAACGCCATTTAGATGGAAAATAGAATGGTTCAAAAACGTGTGGAATAGGATGAATATCATAACCACAAACACGTTCTATTGGTGCTTCAAGATTTAAGAAACATTCTTTCTAAAATAATAAAAATTTTAATATTCATATGAATCAAAATAATTAAGATACATACTGAAACAGTAGCAGCGATTTCAGCACCAACACCACCAGTTATCGGTGCTTCATGACTTATAAGTAATCTACCTGTTTTACTAACTGATTGACAAATTGTATCAATATCCCATGGTAATATTGTTCGTAAATCAATTACTTCACAAGATATATTGTCTTTAGCTGCCATTTGTGCTACTTCACGAATAACATGAACTTGTGTTCCCCATGAAACAAGTGTCACATCAGAACCTGAATTTAAGATAACAAAAAAAAAAAAATGATATTCATACAATGTATAAAAGAGTCACGTACCTTCAGATATAATTTCAGCTTTAGATAAAGGAATAGTATATTCTTTAAGTGGTACATCTTCTTTAGCAGATCGATAGAGGATTTTCGGTTCAAAAAATATGCATGGATTATCATCTTTAATACATGATAAAAGTAATCCTTTAGCTTGAATTGCACTACGTGGAATAACAACCTAAATAAAAGTAATTGAAGATAAATATATATATATAGAGAGAGAGAAAGAGAGAAAATGATCCATAAGTAGCTTTCCAATAAAAAAATTAGAATATCTCTACTTTGTTTCACTCTATGAAACTAATTCTTTCTTGTATGATAGAGGAGATTTCAGAGTTTCTTTTCCATAAGAACTCTATGACCTTACAGATTATAATATGCATCTAAAATTTCGAAGTATATTTTTTTGAAATTTCTATAAAATCGAACATTAGTAAGGATAGTCAAAGTAATTCTCGTTGTCACTTCATTGTACTTAAGAAAAGACAAGTATCTATATTAAAGACATCGCACAACGAAACACACGATCGAATATATTCTATGTACACATGCATCTGTTATAACTATCCTCAACACTATTAAAGATAGAAATTCCTTTTTGAAGTAGATAATGATACTTCAAAGTATTATTTACAAATGTTGTTCTCATAGAAAAAAACTCTGAAGTTTCCCCTATCACGACGATTATCGTAAAGCTACTTATGGACTACCGTTAGTATTGAACACGATCAATCGTTTTTTGGTCCCAGTTAGAAAAATTTTTTTGTTCTAGTTTCGTGCTTATTAATACAAGTACTAGTGAAAAATACGATGTCATTTTCTAGCAGTGTCGATGAGTTCGAGACATCTTTCACCACCCGTATAACATCTAATATTTTTCTTCTTGGAGATCTAGTACTATGTTTTATTTTCCAATAACACTTCGTCTATTCTGCAAGTTTATATGTTCGACAACTCTGTTGTTTACGAAAAGAAAATGATTAATTTTACTATCAAAATTATAACAGCAAATATTGAAGTGATTGTTACTCAATAATTTTCGCATAAACTTTTAGAACACATGAGTCATAAGAATATGACATTTATGCAAGTTTTATAAGACCATAAAAGATATCATTTCCAACGTACAACTGTTGGTCCCAGCGGGACTATCTTGTACATATCTAACCATACTGTATATATCTTAATCATAAAAGAATAAAACAGAAATCCTTACCTTAATGCCAGGTGTATGCAGAAATTGTGCTTCAGGTGATTGTGAATGATAAAGTGCACCATGTCCAACTGCACCCCATGGTGCACGAATAGTAAGACGACCACAATTGAATAAATTCTGTGAACGATATCGATATTTAGCTGCTTCGTTTACAATCTAAATAAAAAAAACAAGAAACAAATAGATATAATATCTAATACGTTTATGATTTATTTATTACTTGATCATATGCTGGAAAGATATAATCAGCAAATTGAATTTCAGCAATAGCTGTTGTTCCAGCAACAGCTGCGCCTATTCCAAAAGCAACTATACCTTGTTCACATAATGGTGTATTAAATACACGATCAGCTCCTGAAAAAATTTATAAAATTTATAAACAAAATATGTTTTAATTGGTTGTTTTTTCTTTGTACCATATTTTGATCTTAAATCTGCTGTACATCGAAAAACACCACCAAATGCAACATCTTCACCGAATATAACTCAAATATAAATTCATAATAATAATTATTATTATTATCAAAACTTAAGCATACTAGCGGTATGATCATTTCCGAGTGTAATACCAAGTGCATTTTGAATTGTTTGACATAGGTTCATTTCTTTTGTTGGACCTTAGAAAAACATAGATTTAATTTTCTATGTTCAAAGAAACAGAAACAAGACTATAACTGACCATGAGATGGGTCCGGTTTATCTTTGAAAAAAGTAAAATGAGCAAGACGACGTCGTAGAAAGAACGACGAACATGTTGATACGGTAGTTATTAAACGATGAATGGGCAGATTCATAAGTGAGGATAAAAAATCTGAACAGAAGAAAAAAAAAATTATTAATCGATTGAGACGCAAATGTACAATACGATATACGGGTCAGCGAGCCTGTTTGTTATACTCAATCAATCAGTTATATCAACAGCCAGCCACCATATGTGTGAGTCGCAGAGGCTATTAGACTTTCTTTTTTTTTTCAATACGTGTATAATTAACCAATGAAAAATCGAAAAGATCGAAAGATGGCATTCCAGGTAGAACACTATATAATTGTATTTTCTTATCAAATTCATTAATTAGAATATTATGTTCTATTAATTTGAGCATTGAAAATTAGAAAATATTTACAATCATAATTTAATATCGATTGAATATGCAGAAAATTTATAACATTATCAAGAATCTATAGTCTTAATTAAAGAAATTATTGAATTGTAAATAAAATGATATCTATAATAATTAAATTTACGAATGAGAATTTATAAATAGGCTCAATCTAGTTAAGAATAATAATAGACTGTTCTTTTTTTAGACTTGCAAGAAAGATCCATCATAATTATGGAAAAAAAAATTGTCTCAATGGATCTATTGATGTTATGTAAACTTATGATCAATACTATTAAAATGATTATTCGCCAATAAATTGCTATCATATCAAATATCCTTTTTGTTTTTCGTACATTCTGACATGCAGTGTACTCCTTAACCCTAATATAGAAGAAGATATTTTCGTTTGTTTCATTTCTGTTATAGAGAATAAGTTTATAGAATTATCATAAAATTCTTTTACTAGAAAAAAAGTCTTTGTTATGGATATTTTAACTTCGAATTCCCAACAAAAAAAGAAACATTTGTTCTTAATAGAAAGATATATAAATAGTCCGAATGACGTATAAAGAAATCAATTAATATAAACAAACTTTCCTAAGATAATATGATCTATTGTATGATTATCTCGAAGAAACAATAATAAACATCTTGTCTTGTTTTTCGGTCATGATACATTATTCAATTACTCGTAAGTTAATCAATGTAATGGGAAAAAAAAATACATATCTTACAATGAACTTTTGTTTAATGTCTAAAGATTCTAGTTTAATTATTTTTTATACATGATTTCACGTTCTAAACATCTGTCGACGATCATGTAATTAATATGACAATATGATGACAACATTTGAGCCATAAATAATATCTCCATTTTGTCTATATGTAGAACTGTCAACAACACTATTTTTTACTATTCTTTTGAAGAATTCAATATCTTTGTATCAAACAAATTTCATCTGTTATCTTAGAATAATATAATAAAGGCATAGAGGACGAAAGGTCCTCAACTAATCTGCGTCATTTTCACTCATATTTTATATGCATATAGGTGACCTTATTCTAAGCAATAGTCTAACAAGATTTGGACTGCTGTGGCTTCTTTCAATAGATATAAATATTTTTACTCTCATATTAAGAGATAAACCATGTCAATATAACTCATGATAGAACTATTCTAATAAGGAAAAGAAATATTTAATTTTAAATCTAAATTCTTAATTCAATGTTTTTCGAAAAAAATTCTGGGTATAGACCCAAAATAGGCATACGACAATAACAATACCATCTGGTATTAACTAATATTCTTATTGACTGGTATTTAGTATTAATTAATGTTAGTACTAGCATTAACCAATATGAAATATCTACCTCAAAACCATATTGGTATTGTGTCATGCGTAGTCCAAAGTTTTGTAAAAGATTTGTAATTTTTGACCAGAAGATCTTAAGCAAGTATTTATTTTTAGGATTTTTTTAGTCTCATTCATATCTACTTCTGTTGATAATATACAATTGTAATTTGTAAGAAATTAGAGCAATTCTCACATTAGTTGTACGAGTTTTATTAATATGATTTCTCTTTTTTTTTCTTCGTAAATATTTTTTATTAAAATATGTTATTTGCAAGGTAACAATATAGTTATTCATAGTTTTTAATAAAGGTTAAATAGTATTATGGGGTGCATATATATATATAAAAAAAAAAAATAAAGCAGTTCTTATAAATAAATGTAGCTTGATTATAATTTAATAGGTACGTGAATATGAAGAAAACCATCACTTTGTAATTCCGTTTTTAATTGATCAACTTCACATGTAGGAAATAGATTTATTTGACGATAACTCTGTTCATCTATAAATTAAAAAAAACATAAGATCAAAAATAGATTAGAATTTATATTTAAAAAAAAAAAGAATCTACATACTCATATGTTGACCAGTACTTGATAATACTTTATTTTCAACATCAACACGTAAATTATGTCCATTAAGTGTAATTTTTAATTGATCAGATTTTGTACCAGGTTTCATTTCTAAACGCATATGAAGAATTTTCTTTCCATTTGCACCATCAATAATTGATGGATTCCAAGTTTTATTTTGAAGAAATTCTTCAAGTGTAAACGTATGTCGTTGATTAGTTGTAGTGGTCTAAAATAAAAATGTAACAAAAAAAAAACGATAAAATAAAATATTCTGTGAAATACTTGTGAACCACGTCTTTCACCAGTATGCGATTGTTGTAATGTTGATGGTGTTGATGTATGTGAAGTTGTAGATAATGATGAATGTGTATCTTTGCTATTTGTCATTGGCACTGAAACATGATGACCAAGATTTGGATCGGTTGTTTTTGTTACAGAAACTTTTCGTTTTTGAATTGTTATTGTACCACCTGTAGCTAATAATCCCGGTGGAATTTCAATTGGTAACTCAGACAAATCTAGCATAAATAAAAAGTTTCGGTAACAAAAAAAAAGAAAAAATTTATTTGAATCTTATTCGAACCTGCTAATGTTGAATTTGTTGTTTTTGTTGTTGCTAATGAAGTAGGTTCATTAATTATGATTGGTTGATTACCTGTATTTGATAAACGTCGTTCAGTTATATGTATATTAGATGCTGGTGTAGTGCCCGTTGATAACTCTGCACTACGAAGTAATTCTGTTGCTTCAGGTGGAAGCCCTGTTGACCCAGTTGATGTTGTTGTTGTAGTTGTTTTTGTAATTGACGTTCTTCGTACTTGTTGTCCTTGTAAAGGCGAATTAGATGTATTATTTGATGGAGATAATAAACCTTGATTATTTAATGTATTAAATTTATTTAATGAAAACGATAAACGACGTTGATCATTAAGATCTTGATTAACACTTAAATGATCAATTGCTGGTAAATGTTGAAAATTTGGATCCAGAGGCATTTCAACAACTAACATATGACCTGGTGTTATATATGATGCGATGGCACTAACATCAGCATTATTTGGTAAATCAAATGATTTTTCAAATTGTTTTTGTGTATAAAGTCCTTCACGATGTTCTTCATAAACACCTGTTATTGTTAATTTACGATTTTGAATGTAGATCTAAGAAAAATAAAAATGAAATGATGAATTTTTATTATTATTTGTTTTTCTTAATTTACTTTAATTTGATCGGGTTGAAAATTTTCAACATCAAAAGTAATACGAAATTTTTCTGTATCATGAGAATATTTGTTGCGTATAGATGATACACTTGGACGACTTAACCATCGAATATGTTGATCTTGACCAGGAGTATAATTAAATGCATCAAATGAAATATCATTTTTATTATTGCTATTAGTTTCTAAACTATTATTTGTACGATGAATCGAAACACTTTGAGATGACATTATTCTTATCAATTTTTCTTGGATGTCGTTTGTTCTACTGTTGAAAATAAATGTCTACAGTTGTGTCGATGGTATATATACTCTATTCTGTCTTTATGGGTCAGATAAGTTGGTATGATTATGACGAGGAAATAATGCGTTAAAAATAGAACAATAAGAAAATAGTAGTAATCAACAACAACTATTCAAAGAAAAACAATGCGTTCTACTTTTGGAGGACACTTTTTTTTCTTGTAGCTATCTATATATTGACAATATTTACCAAGCACCTTTCAATCAAATCTGTATGATGAATTTTTCTTGTTTTCTTCTTATTGAATTATTATGCTTTGTTATTGTTGATAATAGAAAATTCTATTTTAGGTTTTTCTAGGCGTAAAAAAAATACACGTAGATAATATAGCTGAAAAAATGAATACATATTTATATATACGAATATTACAATGATGCTTGTTTGTAAGTTGTCTTATTATATTTAGGTCTAACCCATCAAGAGACATGAAAAACATGTCATTCTGTATAACAAGAAATTATGCTTAAATAAATACCATATCAGACAGTCAAGACAATGAATTATGATATAAAAATACAAGCAATAATGATAAGACGTTTGTCTTATAGATATCCTTAAAAACAATTATTTTTCATTCATTGTTATTCACAATGAACTTTTATATTGAAGACAAATATGAGCAAATATCATAAGAGTTAAGATAGTGTTTTAATGGAATAGAACAGAAACTAGATTGTTTTTCTTTTAGGCAATACGTAAAATAACATGTAGACCCGAATCTGAATCGACTACATCGCTCATTTCATTGACATCTAATGCAAATGAAGCTTCTTCAAATGCTTTTTGCATTGCACCATGACCAAACATGCCAAGATCACCTTTAAAAATAATCGATATTAAATATAATTCATAGGAAAAAAAAAATTTACCTCCACGTTGACCTGAACTACAATCACTTTTATCTTTTGCAATACGACGAAATGTTGATTCAAGATCATTAGCATTTTTTAATTCATTTATAATTTCTATCAATAAATACAATAAATCAGTATATATATATATATATATAAATTCTGTCGAATTACAAACCATCAAGTCTATTGCGAGCTTCAGTTTTACTACGTGTGATTGTTTCACCTTTATAATTTTTTGGATTACGTGATCCTGTATGTTTAACAAGTATATGAAGTACTTGTACTTGACCACCATTTGCTGCTTTTCGTCCACTTGATAATTTATTGCTCATAGAATTTGGATGTTCCCATTGACTTTCTTTTGTTACTGGATCAATATAATATTCTTTTCCTATACATAAAATGAATTGCAAAAGTTTAAGACACCTTTTGACTTCAGTGGCTTCTATGAAAAGAAATGGGTCAATGACGTATTTTGAGTGACATATAAATATAGAAGTCAAAGTCTACGCAAACCACCCATTCTTGATTAGATTGATGATAGCGAGAAGCAACAGAGGGAACTTCAACCCTTTCTCTAACAGGCTAAAGTGTACGACATTTTTAATATTTTGGTTATTATATCGTTATTGAAAAACAGATCATTTTGAAAAATTATTATTTATAAGAATTTAATATTATTACTGATTAACTCGAGAAATAGTTTTTTTTTTACAAATTATGATCTTCAAGTGTTCCGTTAGAGAAAACATTAAAAACTGAATAACACAGTGTATTTTTGTTTTTCAATAACTCTTTATAACAGAGATTTTTAAACATTAATTAAAGTTTAATTAGTAATCTATTAACAATTAAGAGACATAAGCTCTAAGTATAGACGTCAGAACTTCAAACAATAGTACATTTTGTAAAGCAGACTTTGTTTTATCATATGAGACCTTGCACTCTTCTAGTCAATGTGTCCATCATCTGATACAACCATTTCATTGTTGATCACTAGTTTCAACGATGATTTTCAGCTATTTTTCGCTTGCTTCTTACCTTAGTATTTTCAAAGTGCTATATATCTGACAATGAACACATTGCATAGAAGAGTGCAAGATCTCATATGATAAAACAGCCTGTTTTACAAAATGCGTTATATTTTAAAGTTCTGAAGTTTATGCTTAGAGTTCAGTTTTCTTAATTATTAATAGAGCATCAATAAAATTTTAATTACTGCTACAAAAACTCTGTTATAAAGTGTAATTGAAAAAGAGAAATACACAGTATTATTCAGTTTTTAATTCTCTTTCGAACAGAATATTTAAGGATCAAAATTAATAACAGAATATTTCTATAGTTAGTAATTAATGAAAATAATTAATCAATAATATTAAATTATTAAAAATAACAAGTTTTCATATTTTTTCTACTAAAATTTAACTCATTTCATTCTGCATCTAATTGTATATTTTTGAAAATTGTCTCTGTTTTTCGATAATCAAAATATTAAAAGTGTCTTAAACTTTTGCCTGCTAGAGAAAAATTAAAGTTCCTTCTTTTTCTTCATGCTACAATCAATTAGATTAATAATGGATCATTTGTGTAGACCTTGGCTTTTGCTTTATATGCCACTCAAAATATGTCATTTACTCCATTTCTTTTCATAGAAACCACCGAAGTAAAAAATGTCTTAAATTTTTGCGGTCCACTTTATTTAAGATGTAATATTGATATTTATAATCTTTAAAATTAAAGACATACCAGTACGACTTGACATTTTGCTAACCCAACCTGGTGGTAAATCAGACATTTATTGTAAAACAAAAACAATAAGACAAATAAAAATCTGAAAGAAAGAGAAAATTTTATATATGTCTCTTGATTCTATGACTTCATAGAAAAAAAAATGTTCAATTAGTTTTATTCAGTTTTATTTTATTAGATTTCAATCGGTTTTTTTCTTAATTTTTTTTTTCAATAGAATTCATGTTTAGTTTATTGTTTTAGAAAAAGAAGAAAAAAAAAAGAGAATAGAAAAAAAATCTGATACACTTAATCATTACACATAAAGATCTGTTGAATAACACACAAAAAAAAAAAAAGAAAAAGAAAAATTTGAAAAATAACATCATTAATGTTGTTCATAAAGGTGTCTATGTGATTGATACGATTAGACGCATTTACATACAACAGAAATTTTTTTTTTTTTATCATTTAGCAAATCACACATACGCTACATGTTGTTGAGCATATCAGAAAATTACACAAATAGAAAAAAGAATATTTAAATACACAGAGAAATATCCTGTCCAATATGAATAAATATACAAATACACATTTCATTTGAACATCAGCATCATATTTTTTGTTTTGAATACAAGAAAAAGATAATTCTGTTTTTACTTGTCATTGTTGATGCTTGTTGTATTTGTTGATGGTGGCCATGTTGATACAAAATCGTCAAATCCACGTGCAAACGGATATGGATTATCACTATCTTTCTGTAAGTTATAACCATCATTTGAACAAATTAATGTTAATAGTCGAATCATATTAATTTGGTGTTACGGTAGACGAAGTACAAGACGGTCAGAAAAGATAGATAGACGTATGACGACAGATTGTCCTCGTCGTTGAATGAAAATGAGAATGATAAACAACGAGAGAAGAATGTGAAAAAGAAAACAGGAAGATAGACATGATGAATATAATACTTATTTCTATGTTTAAATTCATCTCGATGGACGGATCATATTTTTCTCTTTCTTTTCGTTTCTGTGTTTACTCCATGAAACATCGTGATGATTATGTATATGTGCTTATGTTAAAGTAGAACAAAAAAAGAATTGTTGTTTCCAACCATATACTTATTGGACGATAGGTAGTAAAGTTTAAATATAATTTTTAGTCTAGCGAGTATATTTAAAAATATTGCATATTGTCTTTTTCAACAAGCAAACATTTATGCAGAAATATGGAATGAAAAAAAATGAATACTTTAAAGATTTAAATCGTCATTCATACTAACACGTGCTACATAAAACAAAGAAGAAAAAAAAGACATGTTACAAACAATTATCATTTGAATAAGTTAATTAATTATTGTGAACTTTGATCAACGTCTTTTAATCCACCCATACAAATATATTTCAGATTAACATAATCTTCTATTCCATATTTAGACCCTTCGCGACCAAAACCACTCTGTTTAATTCCACCTTTTATTCAAAATATAATAGAATAAAGATGAACAAAATAAAAATTTAGATTAATTACCAAATGGAGCTTCAACAGATGAAATAATTCCTTCATTTACACCAACCATACCAGTTTGCATTCGTTCAGCAACACGCCAAATTTGAGATATATCTTGGCTATACATATAAGCTAAACAACAATCAAGAAAAGACTTCATTGAAATTTGAATAAATATTTATATACCGGCTAAACCAACATCAACTGAATTAGCAATTTTAACTGCTTCATCTTCAGTTTTAAATCTATAAACATAATAAAAAAAAAATTAACAAAATAAGATTCTCTTTTTTGTTTTCTTACTTGATAATCGCAACGACAGGTCCAAATATTTCTTCCTGTGCAACTCGCATCGATAATTTGACATCTGCAATAACTGCAGGTTCAACAAAAAAACCCGAAGTTTTTCCTTTTTTCTCGTTTCCACCTATTGATATAGAAAATTATTTTTACATACTATATAAATTTAAACATTTCTATTCTAACCAGTAACAATTCTAGCTCCTTTGTCTTTCGCATCTGAAATAAAATCAAGAACTCTTTCATATTGTTCTTTATTAACAATAGGTCCTAAATGTGTCTTTTCATTAAAACCATCTCCAACAATTTGTTCTTTAGTTTTCTTTGTCAATTCACTAATAAATTCATCATAAATTCCCTAGATAATAAACTTAAAATATTTTTCAATAAAAATATATATTCTTACTTCTTGTACAAGAAATCGATTTGCACATACACATGTTTGTCCCGACGCACGAAATTTTGATGCCATAGCACCTTGTACAGCTTGTTTAACATCAGCTGAATTAAAAACTAAAAACGGTGCATTACCACCAAGTTCCAATGATATTTTTTTCACTGTTGATGCACACTGAGCCATAATCTTTTTACCAACTTCAGCTAAATTAAATAGACAAAAAAAATATAAAACATCAAATCAAATTTTATTATCTTTACTCGATCCAGTAAATGACATTTTTGAAATCAATGGATGTTCACATAAAAATTTACCGATTTCAGCTGAATGAGTAGTTGTTAGTACATTAATTGTACCATCAGGAAATCCGGCTTCTTTCGCTAACTAAACAAAAAACAATAGAATCTATATTCTTTACAATAGTTCATCGAAAATTTGTATCTTTAATTTACGTCGCAAAGAACTAAACATGAATAAGGTGTATCTTCAGAAGGTTTAACAACAATAGTACAGCCGGCAGCCAATGCTGGACCTGCTTTACGTAATATCATTGAACTAGGAAAATTCCATGGCGTTATAAAACTACAAACACCAACAGGTTGACGAAGAACCAATGCACGACGATTATGTGATGTTATTGGAAGAACATCACCATGAATACGTTTTGCTTCTTCAGCAAACCATTCAATATAACTAAAAATTAAAATATAAATATTTTCATAAAAAATGCTTTTCATTTTCTTTACCTAGCACCATAAAGTATTTCTCCAATGGATTCTTTTAATGGTTTACCCTAAGAAAATAATTAAATTAACGAATAATGCAAAAATTCCCTGCTAATAATATATGTGTCCGGATTCCGTGAGTTCTGAATTCATGAAACTCTCAAAACTCAAGAATTTGTCTTATATTCAGAAATTCGGAATATCAGAAATGCTACAAGTGAAGACAAATATACGGTATAGTATTTTCCGTGTGATTCGAATATGGGTGTGGCTGTGTGTATAGAGAGAATAGGTGACACTTTTGACAGTTCCAGGGGTTCAAAACTCACGAAATCTGGACACTGGTGTGTAATAATGTCACTTCATTTTTCATCGACTATAACATTTTCTGGGAAAATCAAGGATATCTATTCAAAATCTATGTTGGAAGCTCTTTATTTCTCACTCAATTGTTAACAAATCATGCAGAAAATATTATAACATCGTTTCAGATAACACTGGCAAATACTAACTAAGAAGCTCCAGCTATGTTTCAGATCGATGTTTTTCTCTTTTGTTTTCTTCGATGCTCGTATTCATCTTTTCGACAGATCAGCTGCATAAAAATTTTGCCTTATTTTTATCGGCAGTATCCCGGACTTCGCGTAGTTATCATATTATATAAACAACGCTATTATGATTCTATAAAACTCGTCACTATTTTCGCGTCATAACTTTATCGATATTTTGTGAATCTTTGTTTTTTTAATTTTTCATCATGTTAACAACAGCAATCGTGTATTGTTTGTTATTAGAGTTGTGAAGAATTTAACGGTGAATCTGATGAAAAACAAGAGCAAAAAAATACAATGGAATGCATAGGAGATAATTTAAAAAACATCCAGAGATCAGTGTTTTTTATAGCAACCATGTCAAGCTGTTTGAATAGAGCTATTCAAAAATTCGCTCAATACTCCTAAATAAGAGATGATCGAATTTTATAAAAGACATTGTTAGAAAGAACTTGCATCACAGATTATGAATAGATAGTTTTCATTTTCCTAACATTAATATCAATCGATATATTTATTAAAATAGAATTACCATTTCAGTTGTCAAAATTTTTCCTAAGTGATCTTTATTTTTTAAAATTAAATCATTAAATTTTCTCATTATAACACTTCGTTCTTTTCCAGTTTTAGTGGACCATTTATTTTGAAATGCATTATAAGCTGCTTGCACAGCTTTTTCAGCATCTTTAATATTACAATCTGGTACACTGCCTATTTCATCACCATTTGCTGGATTATAGACTTTAAATGTTTCACCTGATTGTGCTGATACCCATTGACCATTAATATATGTTTGATTAAAAAATGAACGACGAATATGATTTATTGCTTGATTAAGACGAAATATAGAAGAATATTTAGTTGCGTACATATTCTTTTTTTTTATCTGAAAAATAAATTATTTTATAAATAACATGATAAGAGATCATTTGCTTGTGTGGAATCTATAAATCCTATGGGATCAGAAACAACTTTTTCTTTCTTTTTAATTGCTTTTGATGAAGAACTTTGATGACATGTTGAACAAAATCGAACAAGTTTTATTAATTGTATAGAATCATCATTGTCAACTCGACGTCGTTTTCGATCTAATAAATACAAATGAAGATAATTTTTATATGAAAATTGTTCGAATATATTTATACAAAAATTATTATCGACTGTTGTTGTTGAAGATTGTAATTGAGAAATTTTTGCAATCCATCCACGATTAGTTATTTCTTCCCAACTATTTTGTATTGAACAATTACATTCATGAAGATTATCAAATTCTTTAATAAATATTGACTTTTCCTAATGGTAGAGAAGAAACATAGTTAAATATTTCTTTGAAAAATATAGAGATTCTTTTACATGAGAAGCGACTAGTGAGATATACAGAGTATCAAGTGACGTTAATGCTTTTAGAAAACGTCCTGATTGACTTGTGAGATTATTTCCTAGAATATATAAATTGATGACAATTGCTTTATATATATATATAACATAAATCAAAAGTTTGTTTGAACACACTAAGATTTGCAAATAATCATACTACGTAAAAGAATCATTTTCTATGAATTTCTTATGATACACGAGAAAAATTGACTTATTTTGTATATTACAATCTACTAAAACTTAAACTAGTGTAACGACAAAAGTAATCTATCACATTGAGGAGCAATCTCATCGTGCAACAACTTTATTTCTCTCTCTCTCTCTGAATTAAAAACGTGCGTGGCCAAGACATTTGCTTTTTTTTTAATAAGTAGTTGGCGCAGTGTGTTTCATATTTTCTTCTATGTTTAAGTTCAAATAAACAAACTCATTTTACGTCCTAAATCTAAGTCCACTATAAATCTTGGATTCGATCATGTGTATGGTGTTACTCAAGGATTGTACAGCAATAATGACCTCAATTGAATTAGAAGAATGGCATAGTCGACGGAACGTTTTGAATCTAGAGAATAGGCTCAACAGTCTTTATAAAATCGTCACCGGGAAGTTAGAAATAAGGAGTTAGAGGGCAAGCCTTTTTATGTTAGTCATATAAACTATAGTTCAGAAACAATTCACAACTTGTATCAAACGACAAGCACTTAAGGAAACACGGAAACATTTGTGTTTTCGATCTATCTTCCTGAAAAATAGGATAATAGTAAAGCAGTAGTGTTCACAAATAAAAAAATGAATTACATTGTGGGTTTGCTTACTTCGTTGAAAATGTTTCTTAGGTATCTAAGGCTTAGCCGCTGAAGCTGAAGAAAACTTCCGGCAGCTTTTAGTTTATCTAACTCGAGTTTTCTGTACAATACGACAATTTGTCCTCGATAGTTGTGGAAAATTTTGACACTTTTACAAGAGTTTTCACGCACTGTATAAATCAATTAATCTGATAGAATCAGAAACAAATATTTGAGTCTACCCAAGCCTCGTGACTTCAATCCCTTTGGAGAATGAGTCATTCGAACATTTTCAATCTCACTCATACAGTGGACAATTTTTATTCAGCATGTGAGCATGATTTATTTTCTCTCAAAACCGCGTTTTTTTTTCGTAGAAATATTAGCCTCTTATATCCAGAAATAATATTGCTGCAAAAAAAAGATCATTTGGGATGGAAAATTCCTGTGAGAGACCCTCATCCTAAACTCATGAAAAAATTGACAAATGATACATTATTCGATGTAGTTTTTCATTCTGATTCCAAATACATCTTTATTTTTTCCTCAAAGTGCATCTATGACAAAGAAATCACGAAAAAACTTTTGAAAAGTCAAGGCTTTTAGAAAACCTATATCTCATATCAGAAGTATTTACGCATCTTTGCGTTAACTGGCTGTATATTCCAGATAGAGGAGAACATTCTCTGAAAGTTTCGTCGATATCATATAAGTAGAAAAAAGTGGTGATCAACTTTACTGAAGACCTCTTTTTCACATAAATGCTTAGCGTAAAAAGAATAGTGATTTTTTTCAGAACGAATGAATTTAGCCGTTGGAACAGATTTTTTTTTATCAAAAGACTGTTCGTTAATCAAAGTATATTAGTTACTATTCAAATCTCGAAAAAGCTCACTTTCACTTTATTTCATCTAATGTCTACTGTAACTCGGCCGCTAACTCTAATATTATAGTGATTGGTTTACAAATTGATATCAAATAGTATTTCATTCAAAATGTCTTTATTTAGAAAGAAGAAAAGAATTTCTTTAATCTTATATTTATATGATTATTAGTTATCTTACCTTGAAGATGTAAACTATGTAAATTACATAAAGCTTTGCTTCGAATTCGATTACTAGCTGTTAATAATCGAATATCTTCATCATCTAATTGATTAAAAGTTAATCTTAAATATTCAATATTTTCCATTTGTCCAATAATATTTAAAATTTTTCTTTTTTCTTCATGATCAAATTTTTCCAAAGCATATGAAAAATCAAGTTGAATTACATTTAAATTTATACGTTTTAATAAATGAAGATAAAAATTAGCCGTTAAAAAATTTAAATTATTTGTTATAGAATAACAAAAACTTGTACAAAATATATCTGAATGATAATCAGTTAAAATATTGATTATTTTTATAAGATCATTTTCATTAATTATTGATAATGATGATATTGTTTTTAAATATTCATCAAAAATTTTTTCAACAATTTCATTTGGTAAATAACGACAACTTTCAATAGACAAAAAATATTTTCCCAAGATACGAGATGCAAGATTAACAAGTGATGGAATCATTCTAGAAAGAAATGATTTCAATATCATGAAAAAAAAAAATCGAAAAATTCAAAATCATCCATTGATTGCTTTTAAATGAATAATAAAAAAATGATATAGATTACATTTAACGAAAAAAACAAACAGAAGAAAAGACAAGATATTGTAAGAAAGTTGTTTAAACTATTTTTTAAATGGAATAGCAGCTATTACAACAATAGCAACGAAAAGAAGTATAATAATAATCCATAACAATAATGCTGAAGATTTTCGATCAATAACTTTAACTAACATTGTTTGACGTTTAACACGAGAATCAAGTAAACTTGTACGATCAGTTATTGTATCAAGTATTTCATTATGTCTATCAACTTCACTATTCATTGCAACACCGATTTCTTTTTGACGTTTAACTATTGCATGTAATGCATCAATTGCTTCATCATTATCTATAGAAATAGACAAAAATAACAATTTTTTTTATGTTTTGACAATCATATGTAAATTTTAAAAAAGATAATACTTTTTCGTAAATTTGAACGAAGTCCAGTAAATTCTTCATTTGTTAAACCTTGAGTATTTTCTGTTTCAACAGCAGATGCAAAACGTGGATCCACTCGATCACGTGGTCTAATAGAAATTGTTTATTAAAAGACATTCTAATAAATGAATCATTTAAACTTACGAATATGTATTAAAACTTTCTTTCATTGTTGTTTCAATTTCTTCTTTCGATTGTTTTATTGTATCAACTAATGTTCGTCGACGATTTGCTTCTCGTGCTGTTCTACACAATAAAAAAAAAAAAATGTGTATAGAAACAAACAAAAAAATTCTAGAAAAATTATTTACATAACACCATTACGGGATTGAGCAGTTAAATCATTCGAAAGTTTATCAATATCTTTATTAAATTCTGTTATCATCGTACGAATTATTGATGATACCTATAAAAAGATCATCGAAATTTTTAATATCTTATACAAAGATATAAATATTTACTTTAGCTCGTTGTGAGCTATTATGAGGTAATTTTTTAAATTCATTTATTTTCTGATTGATTTCTTGTGCATAATTTTTACAGCTTTCATAATTTTGAGTCCTAAAATATACAAAACAAAAGGAATTTATAAACTTCCTATTGTTTTATATTGTAGAGAATGAAGATTTGATGAATTTTTGTAGATATTATGATCTAGTCAAATACAAAAGTATACTTTCAAATTTGTATTAGAAATGAATGGTCATTTCTTCGAAAATGTTCACTGAATGATTTTGGATCAATATTTGAAATTAAATATATGCGAATAATTTTATTTGATTCAAAAATTGAAAATTCATAATTCAAATATAAATCTTGTATGTTTGTCTTTTATTAGTCGAATTATTTTAGGATCAATAAATCATTCATTACAAAGCATTTTCTTTTTATAAATCATTAAATTTGATTTCATTTATGAAAAAATACACACAACAGCAAGATATCTCACCACGCGTCCGACATTTTTTTTCATATATTCACTTGAATCGATTTGATCTGAAAAATGAATAAAAAAAAATTGAGTTTGCTCTTGAATATAATTCCTTTATTTTGCTGAGATGTCGTTTATTTTGAAAGAATAAAAATTGTAAAAAAATGCTTATAGATTTGCACATGATGGAATCTAATAATGAAAGCTTTTCGTGTTTACTAGTCAAATAAAGAAAAAAAAGATTTTTAAACAGCTACTCCTTGTTTCCCAGTTAATGTTTGTACTAATGTTCCTTCTTCATCCATTTGTTTAAGTATATCTAAACCACCAATAAGCTGTCCATTAACATATATTTGTGGATATGTTTGCCATGATGAATATTCTTTAAGTTTTTGTCGAACATTTTCATCTTCTAATATATCAAATGTTTTATAATCAGTTATATTAGCTTTAGATAATAAATCAATTAATTCTTTTGTAAAACCACAACGTGGTGTTTCACGTGTACCTTTAATAAAAAGCATTAATGGTGCTTGATTAATTAAACTTTCTAAATTTTTTTTCGAATTATTTTCCTGTTCATTTATTTTTTGTTGTTGTAATTTGGATTCAAAATCTCCATTTTCAATCATTTGTTTCATTATGTCTAATCCACCAATTAATTCACTACCAACATATAACTAAAATAAATTTTTTTTCTTTTAATTGAAAAGAAAAAGAAACAAAAAAAAAAATTCTTTTTATTTTTAAAATTACTTGTGGATAAGTATTCCAATTTGAATATTTTTTTAATTCTTCACGTACATTTTCATCAGCAAGTACATCAAAATAATCAAATTTTATTTTATGTTCATCAAGTAAATGACATGCTTGTCGACTAAAACCACATTGTGGACTAGCTGGTGTGCCTTTCATAAATAAAATAATTGGTGATGAATTAAGTAATTGTTTTATTTTATTTTCAGCATTATTTATTGTTGAATTATCATTAGATTTTATTTCTGTTGCTTGTACAACACCAATTGTATTTAAATGTAATTTAATTTTTTTTAATAAATCACTTTGATTAAAACCATCAACACGATCAATAATTTTTGTTTGATGATAAAAGAGAACTGTTGGTGCTGCATTGACATTTTCATCATTAAGTAAATTATAAAAATGATCAGCATTTAAACGACATATAGCTAATTGTTCCATAAATTCAGGGTCACGATTTATAGCTAATAATCCTTCATTAACAGTTTTACAAACAGGAATTTGTTCTAATTCAATATGAACTAATAATAATTTGTTTCTAATCGATGGTGAATTGATATATTCATCAAATAATTGTTGAGTAGCTATTTGAGAAATTTCATTATTGCTTTGATTCGCCATATCAATTATCTAAAAGCAAAATATTTTTAAAGTAAAAAACGATGAAACAATCTTCTCAAGAAGTTTCAATTTATTTCTTCTTTTATTTCATTTTATATACAAAACACACGTTAATATCCTTGTTACAATAACACATAAGAGGCTGAAGAAATAAGACACTTCATGCACAATAGAATTCTATCAAGACACTCCTATCTCTGTTATTTTTTTTTTTTGTTTGATTCTGTTCATTTAACGACGACGATTACGTTGTGATGATGAACGACTACGTGAACGTGACCTAAAATTTAACAAAAACAAAAATTATAATCATTCTCTATTTTTTAATACAAACCGTTTTCGACGTTCACGAAGACGTTTTTTTATTTCAGGTGATAAAGTTTTAATATGCATAAAATTACAAAAACCACTTCTCATACACTAAAAACAAAAAAAACAAATCAATCAAAATTAATCATACAAACAAAATAAGAATGTTTTACCTCGCCTAATTCATACTGTCGACAACTTGCTTCTTTAAAATCCGTCACTGGACTAAATTAAAATTAAGATCAATCTTACAGTAATCGCCAAAAGTGTCATTAACGGATAAAAAGTATCTAAATGCGAATCGTTTGGTCTTATATATTGGTCACCAATAGAGCGCGACGAACTCTGATTGCAAACAGTAAAGACAACTGATTGCCCTTTATACGCAGAAGCTAGAAGGTCAACAGATATTTTATTTAGACGAGAATATTTCAGAATTAGGAATAAAACCTCACAGAATTTAGCCTCTCATTCGAAAGTAAAATATTGTCTCTACCATCGATAAAAATTTCATGGCAAACAATTGTAGTGTGCTTGATTTATAAAGTTATCTTTGGGTATTCTTAACATGATAGTTAATGAAAATCATCAAAAAGTAACTCGTAATTTTGATTATTTATCTTGAAATTTTCCCCAGTGAGTTGTCTGTTCTAAATAAGTATTTTCTGAAAATTTCATAACTATTATCATAGATAAAACGGAGGTCTATGTCAAGATGGTTCAGTTGACACAAATGTCACCGCGCCTCAGAATCACAGTAGATAATAATATTCTATCAGTCACATACTCAAGACGACACGTGAAGTTTTATTGGTCAATAGAAAGAATGAATACTAACGCTTCAAAATAATGACAAATCAGAAAAGTGCCTGGAAAAAGCTTATTCAGATTCAAGAAAGAATAAGTATTTTTTTCTAAATTCAATCGATCCTGGGGCCGACGCTTGCAATCAGAATTTACTAAGCTCTGATTATAGTAAAAGTTTCGGACAAAAGCATTCAAATTTAGATACTTTTTACCTAACAGTGGAACTTTTGACGACTAATGTATCATAAATGATTAATATTTCATACCTTAGTTCGGCATAAATTGGTTTTCGATCAAACCATCGTGTATTAAGATCAGCAACAGCTCGTTCTGCATCTTGTTCATAACGAAACTAAATCAAATTTCATAGATTTTTTTTTTTGTTTTGTTTTTGTATTTCTTCTTACTTTAATATAAATATTTCCAACAAGATGTTCTCCAAGATTGTCACATACAGTCATTGCTTCAATTTCTCCATACTAAAATCGTATTCACGATAATCCAATAAAAGAAAATGAAAAGAATGAAGAAAATAGGGAAAAACATTAGTCCTAAAAACCTGTAAACACATGAAAGGTTTTTTATAAGTTTTATAATGCAAAAAAAAAACGTTATGTTTGTTTATATCGATATTTATCAATCTACCTTTTTGCTTTTTTTCTAATATGTACAGCTGTTTGATTAATAGAAAAGAAATGTAGAGATCCTCCTGCAAAAATGGGACTGCAAAAGTGAGAGAAATATATATATGTATATTATTTAATATTATATATTGTACGTGTTATTTTATTTCCATTGAATATATATAACACAAGATGAGAATGCTGTTGGTTCAAGCCTGCAATAATCGATAGAATCTTAGGGAGATTTGAGGAGACAAATAAAAACAAGCGTAAAAAATTAGTTGCCTTTTTTTTTTTAATATTCTTTGTTTAATTGAATAAATTAAATGTGGAGCTGCTAAATTTACTAAACATAACACTCACCTTATCTTCAACTTCAGTATAAACTTCTTCATAAAATTCACTAATTAGAAATAAAATTTTATTTTAATCATAGTTTTAAAATAAATATTCACTCGAAATGTTGTTGAACTTGTTCATCTGTATAAGTATTTTCTTCATACTGCTCAACTATAAAAATAAAAATTCGAAATATATCGACAACAGGAAAAATTCTTGTTTTTTTATATTTACCAAAACCACCTTCTGCTTTTGGAATAGCATTATTATTTGGATTAAGATAGAGATTCTTTAAAAGGATTGTCTAGTATAAAAAAAATAGAACTTAAATTTGATAACAGATAAAAATCTTTATCATACTTGACTAAAGGTCGGTTTATTATGAACACGTGAACATCTAAACATATAAAAACTTAAAAATTTAACGCAACTAATAAACAATTCTTACCGTTCACCATGACGGCATGCGCCAATTTTAAAATAAAATGAACAATTAACTCTAAATCAATAAATGAATTATATGAATTGATTGACAAAAGAAATACTTACTTATCTTTTTCAGTGCCGAAAATCGAAGCTAGATATTCGGCCATTTTGTTTTTCTAAGAAATTTTTCTTAGAACAAAAAAACAACTAAGGGACGGAAATAATATCTAAAGAATAGATGCTTTTCTTTTTACAAGTTCGAAATTTTAGTACGATGATTTGCACTTTTATGACAGATGAAAAACACACAAGTATCTGTTTAAATCATTAATACATGAGCTACTGATAAAGGGTGTGATTACTTTCGAGTTCGGTGAAACTCAGAATGATTGGATGACACTTTCACAAAAAATTGATTTAATTTTTCTGACTTACAAAAGCTTTAGTTTAGTTTCTGATGAAAGACGGTTCGGTATATATGAGTAAAATTCTGTCGTAGATGGCGCTAGTTTTTGAAGATATTTCGAAAACTCCTTGACATCAGAAATTGATTCGATTTTTATTAGAATCAGAAAAAATAGATTGATTTTCTGTGAAATTTTCCTCCAATCATTTTTAGTTACATTACATTTAAAAAATTCGTCATTTTTTATAACTATATTGTCACTAATATCGATTGGATATAAATATTGATGATGGCGAATCCGTTATTTCTTTTTTTTCCAGAAATATTAAAATTGAATAAGAATCAAAATTATTTTACTTCGAATTTACTTCAATTAAATCCTTAAAAGTTTGTAGAGTTCTATAAAGAAAAAAGAATAATAGAGAAAAATTTATCGTTTGAATACTAGTGGCATCTGTACAGCAGAGTGCATATTTCATTACGAATCTAAAACTTTTAATAAATTTTTAGTACTTTTTAATTCGATCAGTAATGCCCAATGCAGTTCAAACTGGCTCATTGAAGTGATGATGTTTATAAGATGTTTCGAATGTCTCTACTTTTACAATGCTTAAGACGTAAGTAAAACTAGCGTCGTATCCGACCTGTGCTGGTCTGGATTCGTATCTTGACTTATGTTGGATCTGTAGTTGATTGTATTGGTTGCGGAATTTCATTCTCTATCGAATGGTATCCATTTCAATAGGAGCCATAAAACGAAATCTGAAAGTTTCAGGATAAATAGGTTTTGAGCTTGTACATATTAGATTCTCTAACCAAGTACATTGATAATGTATGTGTGTTGACGTGTTAATGTTGTTGTTTTTTATCGTCCCTTCGAATAATGCATAATGATCCGTACATATGTAGATTATATTTGCTCTTCGTCTGCGAGACCCAATAAAATCCTCATACTCTTTCTGTTCGTCGTTTTTTCTTATTGGGCAACTGGACAAGGAGGTGGAAGCCACCATCGTTTGTATTTATGTTAATCTACGTTTAAGGTGAAACGAATTATTCTAGCCATCAGGGTAATTTCCATTTTCACCGAATTTTGTTTCGCCGATTTCAACTTCGCCGAATGAAGTTTTTTCGCCTACTTCGCGTTTCGCTGATTCCGACATCGCTGAATGAATTAATAGCTGATTTCAAAGCCATCGCGTAACCATTTTTATTTCTATTATAGATTCTGTTAAAGAAAAATTTGGTTTAAGAGCTAATTTGCTGGTAATAATTTGGATATCAATGCTTCAATGTATCAAGTCTCAATAAAGAGCCTTAAAAGTTACAATTCGAAAAAATATGACCAAATAAGATAGTTCTTTCTCAGTAGATCCTAAAATATGTTTTCATGCTTTTCTCTTCCTTAAAAAGCCAAATTTTCTCCCAAATTCGTCTTTTTTTTCAAAGTGGTTGTTTTCATTATTTGTGTTCATTCCGCTAGTTTCTTTTAAATCATTTGAACAAACATATGTTTCAAGATGAAAAATAAAATCTATTTTGCGAAATACTTTAAAAACCGACCAACATCAAGATGAGATTCTATAATTGCTCCTAATTTTTTCTTTTTTGTTCATTTTCAGTTGTTTATAAACCTGCCTTTTTTATGCTGAAGAGATCATGTCACACCTTTATTGATCTCATTTAAATCATGAAATGTGGATGTGGATGTGGACGAGAGTGTGGGTGTGACTATGAGTGTGAGTTTTGTTTGCATCCACACCCACCCTGGCACATTTTTGACCTTAGTAGTAACTCTGGGCTCTAAAATTGCTGAAAGTTTCATGTCGAACTATCTTTGGTTTCGAATTGAGCCAAAATGGTTCTCAAACGTCTCCCTTTCTTTTTTCAGTTCAGATACAATCTTTATGCTATCTTCAATAATATAGAGAGTCGCTTCACAATAATTATGAAGAGTAACAATGATAGTTATGTTCGTTGTAATGACATACATTCTCAACGATATTTTCAGCATGACAGATTTTTAAAAGTCATTTTCATCATTATACTTTGCGAATTTAAGAGATGTTTCAACTGAAGATCTTATGCTTCTTTGATCTCACGTGTACACGTATAAACTCTCTAGCATGGTTCAATGCGCATCTTAATTGTTCTTCTTATTCTTTACATTTTATGCTACTTATTGTTACCATTTTGGATGCAAATTGGTAATTTTTCTGCATAGCTTTTTCTATAAACTCATTAAAATTCGATTCTCCTTTTGTTTTGCTTTGTAACTTGATAATTTAACCATGTTTTCTTTGCTATAAAAAGCATTGTTTTATGCGAATATTTTTTTCTACCTTGCATGTACACTAATGTTTTCTCTATAATATGCTGTATCTTAGTTATTCCACCGAGACTTTTGACTCTATTTTGCATATAAAAAGCATGCATGCCTCTAATAATCGCTCTATATTATCATTGTGTCTTTAAACCTTGGCGACAATTAAAACCAATTTGACTGTATACAGAAGCATTGAATTCATCAATAATATGCCGAAACTTCTAATCAAATTTGAAAGTCAGATACAGTAAGTTTCAAATCACGAATCTTATATGTATTATAACGTTGTTTTCATGATTAATGAGTGAAACTATTCAACTAAATTGTACGAACATCACGTCTAAAACTCGCTTACAGGAGATCAATATCTTACAGATAAATTGAACTTCGACATTCAGTAACTCTAGATAGAGCTTTAGATGCAAAGTTTTGTTAAGCTTGTGGCATAAACATACATTTTGCAGCAACAGTGACGATACCTCATAAACACATTCTTTGTCCGATGAATAATGTTTAAATTAATACCAGTCGATAGAAAATTGAACTCTGCATCTGACAAAACAATTAAGAGAATCAACAAATACTGTCGGACAAATCCTGTGAGGACTTATTGTGAGAATAGGATCGAACACCCAATTTTTTGGTTCAAAAATCTAGGTTTTTTGCTCGATGATCTCTGTTTAAATTGGCATATTCCATAAAAAATGAAATTCTGCATCTAACATATCCAATTAGACATCCAACAAAGTCAAGAAGCGAATTTGGACAAGAAAAGGTCGAATATGATGCTAACTCTACTTCAGTTACGTATGACCTTCACTGAATCGAAAATTTTTTGACTTTTCGAAATATGATAATTTTAAAAGTGAAAAAGATTCGATGATTTTGTCATACATCATGATTTAGGACTTCAAAAAGTATCAAATGAATTCTTTCATGTCTGGCAGTATGTATAACTTCAAAGGTTGTTGGAACTGAATACTTTATGTTTTCAAATGTCTGATCATGAAATTATTTTGTTAGAATATATAAAGCTTCTTGAAGTTGGAAAACTCTATTCATTGGACTTTTGATGTGCTATGCCGTGAAACGCGGCCTCAAAAACTTTCTAAGAATTGAAAGCCTTTACAGAATTTTCAGGATTGGCTTCTTTTCTAATTGTTTCTGAAATTTCCCGATAGGTTTTTGAACATTCAAAAACACTACAAGTTTCCAAATGTATGAGTTTGGTAAAATGATATACAAACTGTTTTTGAATCTACACTCAAATTTCACCAATACTGCAATGATGATATGAACTGATCCGAATGAGAAAATGACTATAATGTTCTGGAACATTTCGATATTCATATGTAGATGGTATTAAGTAAATTATTTCATAGTTTAAGTAAAAATAATACAATTCAAATAATCTAGATTAAATATATGTGCTTGTCAACAACTGTTCACGAAGGAAAACAGAGATATACGATTGCCATATGCGTAACTTCAGAAATTTGTAGTGTAACTAATTGTCAAGATTGAAACAGTCGAGAGAAGAACTAGTCGTTTGATATATACATAAATGCTACTTCTCTCAACTTGAATTTGATTGCTTCTGCCTTTTTGTTCACATATTTCTCGTTAATTTCTATCTTATGCTTGTGTACATAGATAGCAGGACTGTAACATCTGTTACCCAGCAGTTAGTCATGATATTGTTCGCGAGTGATATAGACTTCTAGGTAAAAAGCATGTTAAATGTATGCTCGAGGAAGTGAACAACAAAGGCGAGCGATTTACACAGAAAATGATATTGCTGGAAGATAGATGATAGAAAATATAAATAATTAGTACGGATATAGAATAAGAAATTTAAGTATAGCATACGATATATAAATCACAGCCTTACACTAATAAGTATAGATAGAGTATATCTGATAGAGTAGTAGTTACATGATACGAGGTATAAATTCAGAAATATAGCCGAGATGATGGATATAAAGTACGATGTAACATAGAAGATAAAATTAATAGTCAATATTTTTATTTATTTTATTTTATTGACGATTATTCTAGATGATTTTGATGCAATAGGCTGTGTGAAAACTAACGATAAATTCTTTACTTTATTTTAGTTATTCTAAATCATTTTATGGAATGAATTCGGTTAATCGTAGGTGATTTGTTTTTTTCTTTTATTTAATTTAATTATTAATTTTAAGATTAGTTTCTTATTTGATGGTATGAATAGATGCAACATACGATTGTATGCGACATTGTGTACAACCATAAACGATCGAATACGGAGACCACAATCTAGAGAATATACTAATTAAAATCTAAACGTACTGATTATATCATATTATAGCTGTTGAAGAAATCCAATGTAACCCTAACAATATAAATTGATCGTTGAAATGTTTCTTTTGAGTGAGAAGATCAATATTGATAAATAATAATGATTGAACTCATGTTTATACTTCATTTCTTTGTTTTTTACTCTAATTTAAGTTCTGATCAATTTTTAACAGTTGAAAACAGAATACGACTTTGTTGTCGGCTTTATCTATTAATAATATTTTGATGATTATTTTTGTTTTTCATTATCGAATGACAATCAATCTTTTTGCAAAAAGATATTTTCTCAACCTTTTAGATAAATTTTAACCTATATTGAGATACATACAGTTCTAAAGCGAATTGATTACACGAATATTAATAATGTTTGAAATCGAGTTTATAGTTCTCTGATCGTACTATATCAATTTCTTTATACTCTTCGAAGTCTTATAAATTCTTTTACTTCTTCGTGAATTTATCATATTAGATAGAAATATGCAGAACTACTATTTTTATTTAGTTGGTTTCCTTCTTTTACCAATTTAACTGAATAAACTAATAATCTCTATACAATTTAGATTCCATTGTTGTTGTTATAGATTTTTTGATTATTATTATTTCTCGTATATAATGGGCTTAATAATTCGTATACAATCGAAAACTATTATTCCCTCTATTAAATGATCACATAGCGACGTTATGAACTTTGTTTTAATGTTTTCATGGCAATGTTACAATGCTGATTTGTGCGTATGGTTGTGGCACAACAGTGGTAAATTTTTTTATTGAAATGGACATCGTTGATCGAGAATCATTACAAGGATCCAGAAATATTGCACATTCTTTGACCGTTTTTATGTATGGTTATTTCTTTTTGCCTATTGAGCTATTAGATTCAACGTCTTCTTGTAAGAAAAAAAAACAGCATAGGGCAATTACTACTCACTCACATCGTTAAGCGTAACTAATGTTTGGGAATCGTCATATGTTTGAAGTATACTTCAACTTAATCGATACATTACTTTCTCTTTCTCTCATCATTTCTATGTACAATATTGATGTTTGTTTAGATAAAACTATGTTATCTAATCGACATATTTGGCGAAGGATAATGTCATTAACAATATCCTTGGAAAATATGTTAATTTTAGAAATGTTTTCTTATTTTTTTTATTCGATTTATTTAATTTCTTAGATATAAATGATATGTGTAAAGCAAAGAAGAAATATAATCTCTTTTTTTATTTATTTATTTATTCAATGTTCTATTCTTGATTTTTAAATATTTTTTTCTGTTCGATTTGATCGATGTCAAAAATAGTTGAAATATAACAAAGATCAAGAGTATTTAACAAAATATAACAAGAGATAATTAAGTCGAAAACAATAATTATACAAGCATTTCTGATGTTTCCGATGATATATCATTTAAAGTTGGATCTATTGATGGCCTACTATATGGTAATGGTCGATCTCGTTCTATATAGTAATCATCGTCTTCTTGATCTGATGATGGCGAAGAAGAAACACTAAAATAGAAAAAAATTAATTGTATAAGATTAGATAACAAAAGAAAAGTTTACTTCATTGATTTTCGCCTTCGAAGATCATCAATATTTTTTTCAATTGTATGTCCACGTGCTCGATTAAATGCTAATGTATAAATCATATAGAACCAACTTTCTTTCATAATAATAAAAACCTACCAGCAATAGCATCATCTGGTTGCTGACCAAGTATTTCAATTAAATATCTAAATTATTATATAATGTTACAAAGATATAATATAAAAGTCAAAAATTTTACCTAACAATAAAATAACCACTTCGATTAATTCCATGTGTACAATGAATACCTATAAGATTATCTAAGAAAAGAAAAAGTATAATCTACAAACGTATTAAATAAATTATTTACCATTCTGTCGATTATCTCGTAAGAAAGTATTAACAACAAGAAAAAATTTTTGACAACTTTTATCTGACACATCTTGATGTCCTGGTACTCGAATTTTACAATATTCAATACCCATATCTTCTACATCCTATTTTTTTTAATATAATAAAAATTAAATCTTAGTATCGATATTCAATAGATCTTACTCGATAATCATAATATCGATATGTATCAGTTAAATCAATAATTAAACCAACTTTTCGTCCTTGATTATCCATACGTTCAATTAAATCATCCAGAGAAAATCGATCTTGCTTATTTATATTTCGTAAGATTGACTATAAAAATCAAAGTATTTATATTCGATTTTATTCTCTATAAATTATATTATACTTAACCCATCTTAAAGGACATTTAAATGGAACAAAACGAGTATTTTCAATCCATGTATTCAATGGAGAATAATCAAGCCAACTAAATATATAAAAACACCATTCATTTCTAATTGATAATAAATAATTATTTACCCAGCTGGTATTTTATTGTTCATTGTCCTTCGATTTCGAATCTCCTCATGTGACCTTGATCGATCCATTCAACAAGAAATTTATCTAAAATAAAAACAATCATATGTATCTATCATCAAGTTCAATTAATTACAAATATATTCGATATTCTTTATTAACCAAATGAAATTAACTAGTAAAAATATTTTCATATTATTTTGTTTCCTTTTTTGTTCAATGATTGCATGCATTTCTTTTGTTTTACATAACTAAATTTTACAAGAACGAAGACATTGTACTAATTTTCTGCGCTGACAGTTTCACTGCGCTTCTTTTTTTTTTTTTATTATTTCTTGCTTCAATATATCAAAATTTGCACACGAAAAGAAAACATTATTTTTCGACAAACACACACAACAATATCCATAGAAAAAAAAAAAAAGGAACGAGATTATATACTAAACTAAAATATCTACCATACACACAAAATAAGAAATATAGGTAAAAAAAAAAAAGAAAGATAAGGAAGCGTCGTGGATTTTTTTTTCTTTTTCTTCTTGTTTTCAATAACAAATATCCGCACGTAATATTCGTGACTAGTGATAATGATGATTAATTCTCAAATTTGAACGTATTTATCCAAAACAAATATTAGATTTGTTTTGATTAGAAGTATTAATCTAATGCAATTAAATTTTCTGAACGTCGACCATTATTTTGTTTAAATGTTGATGCTTCTTTCAAGCGTTGAAACCATATATTAGCAACAGCTGCATTTTCAAATTTAAATTTATACATTGATCCTAAATACAATGTATAAAATTAACGTTTTTTTTTTTAAAAAAGTATCAAATAAATAATACCTCTATTTAAATCACTTAATTGAATTTCATTTCGATTTTTTCTTTGACTAAGTACAATAAGCCAATCAGATACTGATTGACATTTAGTTGGATTTTGTCGATAAAATAATCTTTCAGATTCAATTAATGTTCGATTTGATGATATATTAATCAATGGTGGTGCTGATTGTGTTGTTGATGTATTATCACTATCACTATTTGTTGATATTTGTCGATTTGTACGTTGTAAACGCATATGTAATGTCATTATTAAAGGTTTTTGTTTATGAAAAAAAAGTAAATGTTCACATATAGCAACCCAATATTTTTTCCATTTTGCTATAGTTGGTTTTTTATAATTTTTTAAAAGACATTTACGTTGTAATGAACCTTCAAAATTAAAATTAGATGTTACTAATGGATCATTATGTGGATTTAATGGTTCTTTCATTGATAATGATGATAATGAAACAGACATTCCCTGAGCTATATGATGATGTTTTCCACTGTTCTTTATATATTCTTTTGCTTTACGTATGGCTTCTTCACATGAATCACTTGAATCCGTACCTAAAAATAACAATTAATTAATAAGAAAAATATATTTATTTATTTAAGAATCATAAGCAGGATGTGTGAAATAATGAGAAGAAGCACTTTAAGTTATATATATATATAAAGGGGACTAATTTAAATGATCTTCTTAATTGTTCAACTATCTAAAAACAAAAGATGTTTCATACTGTTTGAAAAGAACACTTATATTGCCTCAGTAGCATAGAAAGAAAAATATTCGATGGTGAATTTTTTCAAAAATCTTTCCAATGGAAATATTAAATCATGATATGATTTTTATTGATTAAAATATGAGTGAACGACTGATTTTATTTGTTCTTGAGAGATATTGACATTCGATATAAAGATATAAGAATTTCTCTATGATGAAACTGATGAATATCTATTGAAATCTGTACTTCGAGGTATATGGTTAATGAGAGAACATATCCATCTGTCAGACACTATTCAACTCGACATTTTGACTATGATTCAATGGAACTAAGAAAATAATAAACGGGTTTGTGCATATGTTTTATTCAGCAAGAGTGATGACTGTTTGAGTATATTTTCGGTCACTGAACCAGCTATTCATGAAAAAAACCGGTTACGAGATTTTTATCTGAAATTTTGCCCATAGGCAAGTCTCATGATCACTAGAATATTGTAAAAATTTCAGCTCAAACAAATGTATTTCTCTTGAGATATCAAGTATCTAAAACAGCTCGATTCTATGGTATGTCTTATGATACATAAGCATTCATTGGATAGTTGATATCTCAAGAAGAATACATTTATTTGAGTTAAAATTTTTAGAATATTTTAATCGTTACGAGACATGTCTATGTTGAGTAGTACATATACTTGAACTCATTTAATATTTTCTTAACTTCACTAGCTCATAGTCCGAACAGCGTCTAACAGTTGTATATGTTCCCTCATAAGTATATCATATTCTAATGCCGTAATATGAAATTTTGATAAATTGTATTGTCATTCAAATCATTTTCATTTTAAAAACTTAAAACGATTAACTCATCCATACAAATTGGGTTAATATTCAAATGAAACAAAACCATGTTATAAGGTAAGTATAGTTAATTTATATGAAATAATCATTCGTTTATTTTTCTAATGGTAGGTTTGACAGCATAAGAATATTATCTTTTTCTCAAGTAAAACAAAAAAAAAAACCATAAGCAAAGCATGTTTTATTGCCAACAAAAGAAAAAAGGCTAACGGATTATTTTACCTTTATATAATAAAAGACCTAAAACATTTTATATTATATATATATCAAAATCAAATCTATAGTTTAAATTAAACACTTACTAGATCGAGTTTCTTCTTGCATACAATCTGCAAGTACACTATCATCTAATAAACTTTTCTTTTCATGTGTTCTACAAGGTAATGTTGCAGATTTATTTGATGATGATAAACAATTTGAACTAAAAAAAAAACAAACAAAGAAAATCAAAAGAATTCTTTTTCTTTTTTTAAATTTAAACATACTGATTATAATCACTAAGTGTTCGTCTATGTGTACATGTTGAATGTGTATCAGTATGTGAAACTTTAAATGATGCTGATTTTTCTAAATTTTTTGGTGTTCGATCATAATGTGAATCATTATAATCAGTATTTATTGGTTCAGGTTCAATAGATAATGATTGTTTAAAATTTTGATCTTCAACAAATGTTTGTAATTCTTCCATATAACGTACAGATGCAAGATAATTTTGTACACATTCAATTGGTTTAAGAAATTCTAAAATATATCAATATTTTATTTTCTTTTTTCTATAAATAAAACAAACCATAAGTTGATTGTTGAAATTCTGATATAAGTCGACATATATTATTCATAGCATTTTTACGTTGATTTGTTTCAAGTCCACCACTATGTGGATGTAATGTATCAATACGAATAATATCAGTTAGATAAATGCCTTGAAAAAGAAAAAAAAATTTTTTTTTTTTTAATTAAAATTTTCTTTCTTACCAAGATATGGAATACATGGTAATTTTGTATTTGTTAAATGATGTCTTAATCGTTTCCAATTTTCATTGGATGATACAAATTCTTTTAAATTTGAAAATGTTGTTCGATCACGTTTACTAAGACCCTAAAAATTAGAAGAAAAAAAAAAAGAATTTAATATAAATATATTGTTGAATTTTCTTTGTTTTTGTTTTTTACCGCCCAAGTTCTTTGTAATCGATAAATAGGTGCACTCTGTAAAGCCATAACAACAGCCATACATCCATTAATATTATTAAATTCATAAAGTTTCTAAAAAATAAAAAATAAATATTTAATATTTAATATTTAATTTTGTAAAGTTTAGAAAAGAAAAATCAAAAAAATTTTTACTTTAGCAACTCGAATAAAATGTGATAAAATTTCAATACGATTTTTAACTATATCAGCACGTAAAAGTTCACCTTGAGTCCAAAAATTAACCTATAATACAAAAAGAAAAAAGGATTAAAATATAAAATAAAAGATTTTTATGATTAAATAACAAACTTGATTAAATCGACGTGTAAATTGAACAATATGAAAAGCTTTTTCAAGTTTAGCTTTTGAACTCCAATTACAACTAATTAATTCCTATAAAATAAATAAACAACAAAGATTATCTTTTCTATTTATCCATTTTAAATAACATACATCTGGAGTTATAGCTTTAAATACTGGAAGATCCATTAATGTGATTTGTGACTAAAACAAAATCAAAAGAAATTATTTTGATAATAAACTGTTTTTTTTAATCAACAATTGTGCATAAGCAAATGTTCAATATATAAAAATTTCAATACACATTTTCCATAAGGGATATCAATCAAAACAAAAAAGAATTTCTTATCTCTAGGTTTTTTTTTTCTTCGATACAACATCTTAGTTTATTTTTTAATGATAGATCACATCCGTTCATCATCAATAAGACGAACTTATCTTTTTTCTTTTCTTCTCAACATCATAACATATGGTGTTAGGATTCAACGATAAAGATAACACCGTGTACGATAAATGAGAATAGAGTATTATGTATATATATGTATGTACTAAAGTTTACTCAATCAATCGTATGTCAATAATATAGAAGGTTTTATATATAATATTGATAGTTGTTAACATGATGTATCTTTTTTCTTGTTAAGATAAATAGACAAAAAGAAAAATCAAATATGAATACTTACAGCAAAATCTTCAGCATCAACTTTAAGTACATCAAATACAGTTGTATCATAAACTCCATAATGTAATGATCCATTTGTGATAATATCATCATTATGAAATGATAGATCATTGAGCAATAGACTATTATTATTATTATTATTACTATTGCAATTGTCAACTTCTTCAGCAAGTATTGAATGTGCAACGTTACTCGTATTGAGCATTATTTCAATCAACTAACAATCACCAACTAAAATGAAAAATAATATTGGAAGAAACCTATATACTATATATGAATAATCAATAAATGAATGAATAAGTTAAAAGTAATGTATGCATGTTTACTCAGAGCAAATATATGCAAAATGTTGAATCATCTATCTATAATTATTACGAATCATTCTACCAATGGCAAAGGTCAAATACATATATATATATATATATATATATGTACGTGTGTATAAACACATTGCTTTGTATTTTGAACTTACTCTATATGATCTATTTTTCTATTTCCTCCTGTCCTTCTCGTTTACTTGTATAAGTTGTATTCGTCGTAGTAGTTGTAACTGCTCTGCAATTATGTTTCTTTCGTTTCTCTTTTCTCGTATTCTTCTTTTTTTTCACTTCTCTCTCTCTCTCGTCTTCTTCTCTATTCATAGGTCTTCTGTACAGATACTGACGTTGAACACACGATAGACTTCTGTCCTGTTAGCTTTCTCCAATCGTTTACTGACTCACACGTTCGTTCACTTTCTCTCGCTTCTTCCCTGTAGTTCTGTTCTATTATTCTGCAATTTCAAGCGAAACAACACATGAAAAGAAACATTATCGATTGATTTACACGGTACTTAGAGAAACAGACTAATAGGCCTAAATTTCGCAGTTTTGTAATTACAAAAATATACCTTTTTGTTTTTTTTTCCGTATTGTATAAAAAAAAAAAAGAAAAGACAATCGATCATGTAACTCATCGTTTTACCTTTTCTACTTTTATTCTCGATTAGAAAAATCTTTAAACCATAATAACAACACGCAAAATGATAAAAAGAATAGAACATGTCATCAAATTCCGATCAAGGTAATCACCTTGATAATCGCATACATATTTTATATAATGTCAAGGCTAAACTTATTGTCGTTGTCGACTGTACGAAAAAAAAAAAAGCGGAAGCCTTTAAATTGATGTATCATTCATCCGAGACACACATAGTTATACACCACCCATCAATACACATCTGGATATATTTGAACGGGCCGACGAACTCATAATATTATGTTGTTATTGCTTACTGATTACTCAGTAGGCGGTGAACAACAAGAGAATAGATACAATATGCTTTAAATATTTACTTATTTATATATATATTCAAGGATATATCAAAAATATAGACTTACTTTGAAACGAAACAAGAAGAATGTCGAAATATGCTGATGGTATTGATAAATAAACCATCTAAAAAACAAAGGAAAAAAGAAAAAGTATATAGTAAATCCTTTTATGCATTCATTTTCTTTTCTTTTCTTTCTATTACAACGAATAGGGAAGAAGTAAACGATTTTCAAGTATCTCTCACTTTTTTTCCTTGCTCTTGAATGAAAGTGTACAAACGATGGTATGTATGTATATACTCAACAAGACGATCAGAACAAGATGAATAATAAGGAAAAATATAAATAAGATAATTGCAATGATGTCATAGGTAGGCGTTGATATGATCAACAAACATGTATGTTTTATTTTATTTACTTGACGTTCATCGATCTATGTATTTAAATATGTAGGATAAATTTCATCAAGGTGGGAGTAAAGAAACAAAAATATTTATACGAATTCGTTCATCTTTCGTTCGTAAAAAGAAAGAGATTAAGTGTAGGTGTATATATTTTAATTATAAATAAAAGAAACTAAACAAAGATAGATTCATTTAATAGATATTTTTTATTATTTGTTTTTGATAATCGTGTTACTTCAACAATTTGAATATAATTGTAAAATAATTGAATATTTTGTATCACTATCATCTTGAAATTTAATTGGATTTGTTAAATAATATTCAAGGAATGAAGAAAATGTCTATAGATAAAGAAAAAAAGTGTCATATTATTGATAATGATCATTTCATTTTTTTTTTTACTTTTGCTATTAACAAATTTGAAAATGATATATATTATTATCATTAGATAAGACAGTCAATGAATAGGATGATTAGAATAAATATTTGGACGAACTATAAAATTGCCAGACTAACAGAAAAAATGAAAACTTAAATAAAAACTCAAAAAACTCATCGAGATCTCATACTTGAACATCAACCGTTGTCTTTAAAATAGTCTCTGCTTCTACTCTTGAACACAAAATACACGATTGAGAAAGCGAAGAAAAAAGGTAACTAAATAAATCCTATAAACAAAAATTCTCATGAAAAAAACAAAAACATACAGTTGTTGGATCACATGGTGGTAATACTTCTAAATATTGAAATTCATTAAATTAATCTAAATTCAACAATACAATATTTACCACATTTTCTTAACAATTGTCGATAAATTTCTATAAAATAATAAAAAACTTTATAAGCAATACATCATAAGAGCAAAATAAAAGTTTAAATTTATAGACAATCATGAAAGAAAAAGACTACCTTCATTCTCTTTCTGTAAGAGTTTTAAATCTATTATCTTTTCTTTTTCTTTTTAAATATGAAAAACTTACATCTTCATCATCAAAATATGGATCTAGACTAATTCCATTAGTCATTAATTATATCAAAGAAAATAAAAGCTTCTCGTTAGGAATTGTAATAATTAAATATATTCGAATTTAATTTTCATAATAAAAATCATTTTTTGATCGTTACTAGCATTTAAAAATTTATATTTGCTTCAAAATCAAATTGATGGCGCCCATTATTCAATTGTTTTATACGTATATATATATGTTAATGTATTATTAAACCAAAATGTTACTATATATTTAGCATTTTTATTAGCACTTCAATATATGAAAAAGTTTTCATGCTAAAAGAAAAATGATTAAATTAACAATTAATAATAATTATAATAAAAATAATAATTTTTACTTGAAGTATTGGACAGGATTCAAGAATTCATTTAGCATCAATTTCATTCGAATAGATGTCTACAAACCATGAATAATTTTTTAATTATTTACTTGATTTTCTTGGATTTCGAACAATGTATTCTGAAGTAAAAAAAAAACGAAGTTTTGATATATTATTTAGAAAAATTAAGAAAAGAAGAGCAGAGCTAAATCAAGACTAATGTTTTTTGTTCTCATACATGATCTTTATCAAATTAATGAATAAAATAGAAACAAAAAACAAAGAATCTCTCAAGAATTAAATTCTTTATTTTATTTATCCTTACATAATATTCTTTCGAACTTTTAGTTTACTTATAAATGATTCCATCGTCTTTTTTCTTTTTTTTTTGTTTTATCTCTTTCTTTGAACAAAAAAAAAAACAATTGTGTTTATCTTTGACAGAGATGACAAGGATCAATAATAGATTTTCTTTATAGATACCGTTAGTTCTTGTCCTTGATAAATTTTCAAAGAATATTAAATTGAAAAAATCAAACAGAAGAAAAGAATTTCATAAAAAGAATTTAATTATTAATAATTCATAGAACATATGAAAAAAATATCTATTGTTAATAGATGTCGTTAATTATGAAATCTTCATTTTCAAACTGAATCGTCAATGCATTTAGATAAAAAAACTACACACACATACACATACGACATTCTTTGTTTCCTTCTAAACGGTTCATCAAGCATGGCTGCTACTCGTTAGAAAGACGAAGAAAAAAAAAATAGAAATTCTATCTCTATATCCATAGTTTATTGTTTACGAATACAATATAAATCTGTATTGTTATTGTGTTTTTTTTCCTCTAGATCTTGTCTTTTTTTTTTTTTAAACGTCACAAACACACAAATATTTAGTAAGTGTCTGTGACGATGAGTAACGAGAGCCATCCATCTCCGACAGGCTCTTCGTCTTCATCATTGTTCGGTAAGATACTCCCTTATTTATTTATTTATTTATTTATTATTTATTTATTGTGTTGTACTTTAAAAAAAAGTTGCACGTTGCTTGCTTTTTTTCTCGTTTTTTTCTCTCATTGGATTTGATTTTGTAAAAAGAAAAAAAAACACCTGATTCATTATTGTCTTGTTACTCTTCTTCTGCTATCTGTAAATAGGCGGTGGTGGTAGTAATACTGCTGGTGTTAGTGGACCTTCGTCTTATCCCTCACCATCGAAGCCAACTTGGGCACAAATTCTCAATTCAAATCCAAATACATCATCCAATACGTCTGCATCCTCATCATCATCAACAACAATAGTAACAGCAAATACTGCTGCTACTGCATCTACAGCAGGGAATAATAGTGGTGGTGGAGTTAATGTTGGTAATTCATCTTCATCTTCATCACCATCGTCTCAACAATCAACATCAGTGCCTTCTGCTGGAGCTGGAGGAGGAAGTGCACACATATCAGGAGCATCGGGTATAACATCAACGACCACAAGCATTTCACCATCTCAAATAACACCTTCAAACAGTGGTGCATTTAATTTTCCTGGATCACGTACTGGTTTTATACAAAATTTTTATGAACAACAACAGCAACAATCTCAAATGAATTGGCCTTTAAATTTTAATCAAACATCATCATGGATGATTGATGATGATACACAACGACATTCAAATATCGCTGGTTCTTCATCACAACAATCAGTTGATTCTAATCACAATACGCCAGGTGGCGGGGATGGTATGAGCACTCTTTCTGCTTTTTTATATTCTTTATATTTGTGCACGTTTCTTTTGTTCTTTGTTTTTATTTTGTTTGATTCTTTTTTTTTCTTCTTTTGCTATGTTTTTCAAAGAACAAAAAAAACAAACAATATTTTATTATTGATGAAACTTTAGGTTTTGATCGACTTGAATCATCCAGTCCAACACCTGATTGGGGTAAGCCGGTGACAACAAATAATTCAGCAGCTAATGGTTGGTCAAGTTTTCAACAGCCACAACAACAAACGCTTAATAATCCGTCCAGATCAAATACAGTTGGAAATAGCAATACAACAAGTAATCAATGGCCGGAAATGAACAATTTTTATGGAACTAATTCATCGACTAATGTTCCATTTAATTTACCTCAAAATAATAACGACAATATGAACAATAATAGGTAAAATAAAATTTCCAAAGAAAAACAAACTTGATCTCATCATCAAATAGACAGACAGAATTCTATTTTAATTGTTACATTATTTCGGAAAATATAATATATATATATTTTTTTTGCTAGTGCATCGACAACATGGCAAGATCCATCAATGTCGAGTAATGCTAATGACACACTTACATTGACAACAGGTAGTAGCAGTGGTTCGGTGATTAATAAACATAAATCATCATCAACATCATCAATAGCAGCTTCACTCAGTGGTGCACTTAAATCAGCTATAGCTCTTGGTGGTGCGAATGTTGATCTTTTAAGTGGAGCTACAGATCCAACAATAGTTTATGTACCACAACCTAAACTTGTTGAACAATTAGGTTGGGATGAACCTGATATAAAAGTAACAAAACGTGCAAATTTTGATGATGGTACATCAATATGGGGTGATCCAATGGATTTAATATCACTTCCAGTTAAAAAATGGACTAATGGAACAAAAGCAGCATTAACAAATTCAACAAATGTTATTTTACAACAACAACCATCAATTGTTCAAAAACCAGTTTCAACAAATATACAAACTTCAAATTCAACAACTTCTGCATCACAAATGGTGCTTAATGATGAAAATTGGTCAAAACAACAATCACCAACATTATCACAACAATCAACATCACAATGGAATGATACATCAACATCAGTTGAACAAGCAACTCCACCACCACCAACATCACATACAGCTAATTATCGTACACAACAATCAGCACCAAGTAATTGGAATGCTCAATCTCAACAATCAACTCATCATGGTTCAGATGATTGGTTTCGGGATGGTGTTGTTGATACAAGTGATTGGGGTCTACAAGTAAATTTTTCAATTGAATAGTCTTTTTCCTTTTCTGTGAAACGAGATCTAAAACGAGTGTTAAAGTATAGAAGTAGAAATTTAGATCGTCTCTTCTTCTTGACAGATATATTAAAAGCATCTCATTAATATATATGAGCTACTTTCTTATTATATTTCTGAAAGATTAAGTAAAAAAGTTGTTTTCCAGAAATAAATTCAATAAAACAATCCCTCTGTGTTTAGCAACAGCAGTTACATTTTGTTTCACATTTAAATCCCACAGAAATTACGCTAAGAGCTTTTTTGTCCTATACAAATCATTCTAGGATTTACGTTTCTTCTAGGGCTCGCAAAGTAAAGTTCCATTTGATCCATATGAAGGTCAAGTTGATACTAGTAGTTGGGGAGTACAAGGAGGTGGTGGTGGTGGTATGGGCGGACCGTTAGCAATGCCACCAATGAATCGAAATCGATTTATGAATGATTATGATCTCAGTGAAAATACGCATGATCCTCATGGTATACATCGTATGACTGGTTATGATAATCAATCAATGGCTGATCTATATCGACAAGGTTCGGATCTTAAAAATCCAATTATGGGTCTTGGTGGTTTATTACCTTCATCAGGTAATCCTCCACCACATCATATGTTACCACCATCTCAACTTCCATTTGCTCCACGACCTGGTCCACTTTATCAACCAAATAGTATTCTACGACCAATGAATCCAAATGGTATTCCAACACAATCCGGTGCTATAATGGGTACGGGTAGTCTTATATCACCAAAATTATCAACAACATCACCTGTACCAAATCAAGCACCATACGTTCCATTAGCAGCTAAACAAAATAATATGCCAACACAACCGTCTCAAACATCAACATCTCAACAACAACCAGGATCAGGACCTGTGAATAATGGTGCAGTACATGCTCAAATTATGCAACAATTTCGTCTTGCTGTACAAGCCGGTTTGATTAGTCAAGATTTGCTCAATACTAAATTACCACCATATATGTTACAAGTAAATATATATATATGAAAATTTTCGTTTTTGTTTTTTTTTAAATGATATTCTTTTTTTTTTTTTAAAAGCTTCTTCAAAAATTATTTGAACTTCAACAAAAATATCAATCATTATCAATTCAATTAGCAGATTTTTCTAAACATAAACAACGTTTTCCAATAACATTTTTTCAAACTGAATATGAACGTTTATCAAAATTAATAACACAAAAAAAAACAAGAAATGTTAGTTGTACAAAAACAAATTCAAGATGCACATGCTAAACTTGTACAACAACAATCAGCTGCACCAACACCAACACCAACACAAATGATGTCAAATGGTCCTGTAACTCAAACTCAACCACCACCTGGTGTATCATCAACACAATCTCAAGATCAATTAGCTGAACGTATGCAACATTCATTAAATGTTGATCAATCACGTTTACATCAATGGACAAAACAACAAACATCAACACGAGGACCACAATCATCATCAATGTTTGGACCACCTGGTTTAACACAAAAAGATTGGCAAACAAGTGGAAATAATCCAAATGAAAATTGGGAAAATACTCAAACAAATGATCCAAATAATAATAATAATCAAGTTGGTCATATTGATCCTCATACACATAGTAATCAAGCATCATCATCAACATTTGGTGATGCATTATCAGAATTTGTTGATGATACAGATGGGCCACCACCATTTATACCTGGTCAATTATGGAATTGGAAAGCATCATTACCTAATGCTGAAGATGATCCACATGTTACACCAAGTTCATTAACAATGGGTCCTAAAGGACCATTATCATCTATGAGTAGTCTCAATGTTGGTGGAGCAGAAAGGTAAACACATAATCGTTTGATTTTTTTGTGAAATATAATCTAAAACGATTGTTGAAGTATAGAAGTCAAAGTTCTCGGTTAGAGGAGGCAAGGGCTTCCCTCTCCCAAAAAGATTCGACTTTTATAAATATATGAAAGAGGTGCACAGAACGAGAGATGAGAATTTGGAAGCAAAGTGGACCCTGTCAGTCTCGTCAGACTCATATTCTCACTTAGCGCTCTCAGAATCACCATGCACATCTTTTAGGATTCTGACTTTTACAGCTTCATAAGATTTTGAAAACATCATTTCTCTTTCTCTGGTAGAAAGCGAAATAAAAATAAACAGACAATATGATTGCGCGATGAATAGGATTGTGGGAAGAGTCGGGTCACGGTGATTTTGGTTCTTTCCACTTGCCATTCACTCTTCTAGCACTCGAAGAATGAAAGCACATTCTACCGAACTTTTAACCTCCCCCCTCCCTCGCACCTAAAAAAATATTGACAATCCTGATAGAGATAGAAATTTGAAACCTCTTTCCCACAGACTTTCTTGATATATGATCTCAGGCTGTAAATAAATAACATCTAGTTATAATAAATAAACTACTTTCTTATTACACTTCTGGAAGATTAAATAAAATGATGATGATGAAGAAATGTGTTCCAAGATAAATATTCGTGTGTTTAGCAACAACAGCTATATTGTGTTTCACATTTTAATCTCACAGAGATTGTGGCAAACAGCTTATTTTTCTTTTTTTCTGTTTTTAATTTAAATATTGTTTTAGTGCTTTTTCAAATCCTCAATTACTTCATCATATGCATCGTCAACAAGCAAATCGATCCCAATGGCAACAAACATTACATGATCAACAAGGCTTTCCAACATCAATGAATGATTGGGGTAAACCACATCAATATCGAGGTACGTCAAAACTACCACCATCGCTCAATCATCCACCACCACCACCACATGCGTCTTTCGGCGGCTATCGACCCTATATGTAGTAGTAAAACAATGATGATAGACGAAACAAAACTGTCGAGTTTATTTCATTTTCGTATTTCTTCTTAATTCATTATCTTTCATTTTTTTTTTCTTTCTCTATTTCTCTCTCGGCCAAAATAAAGTCAGTGAAATGATAAAACTGTGTCCTTTTTTTTTTCTCTCTTCCTTTTTTTTTGTCTCATTACAATCGTGTATATTTACATTTCATGCTCTTTCATTATGTGTATCTATCATTGTCGACTAATACTTCTGTGAGATTCACATGAAAATTTTTTGTTTGTTTGTTCTTTAATTCATATCTGTTTTTTTCTTGATTTCCGCTGATGATGCTGCACTGCACTGAGAATTCCCTCCCGGTACCATCCATTTTTTTTTGTATGTTCGTGATGTGAATGTCTATTTGTTTTCTTTTTTTTTCTTTCATGTGTGATGTACGCTCTTATATTGATGGCCGAGCTTCATATCGACAAAAAAAAAAAAAAGTACAAACAAACGAACCAAACTAAACAAAAGAGATCTACTACTCTGTTGTGCTGTGCTGCTCACGCACGCGTGTGTGTGCAATAATTTTTTTCTTTTTTTCTCTTATATCGTTGGTTTTTACTGTCAATCTCTTTCTCTTTTTTTGTCTTGCACATAAGAAGCAAGTTTTTCTTTTTTTCTTTTTTTTTTCTCAAATAATTTGTCTTCTTCTTGTAGTGTGTGCGATGCTTTTAGGTATATATCTATGTATGGTTGTGGTGTATGCGCGTGTGTAAATCAATACATTTAAAAATTGTCTTTATTTGCTCTAATTTCTTCCTGATTTTTTTGTCTTTGCGCTAAAACAAAAAAGCAAATCAATCATATATATATATATACATAAGATCTATTTTGTAGAAATTCTGCTGTTGTGAATGAAATTTTTCACATATATATATGCACGCAGATAGCTTTAACGCGTGTTTGTGTTTGACTTATTTGAAGCAAAACAAAACAAAAAGATGGTGATGACAGAAAAAAAACAATGGGTTTTTTTCTTTCTTTTTTTTGTGCTGTGTATAAAAAAACAAGCAAGCAACCCTCTTTTTTTTGTGTGTGTGTATATCTGTGTCATCTTTTTTCTCTGGCCCTAATGCGCTGATCTTTTTTTTATGTGCTCTTTTTTCCCCTTTTTTTTGCGTATGTTCTCTCAAACTCTACTATACTAATAAATAAATAACTTTGACGAAAATTTGAAAAAAAAAAGAAATATACATTTCAATTCATTGTATATTGACAAGCAAGAAAAGTATTTATTGGTTCAAGAGAAATATAAATGGTATTATGTTGAACTATTTTAGATGGCATCATCTATTGATTTACATCCACCGGTATTATTTGCCTGTTGATTTTAGCAATAGAAATTGAGAATTAAGTTTTTTAATTAGATTCATTGGGGACAAACATTACATAATGTATCATTACGTGTTGGACTTACGGATGTAAAAGTATGTAATTGTTAATTTTCGAATCGATGTTCTTTATTCAATGAAACTATTTGCTTTAAAACTAATCAATCATTTATGAAAAATATTCTTTTTTTTTGTTGTTTAATAAAGGAACGATGATCTTGTCGTTTAGAGTTAAGTTATTTAGTAATCGTGATTAAAAGTAGATTTTTGTGTAGAGACTCATTATTATATTTGGTTTTATGTCAATCTCTGATTCAAAGTTCAAACTTAAGCTTGTTCGTATAGATAATATAAAAAATGAATTGTAAGTTATGGAAATCTCGACAGACTCGTTGTTTTTCAGCAGTGTTTCAAGTTTTCGAGAATGGAAATTTCTGAAATCACCAACACTCTTGAGCAGATGATTTCTAGAGAACTTCGGTTGATTTATAAGGAAGAAATTCTAAGGAAAATTAGGAAATTTTCTTTAATTTGGATATGAATAATTAAAGTTGTAGATCTATAGAAAATTTACAAGTTCAACCCGAAAAACTATAAAAATTTCTAGTAATATCCAAAAATTCCTACATCAATATTTTCGGAAAATTCACATGACTCATGGATAGGAGTCTGCTCTTAGTTATAATAGAATAGAATGATATATTTATCGTTCGTACAGTCGTGGACAAAAGTCTCCTCTGTACCAGATCTCAACTACTAGAAGTATTTGAATGTCTAAAAATTTTTGTACACATAATCCATCAAGCATGTAGATCAGAGTTACCAACTTGCTTCGGTTGTCTAAATACAATGGGAATTATGATGGATAGCATTTACTTTTTCTTTAAACTTTATATTTGTGAAAAGAAAGTTTTATGAGTCAATCGGTCTTTCATTATTATGATTATATTTTAGCTATCCACGCTATTAATTTCATCGAAGCCCATAAATCTTTACTAGAATGATCGCCATTCTATTGTGACTACTCGAGGAACGAAGAACTCTTTAATGCCCTTTGTAAACCATAATTCAATAATACTTCAATGAATCGAGTACAAACTTTTATGGAAGCTTTGCCTGTAGTACAAGTCTCAGAAAAGAACTTTCTTCTAAGTGGAAACGGCATGTCAATAATGATTGTATTGGTGCTTATGACTCAAAAACATCCAGATAACAGCAATCTTGCAACAAATCATATTATCTTTTGAGTGACAAAAGACTATATACTGAGCTTTAATTGCAAATAAAAATATCAAGAATTATTCATGTAAAATCGTCGACACATTAAAATACCTCGGGTCTTCTATTCCGTCTTATCCTTCACAATTACAGTTAACAAAAACAATCTATATTTTATTACTAAAGAACATTTTATAAAACGAGTATCTTAATCATAAAATATACTAAGTCACACAAAAAACGATTAGTTTACACTTCATAGTAGGAACATATTTCACAAGATAAAAAAAAAATTCACTTATAAAATGCTGTTATTTCATACGGCCAAATAAAAAAAACAAATAAGCTTTGGGGTTTTTGACATGTCCTTCATGATCAGTCGTTTGTATTGAGTTTTCGTTATTGAACCTGTAATTTGTTCATCCATTTTCTGAATCAAATTATTGATCAATGTAATCATATTCGATATTTAATAGCAGTAGATGAGAACTTGAGCTTAGATCATTATCTATCAAAGATATTCTATGTTTATTCAGTTATGAAAATAATCCTATAGTTGACTGTTAGTGAAAAGAGAAGAATGTAAATGAAAAATAATTGAACTTGATCATAACAGACATTGTTTTTCATATGCCGCATACATACGTCCGTTAATTACATTTTATATTATTCAAGTACACACCGTCTCGAATGTCAAAAGCAGTAGACAAATATTTTTGAAGAGAAGATTAGAAATATACATATAGAAACAAAAGGTATAAACATGATAGTAAAACTGATAAAAAAAAACAACTATTATAGGGAGCCTTCTAATGTGTCGAAGGCTTTATTTGATAAAAGGTAATACAAAATTGAATAGACAACATTTTTGAATTAAAAAGCTTGAAGCAAAAATAGGCGCCGTTCGTCATAATTTTCGTTGCATTTATGCTATCGGAGCGATCTCCTGCATGTGTGGAAGCTGAGATCTGTTGTAGGAGTATTTTTGTCCACTATTGTATATAGAAATTTCAGCTATTTCTAAAAATAACGAGGAAATATTGAAATTTCCTAGAAAATTTTTTCTTCTAAATCAATAATTAGGGGATTTCTCTGAAAATTACCTGCTTATGAGTTGGTAATTTCTGAAATTTCCTTTGTCAGAAATCTGAACATATCTTATTATTTGTATGAAAAACAAGAAAATATGTAGATTATTTCATACGAATTTTGATGCTTACATGTGTTTTTGTTTCATTCGTTTATTTTATAACAAAAAATGAAAAGATCCAAATTTATGCAGACGAGTTAAATTGAATTAGTAAAGCAAATATTTATAAAAGCAATGGAAAAAAAAACGAAATGACAAGATTGATTTGACGATAATGCAATCATTGACATAGTCATTTTGAGTTAAATGGATGACGTTGTATATCACATTATTGGCATTTTTTGTTTTTATGATAAAACAAAACTTTGTTTTCGTGTTTTTAGTATCCAAAAATTGACATTAATGAATCAAGTATTAAATTTCAAGCTACAGGATGTAGTGGATCACGTGGTGAACAATTATATTCATTTGAAATTGAGCTTTATAATAAAATTGATGCAAAAGTAAATTAAAATGAAGAAAATATTAACATGTATTTTTTTTTTTTTTTATCATTATCATATATAGGCTAGTAGTTATAAAATAAGTGATCGTGAAATAAATGTTAATTTAAAGAAAAATACACCTGATACAAATAATCCATGGCCTCGTTTAACTAAAACATCAGCTAAATTACCTTGGCTAAAAGTAACGAAAATTAATATTAAATGATTATTTTCATATATATTTTCATCTCTATAGGCTGATTTTGATAAGATGACATTTAGTGAAGATGAATCGGATCATGAACAAAAGAAGCCAACGTTTGTAAGTACAAAAAAAATAACCGTCGATAAGTTAGTCTTTTAATATCATTTTATTGTAGAACAAAAATTTTGATGATGATATTTACAAATCATTTCGGCAAGATACTCGTAGAACTAAACCAAAAGGTAATTTAAAATAAATAATTTCAAGTTAAGACTGTTGACATTTGAAGTGTATGAAGTCTAGTGAAAATCTATATAAGCAAAATGTCAAGTGTATGTCTTTTAACGGATTAAAAGTCATCAGTAGTCTGAGATAGAGTGACCTTTGAACCAATAACAGATATGCCCCATGCAATGTTTTTAGACTTTCACGGACTCTCGCTTGTAGTATGAATATTCAAATGAATGTTCAAACTGAGCTTTATACTTAAGATGAATATTTTTGATATTCTATCCAATTAAATGTTTTGATAAAAATTCGAGCTCTCATACGATTGAAATAAAGATATTTGAGTAATATTGTAAATGAATACAATGATTGACAATGAATCAGAAGTTTTTCGATTTCAAAATTTTTTTAAAGTGAAAGACAAAAACATCAATGAAAATTTTATCTCAATATTAGAAAATTCTATATTTCACAATCCTATTTTCGTTATGCCACAGTATTTTAACCGAACAGTATGCATATACATGTCGGAAATCAAAATATTTCCATCCCGAATCACGTACAGTAACCAGGCTGATCCTACACCTATCTCAAGTAGTTTTAATCTAATTACTAACACGAAACCTCATGAGTAGTCTACAGGATATCTTTTCGAATTCAATAGTATAATCTTACTCAAAACTCTCCTATACTGGATGTCCGAAAAGTTCGTAGGAAAAGTAAAGGTAGTTATCTCTTAACAAATTCAAGCGATTTGATCCTTTTTTTTTAAATAAAATAATACTGTAGTCTTTGAAGTTTTATTTAATATAATTTGATTGAACAACAAATTTTAATAATGATTCCCATAAACTAAAACCGATATTTTATCAAAATTTTCTTTTTCAAAGACGTGATTTCACACTCCGGCGGAGTGAACCCGTATTTTTTTGGAAGCATGACATATAGTACAATAATAACAAACTTCAAGAGAAGAAACTCAATCTTCAGAGATATGCTAATTCATCCTAGAAATGAATTCTCTTGATTGTAATTGTTATCTAATATTACTAGGAATCTATTCAACATTTTCATTCGATCTTGTAAATCATTTTTGTAATACTAGTAATCCAATTAAATCTAGTAAAGTTTCACTGAAATATATCGAATCATAATTCAATACTCAAATTAGTTGTCGAAGTTTACAAGTTTTTGAAACTGATTTACCACGGTTCTAACTGTTCAGCTGCTGTGATAGTATTTTTTGAAATATCTTCCGTGCCGCTGGCTAACTCCGCTGCCGTAGATGTGTCTACTCTGAATAATAAACGAAATATTGTAATGTATATTTTTGTTTTAAAGGTCTTGTTGATCTTCGAACAAATTGGTTACTTTTCTATAATCTCTTTCAATTTATGGCTTATTTATGGGTATTTACTCGTTTAATGATTCATTTTATGGTAAATGGACGTAAGTATTTGAAATAATTTTATTTCTCTAGTATTTTTTTATTTGTGCTTTTATGAAGATTTGAAAAATGGTTATAGGATTGTTGAAAATCCAATAAAATTATGTCAATCATTAGCAATTCTTGAAATAATTCATCCATTAATTGGTTTTACTAAAGGTGATTGGTTATCACCATTAATGCAAGTAAATACATAAATAAAAAAAAAAAAAAAATATTCGAATTTATTAAAAGAAAATAATAAAAAACTTAATCTATTTATTTAGTTTTTGGCTCGAAATTTAATTCTATTTGTTGTTATTAATTATAATCATCAAATAAAACCATCACCAATTATTTCTTATCTATTCTTAGTATGGAGTTTCGTAGAACTTTTTCGGTATAATAAAAAAAAATCTAAAATATTATTTTTTTTTTTTTTGAAAAAATTGTTTTCTTTTTGAAGTTATCCATATTATGGTATTCGTCTATTAAATAAACAAAGTCGTATAATTACTTGGTTTCGTTATACACTTTGGATTATTCTTTATCCATTAGGAGCATTTATTGAAGGTTAAACAACTATTTTCTCATTTATTTATCTATGATTTATGTTTTTATTTATCTAGGCGTAATAATTTACAAAAGTCTTGATTATTATCATTCCAATCGTTATTTTACTGTGGATTTACCAAATAAAATAAATTTTTCATTTAATTTTGCTTTATTTCTTCGGATCTATTTAGTAATATTACCATTAGGTAAGTTAAATTCGATTGAAAAGAATAATATTTCAGATATATATATATATATATATATATTTATTTTTATTTAGGTCTTGTTCAAATGATGCAACATATGTGGAATCAACGGAAAAAGGCATTGATAAAAAAGAATGAATAAAAGACAGTTTTCCTTTTCTTTTTTTTTTACTTGACAAAAAAAATTCAGATTCATGACAAAAGAAAAAATAAAATCTAATAACTAAATAAAATTCATTCCTGTTATTTCAGATGTCAGCAATAATTTCATTATCAAATTTAACAACAGAAAAAACTTTTCGAAGATTATTATTATCAACTGAAAAACTTTCCGAAGAAAAATCTATTGAAGATTGGAAACTTAATCAAGTAATAGAAAATATTTAAATAGAATATTAAATATTTGTTTTTTTTTCATTTTTTTTTTAAATTTAGTTTGTTAAAGCATTAACAGATATGTTAAATGATATGCGTAAATCAATGAAGTAATATTTTTCTGTTTGTTTGCAATAGATAAAAAAGAAAAAATGTTTTTTTTTTTTTATTAATTCTAGTCGACCAAGTTCAAAACAACTTGATGAATATAAACGAAGAATTGATATGCTTCGTGAAAATATTGATTCAACTAAATTAGTAGGTATAACTAAGATAAAATTTCACTACAACAACAAAGAAAATTCTTTTCAGTTTCCATAACGACTATAATTTTTAATTATGTTAAAGAAAGATATTTTCACACACGTATAATATGAAAGGAAGAGGGTAAAGCCGTGTGCAACGAAGCATTTTGAACGTGAAGTAGACTCAACAATTTCTATTAGATTCCCGCCGATTTTGAATTGTATAACAGTGTTACAATTCAGAAAAAAATCGGAAATTCTTTCCAATGGCGTGCGCTCAAATAAACACACTAACGTTTGATTTTATTTAATTTTGAGTATTAAAAGAAAAGCTTCTTATCTACTTTACTGAAAAACAGAATAACGGTGAAGTAATCATGTTCATAGAAAGAAAAAAAAGAATTACATTTTGAATTTAATCATTTTATTGATTATATTTCTTCGGTATCGAAGCGTAGTCACCGAAGACGAAGAAAACTTTCGACAGTTTGTAATTAATCTAACTTGAGTTTCTCGCTTAATTCTTCTTCACGTATAACAAAGGAATACCAAAACAAATCATTGATAGTATAGGGTTCAACATTCAAGCATACTAAATTTAATGTTTATACAAGCACATTTTCTAAGTTCGCTTTACTACGAAAGCATCACTATTTGCGGCTGAAGATAATGAAAAAATTTTAACGTTTATATAAGAATTTCAATGCATTGCATAAGGTAGCCTATTCAAGTCTCGTAACTCGACTACCTATGTGCAAACCTCATTCAACAGACAAGGATTGAAATGAAAAAGTGTCTCTTATAAACTTTATACAGGTTGTCTTACAATGAAACATGTCCAATCGTCAGATTTCATTCGATTTTCTATTTTAGCTACAAGTAGATCTTCACGAGATTAAGACAAGTGTTAAAAGATTTGTGCCTATAGCCTACTGGTGAAGAATTTTACGACTATTTTACTGTAATCAAAGTATTCTAAAAAAACTCAAAGTAAAGAGTCTTAGCTTGAAATCTTGCCTATAAACAGATTTAAGAGTTATTGGATAGTCCTAAGAGTTTCACCGAAGACCACTATGTCTTTCTTGAAATATTCAATTTCCAAAAAAAAAAGCTATTTACTACAATAATCCAATATATTTAGAAATTGACTATCTTGAGAAAGACATGTTCATTTTCGTTGAAACTTTCAGAGTTATCTGATGATTATAGAATCTATTTATAGGCAAAATTTTAGATTAAAATTCTTTGTTATGGATTTTTCAAAAATGCTTTGATTTTCTGAGGGAGCTCTTTTGGTCGATAGATTGTTTTTAAGTCAAGATTATGTGTATTATGTAGATCTAAATGAGTTATAAATGTCCTGAAAAGAGTTCGTACCTTTAGTTTATTGCTACTAAGATACTGTACTTTTGCAGTATTTTTTACATGAATGCCATAGTAACAGAAAAACTGTTTTTCGAATATCGAGGTGAAACTTTGCATAGAAACAAGCCTTAATGAGAGTAGTTTTAGGTGTTTTTGATTTGCTTCTATCCTGAAATAAAAACATAAAATCTGCCGGTTTATATGAGCGATGTAAAAGACTCACTATCACCATAGATATATCTTAGAATACGAACAGCAATAAGACCTGAAACATTTACAAAAAGAAAACTGTTCTTGTCAAAGCACATCTCCATACAAGGTTTCAGCTTGAAATTCGAAAATCAGTTTTTCGGTTACCGCGGCATTCATTTAAAAAATACTGTAAATGTGCAGTATCTATGTAGCAATAAGCTAAGGACACGAAGTCTTTTCAGGATATTCATACTTCACTTAAGTCGACATAATGCAAATAGCCTTGATTAAAAAGCGATTTATCAGTTGGAAGAATTTCCTTATTAGTGGAATCTTCTGTGCAACGTCCATAAGTCTGTCCCAGTAGGTCAAGGAGACGAATCTTTTTAAGATTCAAAGCGATCTATTCGTAGCTATAATATGAAATGGAACAGCGTCTGACAATTGAATAAGTTCTCTCGTTAATTACATCGGTCAATGGCAAAATGAATGTAAAACATTTCAAATCTTTTCTGATCATCTAGATATCTAAATTATATTTTAAGATTGAAGATTTTTTCTATTTTTTAGTTAAATGAGAATCTAGTTAATGTTTTTTAATTTCTATTAGAAATACCGATGGAAATTTATATCTTTTTAAAACTTTGACTATAATAATAAACTTAATTTCTTTTAATTAGTTCTAGTTGAAAGTCTTGAATTCATTCTTTCCATTTCATGTTGTTTCTAAGATCAAATGTATCTGTTCAGACTTAACAATATCCTTTTCATTTCATGTTGTTTCTAAGATCAAATGTATCTGTTCAGGCTTAACAACATCTATCTATTCTTATTAAGAAACTTAAAAGAATATTGTATATACTTTTATACAAAAGAAAAAACGTCATTTAAATGATTTAATTATGTTTTCAGGAAGATCAAACATTTCCTCGGCAAGTTATTCAACAAATACCAACAGATATACCTGTTAAAGAACAACAAACTGAAGTTACAACTACATCAATATCTTCAACTGAAATAGAAAAAACTCTTAGTACATCAAATAAATCTGATCGTCGTAAGTAAATTATATTGTTTAAACAATATCTTTTAACTGTTTATTCTTTGATGAAATTATATCAAATAAATTCTAATGATATTGATTTTTATTTTTATTTTTATTTTCTAGAACATTCAAATCGACAACAACAACATATACAATCTGAAGAAGATAAACAAGATGAAATAGCTACATCAATGAGAATAACAACTAAAAGTCTTTTAAATAATGCAAAACTTCTTCATGATGTTGTTAAAAGTGATCAAAAAGTTTGTTTTAATTCTTTTTGATTTATTCATTCAATATTAAATATTGATTTTTTTATTTTAGAAACTAACTGAAGCAGAAAATTTAATTGATATTAATACAGCTAAACTCAATATTCAAAGTAAACGTTTAAAACATAATGCATATAATGTATCTAATTGTTGGATATATTTAATGCTTATTATTGTTATTATTACATTTATTTATTTAACATTATTTATGCGAATGTTTCGTAAACGAATAAGAACAATAACACATTCAAATATTGGATCGAAATCAAGTTTAATAAATCTTTCGAATAATCAAACAACAATCAATATTACAAATGTAACAACAACAACAAAATCTACGGATTATATAAGTTTATTGTTAAATTATGCGAACGAAAATCATACAGATTTATAAAATAAAATAAAAATATAATTAATATTATTAATAAAATATATAAGAAAAAAAGATAGAATTCCAACGATAAGAAAAAAAGAAAAGAAAAACGAACAGCAACAATAATCATCGACAGAAATATGACACTTTTCTTTTTCTGATGGCTTGCCTATGGGCCAACAAAATTTTTTTTTTTTTCTATTGCATTGTTCTTTCTTTCGCGCTGTGATCTCTTTTCTTTAGCGCATCTTTTTTGCCCGATGGGTTACATTGATTATTTGTTTGTATGTATGCCATTTCTAAATATGAGAGAGAAAGAAATAGTCAAATACGACTAGAGAGAGGAAGAGGGAGAGAGAAACAACTATGTATGTGTTTCTTCCGATTTTCCTAGAAAACGACTGTAGATGATTTCTAAGCTATCGTTTCTTAGTAGTCTCTTATTGCAAACGCATGCCTAACTATTGCACTCCACTATTATTCCCTTTTTATGAAACAAAAGAAAAATACAACCGCTGTGCACATAATATGAAGCGAAAAAAAGCATTAGCATCGTTATTAAAAGTGCCTATTTAAAATTCTCGAGCCCAGTAAGGTGTGTTTTTTTCTTTTTCTTCTTTTTTTTTTTTTGAATTGAATCATCAGACTTGTATTGAAAAACGAGAGTCCTTCGAGTATTATAACGTATAGTATACATTAAAGTAAGGTAACTATCATTTGTCTTTTATGATTGATTGAACGGTACCGAGAAGAACGAGATAAAAAAAAATATAGTCTATTTGTTCACATCACTATTCATGTTTTTTATTTATTTTACTAAGAGTTCTTTTAAGTTGATATTAACTAACTTTAAATATAAAATTTAGATGATGTTTTTCTTTTTTTGCTTTCAAATCTGGAATCCGTTTTATTTATTCTGATCACAACCATTTCCCTTTTCATTTCCTTTCCTGATGTATGTCTCGATCATTTCTACTTTCTGTTTTTTTTTTCTTGTTATTGGTTAGTTGGTATTTTTATTAATATTAAGTCTTAAAGTTCGATATAATTTCCACTGACGATGAATGATTTCCTTTGAGAGATTTTTGTGTTTAGATCATCTTCAAAGGTGATTAGAGAAAGAAAATGGCATTAAGAATTTTTTCATCAACAAACAATAGCAAGAAAAATATTCACATACATCTTATTTTTCTATCACGAAAGCATTATTATGTTTTTCAATGTATCGAAGTCAATAATGACATTTCAGTTGAGTTTGATGTTTTCAATGTTGATCTAAGCACTTGTTTTCTTCGTTCTACAATGTTTCTATTTGGCATCTTTGATGAATATGTGTTATCTTCTAATGAATGATTTGAATCGAGTAATATTGCTCCTAGTTCATTCAATCGTTCATTTTTTTTTTGTATGTGTCATACAAAAAAAATGATCCTACGAATATGATCAACACGTGTAATCAGAAATCATTCGAGCACATGAATTGATCTCTTTAGGCTATGATAAAATGACGAGTGAAAACGATGCATAGAACGTAATAATGATTTTATGATTTCTAAGTAAGTCACAAGAGAGATATACTAGCAGCTATTGATCATGCATGCAAGCATGAAACGAGACTATAGTGCAATGGACAAGCTCACTTTGATGAGAGCTCTCTTTTCTTTTTCTTTTTTTTTTCTTTATTTCCGTTTTCATCTCTTTTTCTGCAGATGTCTAGTGCTTGCTATTTAGAGCATTCGTCTTTGTAAGAGTTCTTGTCTAGCTCTGTCAAATATATCACTCTAATTTGATAGAACTGTTTTGTTGTTTCGCACAAAAGCAAAAGAGCGCACCCGACAGTAACGCTATTAAAAGAAGTCATAATGGACGCCTTTGGACAACTATTATAGATAGTTATTGTATTAAGCAGATTTGGTATTTTCAATAATAAATAGACGAAGAAACAACTAACAAGAACATGATTAAAACATTTTACAAATTATATTCTTTTAGCAAAATTTTTCTATCATTTTCTTTTATAGAAATATGATCAGTCCGTTCAACTAACAAGTACTACCCTTAAGGTACTGGTCTTCGTTATTATCATGCTTGTATATAATAAATAGCGAGACGTGTGTACGCATGTGAAAAATTCTTTACGTTGATTGCCGTTCCACGGGGAATTCGTTCCTTCGAGCAAGCGAAGAACAATCCATGTAAAGTATTCACTCAGCTTCCGTGATTAATTTTCGGCAGTGTATTGAACTAATTCAGTTAGAGACAACACCACAAATAATAGCTTGCATGCGTATATATGTATTGTTTAAAACCATCTGAATCTAACCTATTTAAATCTATTTTTATTTATTCTTGATATAGTCGATTTATTAAAAAAAGATTATTATTTATGAATGAAAACAGGTGAGAAAATAAACTCTGGAATAATAATAATAATAATAATAATAATAATGATAATAATAATAATAATAATGTATGGTTTGAATAACAAGACAGCTAATAATACGTGATGATCGATGAGTTTCATAGGACAATGACATATATTCTTGTATTATTATAGGACACACAAATAACAGATAGTAATTTCTATGCAACATGGAAAGAGGAAAAAGGTACAATGTGTAACTGCTGTTACCGTTGTCGATTAGCTTTTTTTTGTTTTTTCCAAAATATGAAAAAAAGAAAGGTAATAAGAGAATGAGAGAAAGAACAGGAAAAGGAAATGGAAAAAAATTCGACTAGTATGTCAGGCTATGTCTCTATATGAATGTGTGTATTTGGCATGGCTCAAACAGTTGGTGTGTGACAGAGAGAGAGAGAGATATATAGATCACATGCAAGTATAAACTACAAGCTCTCATGGATTTGTTCTTGTCTGTGCTTTCCTTTTTTTTTTTTCTTTGATTCGAGAAAAATATTCTTATCAAATAAATGTACATGTATTGACATTTTTTTTTTAGCATAAAATAGTGAGCATAATCGATTATTTAAAAGAAAAAATACAGAATTCAATGAAATATGTCTATTATATTCATGTTTGTTTTTGAGAAAGAAAAAGTTTCTTATTTTTTGAAGATAGTCAAGCTAGAACTTTCTTTTGTGTCTATTTCATTCTTTTTTTTTTTTTCTTTCCGTCTAATTGGATTTTTATGACGATATAATCTGAAGACACCGTTAAAATCTACATAGACATATATAGATGACTTGATCTGATATTGTATGTATATGGTGTGATTTTTCTCTCGAGGGCTCTTATCGTCAGCTCCCATCATCATGTCATTTTTTTTTTATAAGCTTATTGATCCAACATTAAAGATGGCCGTTTTTTCGTACTTGTTTTTTTCTTTATTAAGAATGTACAATAAACATACTCATAACGCCTACAATACGTAATAGGTTATTTGATCAATACTCGAATAACTGTTTATTAAGAAACCTACTGTTAGGTGCATGGAAATAGTTGGCATTTGAAAGAGATGCGCAAGAAAAACAACAGGATCAAGTGAATAGATAAAAGGGTACAATTGATTGTTTTTTTTGCTTTCGAATGTGGAAAATCAAATATATTTTGAATTAGAAGGAAATATCGATTTTTTTTTTCGTAAGATATTTTCTGATTCTCTAACTTAGTTGTCATTTTTGTTCGAACAGTGAATATTGTTTTCTTGGGAGAGAAGAGAGGAGAAGAGAAGGAGATAGCACGATTCTCGAGAGAAAGATAAGATAGGCTGGGAGCAGCCGCAGTCAGTCTTATTTTCTTCTATCTCTTTCTCTTTCTCTCTCTCTCTCTCTTTCTTCTTCTCTATGGGTTTCTCTGTTGTAGTAAAAAGAAATATTATTTATTGTTCCATGCTTCTCTAGGCAACAAATATTTTCAGAATCTATCGCATTCGTTTGACGAAACGCTAATAATGATAATAATGATAAAGCAATAATGACGATGATATTGACGGTGACCAGGTGAAGAAGATTGTTCTGTTTACTTTTATCACCATATGGCCTCGCCCGCTTGGGCTCGTTCAATTGGTACCCATAACCTGATTTCAGTGCATCGAGCCGAACATAAATTGATAATTAATATAATTAACGTTTCTATAAAAATCGAATCGAAGTCTTTCCGACTTTATGTTCGTCGATTCGATGGACTGTTTTTTAACATACAATCTCTCGTGTGTCAATGGTACTTTTGCTCAGTTCAATACGTCATCAGTTATATTTGGAGACATAATCGATCCAAGTGTCATAACAGGTGGCGACAGTTCAAACAACGATCTAACATCATCAACAGATCATCCAATATCATCATCGATACTTGTATCTGTACAACATTGTATATTGACAGCAATAATTCTTGGTGCAATTATATTAGCGACAATAACCGGAAACATACTAGTTATAGTTGCTGTTAAAATCGAAAAAAGCCTTCATTCAGTTGCCTATTATCTTTTTGTATCATTAGCCGTGGCCGATTTAATGGTAGCTTCTATGGTAAGTCATCGATAAATATAATTTGTTTTTTTTTTTTCGTTTTGTTCCTATTTCAACTATTAAATTACCAGGCTAAAGAAATATAAAAAACGAAGACAACGAAATAGGGAAGAAAAAAGATCATTGTTTTTCACTATAGCGATATTAATTAATCTCAGTAATTGTACTAATGGTTAGTGTGGCATATATTATGAAGTAGTCTTTGACATTCGTATATACATCCATCAGTCTTTATATCTAATGTAGTTTTTGCTTCTCATTGTCTAGATCTGTTCCTATTAAGAAATTGACGATATGTTAATGCTGTTGATGGAAATTCTCATTGTATAACAAAACTATAATGAAAAGAATTATAGCTGTATGTCTTGAGTTTTGTCTTATTTATTTCATAAATACGTGTATTGTGTATACATTTGTTGTTTCGTAGCAAAAAAAAAATTGTTTTTTGATGGCCTACGTGTTCTAGAACAGTATTATCGTCTTGACTCTATCTATCTTTTTTGTTTGTTTGAGGATAATATGAGGGAAAAAAAAGTCGACAGTCTCATTTCGACATGTATACAAGTTCTTTTTTTTCTGATTACTTGATGCTATTGCCTTCATTTATTCAAGAACAAACAAATAAATAAACAAATATACTCGACTTGTTTATGACGTCAAAACGTGTACAAGTAATTGGTTCGACCAAATGATCCTTGATTTTAGAGACAAACAATACAATATAGACGATCCATTCTGCTTAATATCTATTCATAGACATAAACATGTGAAAAAAAAAATTTTCTTTGTTTTTTCTTTGCTTAAAGCAACCGAAAACCGTTTACTATATTGTAAAATTGATAGAAAACGGGAGAATAATCCAGCTGTTACTGCTGTTCCTATTACTATTATTATTGTTGTTATTGCTATTATTACTAAAACATGAGTGATGATTGTGATAGATATATTGATAGAAAAAGAAAGAAACATCCTCGTCTGATTTTGCTTTGGCTCGTTTCTCTCTTATTCTCGTTGTGCATGGTTGCATCTTGATTTTATTATTTTAATTATTATTCAATGCCACGCACAATCTTTCTCCTATTCTATACACATATAGAAAGATTCACATGCATTGTTTCTGTTCCTATTCTTCTTTTTTTTTTGTCATTCTATCATTCAATTATATTCTTCGTATTTTTTTCTTTTTTGTTTAACACTCGAGTTTTTACTGATGTTTACTACATCGATCTTCGTCATTTTTCTTTTTTCCTGAATGTGAGATTGTAAAAGACTAGAAACTAAGAACAAGAAAGCAAAATAAGGACCGAATCACAACAGAGAATTTTGTGAAAATAGATGTTATCAAATTTTCTATAAGTAATAAATTACACATCAAATATAGGCTTTTTTTGTTTCATAGACTTTTTTTTTTTATTTTGTTCTTCTTATTTAATGTCTAATGATCATAGTTATCTTTATTTCAATGAAAAATTTATCTACCTTACATAGTTATAGATATATTTCGTATGTGCATAGACAAGTAAACTTTGAGTCTGTCATCATCAACATTACCACATCAGCATTTGGAATGAGGCATATTACCCGTCTGATTAAACATGTCGATCAACAATAACAACAAAAGCAGTGGCAGCAGAGTTAGTCAGTTGAATTATTTGCTTGTCATTCGACATTAGCATCTTTTTCTCTTATATATATATATCTATATGTATGCATGCTATGGATGATTATTCTTGGGATTTTTCTTGTCTATATATATATATATATAAAGAAGGTCTTTTTCTTTCTTTCACATATACGGCTAGACTTCGCTGACTTATTCTAATAACTATTTGTAAAACAATAAATTAGACGTATGGAAGTATGTTGTCACATCAATATTTGTCAAGTGGCCTATACAGATCAAATATATGGGTAGTAAATGAGTTTCAATACACATAGAAGTCAATCTCATTTATGTGGACTGTCGAATAGAATATTGACATTCACACTATGTAGCAGCAATGTCATTCAATATATATATATATATAAGATCTTGGTTAGTTGTTTTTCAAGTGTCCTTCGTGTACATAAACAAACAGATCGAAATCCAATAGGCACAAGTTAAAAGAAAACAACGATAGAATGAATAGCAGATGTGTGTAAAATTGATGCTTATCATAAGAAAATAAAAAATAAAAACGAATAAACTAATAAATATAACAATTACATTTACTATAGAATAATAGAAATCAAATCAATGACAATACAATGTTTGTTGACGCAATTTATAATACAAAAAGAAAAAAAAATATGATTATCTTCAAATAGAATTTCTTCTATAGTTATATTGAAAATAATGATTGATTATTATAATATTAAAAGATTTTTGTATTGAAAAACAATTATCTAATCGATCAAGTACAAAAATAGGAATTTGTTTTATTCAATCAAATATTTCTCAAATCAAAACCAAAAAAGAAAAAATAAAGAATAAAATTGATCATTTAAAAATACCATATATGTATATTTATTTAGGTTATGCCTATAGCTGTTCTAAAAGAAGTGACACGTTCATGGGTGCTTGGATCATTTGTTTGCGATGCTTGGGTTATGATTGATTTACTCTGTTGTACGGCTTCTATATTGCATCTGGTTGCCATTGCACTCGATCGTTATTGGGCTATTACTAACTGTAAGTAGCTGATAGGATCATTATTCAAGATTAAATTGAGAAGATAACGATGCATATCGTTTGACCTAATCAAAATTCTTGTTGAAGATATTGGCTATCCGTGATAAATATTGACATAAATAATCAATAGAAGAAAAAAAAACGTGGTCAAAATTAATGTCTCTAGAAAGCACATTGTCTTTTTTAATAGTTTTCGAATAGATGCTTGATAACTATGATTATATGATTTGATTTCGATATGAAAATTAATATATTTTAACTTTAATAAGAGATTTTTCCAAATTTAACTTCTAGTAGTAAGTAAAATGTTATAGATAAAATTACTTTTTCTATTTTTATTTTTATTTTCAAAGTTCAATAATTTGTTGTAATAATTTTTATTAATTGTAAAAACTTTATTTTTCTAAAAAAAAAAAAACATAAATTTTCAAAATAGAAAAATAATATTGATTAGAATGAATACTAATAATGCTAGGATATGCATTTGTTTAATACTTTTCTTTGAATGTTTCTTATCAACATTTGTAACATTATCTAGAATAACAAATTGTTTTATTTATTTATTTTTTCTTTATTAAAAAAAACCAATCAGTGGACTATGCCACAAAACGTACATCTGCTCGAATTCTTATTCTTATATGTGTTATATGGTCAACATCTATTCTTATATCAAGTTCTCATCTATTTCCTATATTTCGTGACAAACGTGGTCGTCCACCGGGTCAATGTCATTTAATTGGTAATGTACCATATACAATTATATCTACAATAGGAGCTTTTTATATTCCTCTTATTGTTATGTGTATTATTTATTGGAAAATTTTTCAAGCAGCCAAATTTCGTATACGTCGTAAAGCATTCAATTCCAATCGTTCTATGCCATTACCATCAACTACGGGAACAACTGTAACAACAACATTAATTCCTAATCCACATGATGTTTTATTATCTTCGGAAATTCCAATATCAAATCATGAAATATCATTAACAGATAAAACTAAATATCAATCATTTTCTCCATTATTATCTAAAAAATATTCAAAAAAAACTTCTCATCTATCTAATCATCATCCATTTGATACTGAACAAGATAGATCATCTCAATATCCATTATCAACAAATCAATCTAATAATGATTATCACTTAAAAAAACTTAAAAAGACTTCTTCCTCTGCTTCGTCTTATATTAAAAAAAAACATGATAGTATTATAACCACAACAACAAAAGCAACAACACCTATTATTCAATTATCTACAACAAATCGTATAAAACAAGAATATGATGAATTACATCGAGTTAATTCATCACCTTCATGTTCATCAACACGTCGTTTAACAGCATCATCATCATCTAAGAAAGATTCACCAATAATAGCCAATAAAATAAATAATCCATTAGTAATATCAAATTCTTATCCATTAGATTCAACACACATTATTGATACACCAACAATAAAATCAATAACAAAAAATCGTTCAACTAATATAAATAATATTAATCCTCATAATAATAATAATATTAATAATACACCACCCATAACAAAATCTCCAGGTACATCATCACGTAAAAAAATTGATATTAAACGTGAACGTAAAGCAACTAAAGTTCTTGGTGTTGTTATGGGTTGTTTTATATTATGTTGGTTACCATTTTTTATTGAAGAAACAATATGTGGTTTATTTCATTTAACAATAAATGAAAAAATTATTAGTGTTTTAACATGGCTTGGATATTTAAATAGTCTTTTAAATCCTGTGATTTATACAATATTTTCACCTGATTTTCGGCAAGCATTTGGAAAAATTTTATTTGGCAAATATCAGAAACGAAGGCGAACAAAAAAATAATCATTTTCTCTTTTATTTTTTTTTCTTGTTCATATTATATATATATATTTAAATTTCTATATGTTTATGTATGTTTTGTTTTCTTTTTTGTTTTTGTCAAATTACATACCGGTTATTAAAAAAAAAAACAAGTCTTTTTTTTTAAAATTCTCAGTGCGCATTGTGCAGTAATTTGTGTATTTTTTTTTCTCTTTGTTTTTGAAGTAAAAAGCTTAATTTTTTTTTATTTCAAATGTAATCATACACTTTGTTGATATTTATTCCAAACTAGATAAAAATTAAATATGTATTCCAAGAAGTAATTTTAAGACTTCAGACGACATTAACAAACTTAAAATGATTCCGCCCTTTTTTTTTTTCATTATAGTTATTTCTATTTGTCTATAGAAAAAAAAAATATATATTTCTTCGAAATTTTAAAAAGTTTTCTAGAATTAAAATAGATTAAATTTTCAAAAATATTCATTTCACTAGCTTTTATTTATTTATTATTTTTCCAAAGAATAAAAATATGTATAACATAGTTTATTTTCAAGTTATCTTTAGAATTATAAATGCAATGAAGTTATAGAAATAAAGTTGAATCCTATTAATCGACAAATGTAGAATGAAACCAGAAATATTCCCTGCTTCAGTTCGTTTTCTATCATTACATTTTACATACGATTATGGTGTCGTTTAGCTCAATTCGCATTTTGTTTTATCTCGGTTTTTTATTTACAGTAACTCATAGAATTAACAGTCGTTGTATGCATCATCTAGAAAACGCGCTAGCTGATAACAATATTCAACGAATTAAAATACAGAATGCTCAACAAGATAAACAAAAATACGTTCAACTTCGAAGTGTTCTTTGGCCAAAAATTTGTTTTACAGTATTACGAGACCATCATGATTATCAACGTTCACGAGATCCAAATCATAATCGTATGTTACAACGGCCAATACGGACATGTTTTCCGATTAAGATTTAATAGTGTTTGAACTTTTTATTAAATTAAATAATAAAGAAAAACAAAAAAAAATCCTATCATTTGAACAAAAAATTTAAAATATATGAATATTCACAAATAAAAATATAAAAATCCGCGCTCTCGATATAAAATATTTCAATTACTTTAGAAATAAGAAAAAAAATACCTATGCCATTAGCAATAAATGATTTCCAAATTCGAAGTAAGCATGGCCATTGCTCAATTGATTCTACAAATGAAACATGTGAAAAATTTTTTCAAATATGGTCTCATAAAGCAGCTAATATTTCTAATGATTTAATTGAATTTACAATACGACGTATGCAAAGTGATCGTCTTCATTTTTTATTTCAAACACGTAATGAAATTACTCAACGAGAAAATATTTCACCTATATGTCAAATATCCACACATATTAGTGATGATTTAAAAAGAATAAATGAATATATACGTCGATTTTGTTTAAGTACAAGAAATCTTTATCGACATTTACGTTCAGATTCACGTATATATCCTAAAATGTGCATTGAATTAGATGAAGGTATTATAATTAAAATTTGTCGATTTATATTTAAAACAAAAGTTTTAATTAAAATACTTTCAAAAGAAGAACATTTAAATATAGAACAACGTGAACAATTAAAAATCTATAAAATAAAACAAAATGATAAACAATTTGATATAAATGATCCATATAAAAATATAACAAAAGCATTTATTGCATTACAATCAAATTTTGAAATACTTTTTGGTGATATTGTAGATAAAGATTTTTTTCAAAATGCAAAAACAGGTATTTCAGGAAAAAAAAGTCTATTGACAATAGAATATCTTCAAATTATTCAATTCTATTTGACTTCATATTTTAGTTTAGCATTGATCTTTATGAGACTATTAGAAAAATCCAGAAAAAAAAAAGATTTAAACTATCCAAAGATTAGATATTGCATGTGCTTATGACCATTTGTATATTCTTTATTTATTTTCGACATTTGCAGTAGTATAATCAAATAAGCAAAAGTCGAGTCTCAAAGCGTTATACAGAATGAAATAGTATATTTGTTAATCAACAAAAAGATTAGAAGAAATGCCTCTTAGGTCAGTACTCTCTGGGTAGGAGAAACAAAATTTCAGCATTCGTTGCATTTGTGTTCCCTCGAGATAGAAAAAACAGTAACAAACTACTTTCTTCCACATTTAAAGCACTAGGTCATGGTCTATCCAGGCTCAAATTGGTGCGTTTGTAAGCGATCGTATACGAAAAATTATAATGGTCTATAGAGAACAAAAAATATTTGTTTACTGACTTCACACGAGAGTATGTAATACAGCAAAATACGGGTGTATATGAAATTCGTATTCGTCGACTTGTATATCCGAGTCAAACTAGCACGGTCGTTTCAGATCGTAAATAACTGTAAATTGACGTTTGATAGGCGCAGTATTATGACCGTATTTTATCGTACCGCACACAATTGATAAAGGTTGTTAAACGATCTGAAAATCTAGTGTCCGAGGGTACAGTGAAATATAGTGCCAACCAAACGACGTAAACCCAATCTAAAAAGGCCATTCACGACTGTGTTTGTTTGATCTGAATCAATTTACAGCTATTTCTGAACGAAAACTGTATAAAACGACAGCATACAAGACCGTTTTTGACCATCTCGGTCATTGTAACCATCGTTCTGTGTAGTCAACTCATGAATTCTAAATCTTTTAGATTTTAAAATTTTTTATAAAGATCTATCTCTAAATAAATTATAAAATTATAGAGAGTCCTACAATTTGAGATATTCTCTTATCAATATACATAATAAAAAAAAATATATTGAATAAATAAATGTTTTAAAAATGCTTTAATTATTATAAAGCTGTACAAGCCCTTCCAATAATATTGGATACTAGTAAAACTATTCGATTAATTTGCTGTGCATTATATAAACTAACTGAACCTGAACGTGAAGCAGAAGCAGAAGCTATACGTCAACGTCGATTAAGTAGAAAAAAAAAATCTTTATTCATATGTTCTCGATCAATAAATGTTTGTTTTTTTCTAAGATTTTTGTATTCGTGACTGTGGTTCAAAAAAGCAAAAATCCTTAACTAAAAATATTCCAATTAATAATCATCAAAATACTAAATTTAAAACTATAAATAACATGTTAAAAAGAAATCAATCACAAATAACACATACTAAAACATCATTATTATCTCCGAAAATAAATTCAAAAGATAAATCAACAAATCAACAAAATACTAAAGTTAAAAATAATAATACTTCTTTTCTATAAGTCTTATTTCTTCTTTATTTAGACAAAAGAAAATTCAAAAAGAATACAATCTCCAAAGTAATAAATTATTTATTTTTGATTAAATACAACAAATAAAACATCTTTTTTTGTTTTAAGATCTCAATCCCGTACTCCAAATACAATAAGTAAATAGATTTAACACATAGAAATAAATATATATATATCAATTTTAGCTTCAAAAACTAACAAAAGTGGTCAATCATCATCAATGTGAGCTTATCATTGAATATTAATTGAAGTTAATAATTTATTAGTTTTCCTAGAACGAAGACAAATATGAATTCGTCAAAGAAAAATTCTACAAAAGAACAACAAAAAAAAGTATTTCTATTCTTATTTTTTATTTAAACTCTATAATTTATTTTCGTATCAATAATTAAATAAAAAGTTCAAATCTAGAAAAATAGAAACTCAGATATATTCAAATATATGAAATTATTTATATCGTTTTTTTCTTCTGTCTTCTATTAGAAAAAACCAAAAAATAAAAATGCATCAACAACAAATTCAATATCATTCAATCAATATAATGAAAATACTAATTCAATAAACATTAATAATTTAAGAAAGAAATTTAAAAATTCAAATTCTGATCAAACTCAAATATTAAACAAAAAAAAATTCGGTTGGACAACATGGTTACATAATACAAATCTTAATCTTACTACTATCTTACCATCAAATCAAACTAATATCAATATGAATCATAGGGGTAAGCAAGTTCAGTTTTAGTTGGAATCTAAGAAACTCTTCTGCTTCAACAATTCAATTCCTGGAACTAAGCTGCTTGAAAAATTTTGATAAGTTTTTTGAGAAAGGTATTTCTAGGTTTAAAAAAACATCTATTCTGTTTCTGAGTATAGTACTTCCGAGTTTAAGAATTCTTTGTTTTGTTTTTGGGAAGCATACTTCCGGGTATCAAAAAGTTTTTTCCTGCTAATGGAATGCTTTACCAAAAAAAACAATATTTTTTGGATAGCGTAGTTTCTGAAATTGAAATAATGAAACGATTATTTAATCTGAGCTCATAAGCTGGAGTTGTCCTAGATCTAATGAATAATTAATCATTTAAATTTAATAAATATAATTTGTTTTTCATATTAGATGTAAATCCATTAAAACCTTTATTAACAACTTGGGCTTCACTTGAACGAATATCAAAAATGTAAACATGTTTTTAAAATAGCATATAACTTCAACTTATTTTATTTAATAACAAAATGATTATTTACTGATTAAATATTTATAGTATCTAATCGATTGTTAAATGTATTAATCTCCAATAATATTGTAATATCAATTAAATAAATCGATTTTCTTCTTTTATATTGTAATCAATGTAGATCATTATGATTGAATATTTCATATAGACATAAAATTCTTTTCAATGTGTACATGAGACGTTGATATTTAACACTATTTAATATTCTACGTTATTTAGAAAATACTATTTGGAGAAAAAAAATGAATTTAAAATAAACCCTCATTCAAAGTATCATCTGTGATAGTCCATGATCAATATACATCCTTGAAGGAATTTTATCGGATATTCCATAATGAAAGATAAAATTAATATAGTTTTTAATCTAATATCTTCGCTGAATTTTGTTAAGTATATACAATGCTTTGCAAAAAAAACTTGATCTCATATTTTTTAGTACCGCTCGTATCAGATCCATTCATTTCGATTGGTCCCAGCATGATTGAATAACCCAGAAATTATACCCTGTATGTGTGTATTTTGATATCATTTTCACTCATCCTCAGAAGAAACATGAAGGATAGAATTGAGACAATTGGATGTTCCCAAAGAATTTACAGTGTACTAGAACTAACCATTCGATGAATTTGTACTAGCGATCGCAAAAGCTAGAAGACAGTACAAAGTAGTTTTTCCAGTATGAAAACAGAAAATTTCCACATGCGCTTTTGCAAACTCGACAGAAAAATAGGCAAAAATTCTCAAAAAAAAAATTTGAATCCAATAGATAACTAAGTATCTCTCAATTCCATTTAAAATTTAGAAAAGATTGTTAAAACTAATATTCATATTGAGAAAAGTTCATTTAACTTATTTTGAACAATTCTGAATGAAATGTATAGATAACAAGTGAGGAACAATCTCTAAAAAATGTGAAAGTACTTTTTTTTTGTATCCTCTGATTGTAGCATTTATATGGTTCACCTTTCTTTCATAGGATAAGAGGAGAATAAATCAAAATATATCAATACGTAGCCTTTTTTGTGGACTATCTAGCCATACTAGAATCCAAATCTTACAAAAATAGTATTAAAAATTAATGAAGCTCAGTGTTTTTGAAAACTGTTGTATATATAAAATGAATAATAAGAAATATTTTCCAGGTGAAAAAAAAATTTATTCATAATCACTCGAATGAATCTGAATGACTAGATTTCTTATGACTTTAAAATTGAATTTTAACGTCTTGATATTCTCAGACTTTTTATTTTCAAATGTTAATAACAGAGATCTTTGCCTTCATGCGATAGAAACGTATCAACTTTTTATCTTGTACTGAGTAAATATTAATACAAATTCTAGAACAAGGTCAAAGGAAGAGGATTAAAAGGTTTCCTTTCTCTTTAAAAGATGTAAAGCTTCTCCATAAGCTGTATCCTTCCTTTCACTAAGTATTTTTTTTTCCATTTAACTCTTTTTTTTGTTGAAGACTGTGTGAGTAGATAATACCACTGAAACATAAAACTTGAACTTTTTAATATGAAGAAAACAAATTAGTGCTTTGTAAAAAAAAATGCCGAAAATATAGGGATTGCCTTCAGATTTTGCTTGTTAAATAACCACAATATTCAAAATTAGTAGACAAAGAAAACTTAACACATCAAGCATTTTATCTTGGAGGGTAGTTAATAAAACATAAGTATTTGTTTTGAACGAATCATTTTTTTTTACTTGAATCATTATCCTCTCGCACATCATTTTCTCAAGTAATAATTATTATTATTATTATTTATGCTCTACATTTTGTTTCAAAGTGTGTCTAATGTTCTGCAGAAAATATTTATCGATACCTTTCAAATAATCTTTTGCATTGTAGTGAAGTTATGATCAAACGAGAAATATATTTGCATTTATTCAATCGCTGAAGAATAAAAAGTTGCTAATATTCTCAGAAAAAACTTGATACATACGTTGAATAATTACCATTCTTGTTCAAGAAAAATCAATATAGGAATAAAAGTGAACATCATGATGTGTTAACCATTGATTTGTTAACAATAGCGCTGTAGTATTGTATCTTGTCTAACAAAAATTTACTGTTTCTCAAAATTTTAGTAACTGATTCTTATAAAATATGCATTAGCTAAGGAAAAACCCGCCTGAATCGCGACAGCCGCTGATTAAGCTCATATTACGTCTTAGTGGGACTAGCAAAAGTCTAAAAGAGTTCGTCTCTATGGGCCATTGAAACCGGATTATGATCGTTTTACTGAATTTTCGATCGAGCTTTAGGTATACACCGAAAAATCAAAAAGCAGAATTTTGATATAAAATTTTGTTAATAGATATCTCTAATGATCAATAGAATATCCTGAAAGTTCCAGTCGAAAAGAATGTTCCTTTGTCAAGATATTAAATTTTCAAGTAAACTCGATTTTTGTATCATGTCTTTGTTAGACGATTATTTTTTCGAGAAATTCAATATTTCGACAAAAGAATATTCTTTTTGGCGGAAACTTTAAAGATATCCTATGAATCATTCGATCTATATGTGAGCAAAATTTCGCATCAAAATTCTTTCTTTTTTTGATTTTTCGGTATGTATGAAAATATCGAAAATTTCATTAAAATGATCCTAATTTGGCTTCAAAGACTTATGGGGACGAATCCTTTTAGACATTTGTTAGTCTTACCAAAATCTTTTTGTAGACTCAGTCTGACCTCAAATAGCGGGTATCAGTTCTAATAGTTCCTCCTCGTAAGATTCAATTTTATATGAATTTTTATAACTGGAAAATGATAATCGTAAGAGTAAAGTCAACTTCGAAATAGTGAAAGTATGACTTGAGACGTCTGTGAATGTTCAAATAGTTTTTTCTCCGTGTAAGTTATTTTTTTATTTTATTGAGATGTTTACATCATATATATTATTTATATTTCCCTAAAGAATAAAACATAGCTTGATACAATAAAGATTACTGATCGCAACTGAAAAGATTGATTAAATGTTAATCAATTCACTTATCAAAAAAATATTATCAATCATAACAACATTTGTTTGATATTTTCTACTCCTATTCTGTGAATAAATTATTCTGAGTATTAGATCTTATCAAAACTCTTCTTGAATTCTAAGCTTTTTTTTTGTCAAAAAGAAAACTATTTGGTATAAATATCAACAAAAATAAAACAAATATCAAATTCACAATTAACAAATGAGAAGCATCGATACAAAAAAAGATCTATTCAAGCAAATTCTAAATGTCGATTCTGAGAATAGTCAATTTTCAATTAAAAAAAATCTAAGATCTATGTAGATAATTTCAATAGTGCAGACTAAAAAAGAACTAGATTTCATAAATGAGCAAAAAAAAAACTCCATTCAATAATCAACGATAGAAGAATCGAAGCAGACATCAATCCTCATAGTAGTCATTGTAAGTCATGTGAAACCCTCAATACATTAGAAGATTCAAGGTCTTCTATTTTATGTTATCATTCAAAACTTACAAGAAGTGTCTTCTAATGTGTAGAGACGACCCTACTCAAAATATTTTCTTATACTTCGTTTAGAAGAGTATCAATATTCTCCTGTCCATGAAATAATACTGACATAGCCTATGTAACAATAACTATAATAAAAATATCAATATTATCTTCGTTTTGTTACAATTGTTCCTATATTAATTCTAGATATAACAAAATTTCTACAGAAATTTTCATGGGAAAAACATTCTCATCAAATATCATTTGTCTAGACTAATTAAACTTTGACAAGAGTCAAAACGATATATATATATACATATGTATATCTAGAAAACTAACTGGACAGACACAACTGTCAACCAATAATATGATTAAATAATATGATGTTGAAAGATAGTTTTTTCTTCTAATTGATATATTATCTCCGATTGATTTTATCAATGTTATGTATTATATATATATATATATATCGTCTTGAGTCTATCTTATGTGTTAAGAATAACCGATTACAATCGTGATGTTTTAATGATATGTTGTGCTTCTTTTTTTTTTTTTTGAATAAAAGTAATAAATTAAAATGACCAATTCACTCAGACGAAGAATAATTCATAAATAAAACCAGCATGAAATTGAATGATCGAATATTAATATTCTCAAGAGACATATAAAATTGTATTCTAGAAAAAAAAAAAGCGTCCCTTGAGATTAAAACCATTAGCATATATCTATATCATTAAAATGTAAACACAGTTAAAGGTCACTATTCATTCCAATAGAATTAAAACAATGTCATTTGATAAATATGAAATTATCGAAAACAAAAAAAAAAAACGAAACTATTTTTTCCTTTTACACTATCTATAAAAAAAAAACTTCTTGGATGTGAACGACATCACAGAACAAACAATAGAGGATGGTTACCATGTTAACTTGAATATTTGTTACTGACAAATGTCATATACAAAAAAAAAACCCCATAGATTTTTTTTTAGATAAATAATTTGTTGTATACCATGTCGAATATTCAACGAGCACGTCGTATTCCAAATGCTGATGGTCAAATTTTAATTGAAAATTGGGTTGAAGAACGTGCAACTGAACATCTTGATCATCGACTTGAACAACAAGATAAAAATCAACCAACTTCACCATCAACTACAAAAAAAAATTCTCATACTGCTTTATTAACACAAAATTTCGAAGCTCCTCTTGATAATGTAACAACATATCGTCAATATTATTATCAATTTGGACCATTTGAACAAAAAGAACAAGGTGCACGACGTAAACGTCTTGAACATGAATTAACACGTCAAGTTACATCAGAATTAAATGCACAAAAACGTGAATATGATGAAAATCTACGTCAAGAACGTATTGTTGATTCGAATAGTGAATATCGTACACAATATAGTAAAGAATTTGAATCCAAACCACCACCAGCTACACAAGTAAATATTCTCAAATAAAAGAAAAATTGACAAGAAATTTTATTTATAACTACAAAAAAAACAACTTTTCTAATATAATATTGTTCATTGTTTGACAACAGAGTAAAAACAATTCATTTCGAATAATATTATTCTTCGTTTATTTTACCTATAAAAACACTTTTAATTTTGTTTTTTCTTCCCAATATGAACACAATAACAATTAAAATACTTCAATTCAATGGTTTAAGAATATAATATGTCTTCTTCTTTTTCTTTTGTTTTTAGCCTCATGACCTTTTACATGAAATGCCTGTTTCATTCTGGACTGAACATCGACATACAAATCATGTACTAATTCTGATAAAATTTCTTTTAATTATTAATTAAGTCTATGTATTTTCTTTGTAGGGCGTTACACAATTGAAAACATTTAATAGTCCATTCCATCGAAATGCAACTTTTAGTACACCTGTTGAACTTACACATGAAGGTGCTCGTCCTCATGAAATGGAAAACTGGCCAAATTATGCGCAAAAATCACTTAATGACGCTAAAATTTGCTAAAAAAATATTTTTAAATAAATTAAATAAATATACACATACATATCGAATCGATTTCTTTTCTATACATATATGCAATTGATTGAACATAGAATAGACAGAGACAAATGTTAATTAGATAGATGAAGAAGTTCAACGGTGCATAGCAAAGCAGACATAGACACATAATAATCTTTATGCGGACGTTCTAGTAAGGTCAGCGACTGTTGTTGCTTATAGAAATCAATTATAGATTGGATTAGATTGAATGTTGTTTAAAGATATTACATATGGGACCTCATTTTTTTTTTCTTCTTTCTTTAAGTCAATAATAACGTTTGATGAGAGCAGTAGAAGTAATGACACTGTATTTTAACCTTTAGACAAGCATAGTATACATTCACGTCCAGTCAATAAAAATGAACATAAGCGCATATAACCACAAACATCTAACGGCGACTAACTGGTCCATCAAGTGAAATATAATAAGATCAATGAAAGAAATTTCGCAATATGATGTCATATTAATGAGGGCAACTGTTCATTTATTTTGTATTTTGTGTATGAAGGTGTTTATAAGAATATGTGTTAGACGTGAAGGTCAATTAACTTTTATGAGTGAAACATTGTCATTGTTCAAAAGAAAAAAGAATGAGAAAAAAAAAATATGTGAAAAAGTACTTATACTTTCATTTTTAAATATAACAAATGAAAAGCTATTAACCATTGATAACAACTTGAAATTTGTCGGATTGAGATGATTGTTTTCCCTTCTTCTTTGTCTTCTTCTTCTTCTTCTTTTTTTTTTACTGTTCCTTTTTTTCTGTATCTTGGCCAAGATCAAGAAGGACAAACGAGACATAAAAAATGCATATGTATACACATTCTCACGTTCATTCATTCACATCATCACATGTCTCGCGGCTAAATTGAAAGAGATGGTGGTCACTAAAACGAAGAAGAATTTATCGTTCTTTCTTTTTTTTTTTGCCGATAGATGATAGTTTGAAATTGATTGTTCATTCGTCTTCCTTCATTCAAATTGCGCGATGTATTAGCGATTAGACCACAACGAAATGTTTTGATTGTGTACTATTTGAATATATATATATTCTCGAAATTGGCCAAACGCGACGACAAACTTCTACTACTATCTATTATTATAATAGGCAGGTAAATGGGGAAATGAGCAATGCTGAGAGGAAGAAAGCAAAGTGCCTCGAAGGAGCTACTTGGCGGATGCTTTGAACTAAACTGATTTGATGCCGACTAGTTTTAATGTTCTCTTCTATGTACTCTTATTGTTAATCAATTGACCAGCACATACATGTTAGCAATGATAGCCGCGACGTGCTACTTTTTATCTTCCATATTGCTCGTCAAACATAGGCACACATATCAATCTAGTTTAGATCGCGTACGCATCTGTTCAGGAAACAAACTATATTTAATGTGTGCTCTGTACTTTTACAGTAGTTTTATTCAACCTTACATCATCTTTTGTTATATTTTATTTTCTATATTTGATACATGTGTGTACGCAAACTCTCTCTCTCACACATACACATACGCTACACAATCGGCGTCATTGTCCGATAGTCAAATCCTTCTCTTCTTCTTCTTCTTCTTTTTTTTTCTCGTTCATCTGATGGTAGGTCGAATTACTAGTATTACTACCACTACTACTCGTACTCTTCATCGTTATCGAACTATGCATGAATCACGTCAACAAAAGGTAAACATATGTTTGTGTAAGACGAAGAGAATAGTTTTGATTTTCTTTGTTGTTGTTATTATTAGTATTATTATGTGTTGGTGAGTACTTAATATAATCATTATATCTATCTAAGTTATAAACAAAGGCCGAAGATAAATAAAAGAAAAGGATAAGAACAAAAAAAAAATGCGTTCTATCTTTTTTTTTTCTTTTTTTTTTTTTTTGTTTGACGATTCTTTGATAAGCGATGATGTCAACTTCATTGAAAGAGACTTGATCTTTTCATAAAGCTGGTAAATATAATTTTTTTCTTCTAAGTTACTTAAATACTCTTTATGTGCACATACATTCTAGTTTGTTCAGTTTTATCTTTCTAACTAAAAAAAGCAAATTATCTGTGACCCTGACATTTCTACTTTCTTTTCTTCTCTTTTTCTTTCTTAAATGATGTTGTAATATACATATGCATAATTCGATTTTCCGCCTTAATATCCTTTCAAAAAAAAAAAAACATCTGGTATAGTGTTATATGTTATGTTATTTTTTTTTCCTGATAGATTTAGTATATTCTTATTGTGAGCAAGTTGATACATTATTTTAACGTATGTTTTTGCTTTGAATAGTTGAAATATGCGATAATATCGTGTGTCGTCATCTTCCTTTCAAATTGATGGGACACAGAAGATGATAGCGACAGGATTGCGTTATGTGATTTATCGATTTAACTTTTCTTTCTTACGCACCAATGACAGGTTTGTTAGGAAATATATATATATATATATGTATACGTATATATACATTGATATATAAATATATATGTATGTATGTGTAATGTATTTATTGAATTTTTTTGTTTTGTTAACGACTGATCCTGTCTGGTAATGTTTGAGTGTGTGTATTTATTTGTCCAGCAATTATCGTCTCTATTGCACCATTTCAAATGGTAATAATCACGGGCGTGTTCATATAATTGATACGGTGGTCAATGAATGTTAAGGCAAAATATTTTATGTTTGTGTGTAAGTGTTGAGCGATAAAGAAGAGAGAGACAAAAAAAAGAGTGTTCAACCGAAAGCGCCAACAAAACAAAGTGCTTGACATACTACTTGTCAATAGTACTATAGTAGTCTCTCTCTCTCTCTCTCTTTTTTTTTTCTGATTCACTGTCGGACACTCTTTAAATATAATGTTGAACACTTTACAGTGAATATAGAACAGCTCTAAGGTCAAGTTAAGTTCGAATAAGATCTTATTATGTTTTCTAGAAACAAATATAATGATTTGTAAGTAAAATTCTTTATTATTGTGCTTATTCATATACTAATATCAATTTTGTTTCTTTATCTTTTTCTTTTATTCTTTGTTTTAACTCTATAATTATATATAAATGGGAACTACACATTCTTTAGTAGCTATTGTATCCGTTCACTTTCTTATGTTTCTGTCAAGTTCACCTGTAGAGAGAACAACCTTGAATTAAAAAGAGAGAGAAAGAGAGAAAGTAAAGACGGAAATAATCTATTGAAATTCGATAATTACTGCCGCTATGATGACCGATGGTCAGCTGGAACGCCTGTTCTTTTCTCTCCATCTATACTTGATTGCTTGTTGTCAAGGGAATTAAGACGTTTTCGCATGACGATCACATCTGTTCATTTAACAAGCAACATAAATTGTGATAAAATCAACTTATTGATGAGACAAATCTCTTTTTATTTCTTTTACACTCGAATAATGATAGTCCTATGGACGAATGTATACGAGTATACTAAAACAATTTTATTCATACTTCTCTTTTTCTTTTCTTCTGTATATATCTATATCTATCTATTAATCACCTTGATATTAGTGAGTAAATGATTGATATATTAATAAGTATGATACAGATATTTCACTTGAAGGAGCGAAAAAAACCGATGAAAATCTGATTTATATATTTGTCTTGTTCTTTTCTTATAGACGAAGTTTAAAACATTGTTTTTTATATTAATGTCTTTTAGATTTTCTTTTTTTTTTTAATGTATAGTAGTAAATTTTACTATTTGATAAGAATAATAAATTTGTTAAAATTTTATGAGAATCGGCAACAAAAAAAAAAAAACCTTAAATGTTTCTATAGAAATAAATATATGTCAGGTTGCACATTCTATTAATTGTACATCGATTTATTGACCTTGTACTTGTACATAGTAGTCGATAACGTATGTACGTATATTGAAAAATCTCATCAACACTACTATTTACTTGTAATTTCACTATTTTCTCTGCGTATTCCATTGTCTGTCGACAAGGTGTGAATCTTTTTTCTTCACTGTATATGTACAGAATTGATCATCACTGGCGGCTATATCGTTGACGGATTGATATAGTAGACAGTGGCAAGAAAGACTAATCTTCTCCTAATTAATTCTAACGGGTGCTTTTGTTGTAGACAAAAAAAAAACGACCTTGACACGATGATCTTTATATGCTCTTTTGTAGTCAATGTATGTTTATACACTATTTGAAAATGCAAACTCTTTTCCTTTCTTATCCCATACTATATAGTTAGTTCAATCTTCTTTTGTACAATGAGAATAAGTATAGACAAAATATTTGCATTCTGACGAGGTGAATATAAACATCTCATCAATGCAAGTTGAATGTGTGTGTGTGTTTGTGTATGTGTATGCGCTTGACCTTCGTCCATCATCTTCATCATCATCATCGTTCTGAATATGAAAAGAAGAAATAGTTGTGCTACCAATTGCTGAGAGTGATTTGTATCCATTCTTCTATTCTTTCTTTTTTTTTTTCATTCATTGCTACACTACATGCAGAACAACGAGACTTATTATACACGGAAAGAGATGCGTGATGAATACAGCAACTCCGGAATTCACTTATATATACATACATAGCATCGTAGTGACTGACTGACTGACTGACAGATCTATCAGCACACATTTAGTTCTGATTCATTTTCTTTTCTTTTCATTGTTTTAGATCACGAAGTAGGACGATGACTCTTGACATTATCGATTGAATATTTATGCACACAACAAGCGATGGATGACAAAAATTCATATATGTATCCTGTACTTTTGTCAAAATCAAATAAGTATGTATTTTTTTACTTATCTTTGTGTTTTTTTTCTTCAATTTAATTTATTTTCCTATGTTAGAATTCATATTGAGAGTGTAATTAATACTCCATTATTTAATCTTTTTTTTTCTTCTTTCATTGTTGTTCATTTTCTATACAAGTCCTTCAATTCTATACAACAAAAAAAAATTGAAAAGGTAGAAGAAGAAGAAGACGACCACG